AATTTCCTAGCATATAATGTTGCTGGGGAAACCCGTAAAGTGCCACAAAATTAACTAAAACAAATAGTAATGTAAGGTCTTTAGGCTTGCTGTTTGTCTAAATACTTAAGGGAAAACACTGGTTTTGGGGCTTCTTTCCTTATTTTTTTTTTGGCCAAGCCCAACAGAACAGTGGAAGCTTGCTCAAACTTTAAAGCTAATTTCAACCATCTTTTTTTTTTTAATTAGTAAGTTATTTTTACTATATATTCTGACTATGTGTTAAAACTTTTAACATATAGTCAGATACTACACATTATGAAGAATGCAATGTTGGAAGCATTTTTTTTAGATTGAACCGTTATTAGTGACTTTACAACACATTAAAGTTCAGTGATCAATGCATGGCTACCAAGCAATGAAAACATTATTTCAGTTAAAAACTTTCCCACAACTATATTGAAAAATTTGCTTCTAACATTGCATGCTTTGCACATTCAGCTACATGGTGCTAAATAGGTTATCTTTCTCTCTGTCCTAGATGCTGAGATATCCTTTCTGAAAATTTGTAAGGAGTTCAAAATTTGCACTTTGACAAAGTGCTGCTTTAGCATCAGCTTCAGTGCAATTTCAGCCTATATAGATATTATAAAGCAATATTACGGCTCAAATATTAATCTTCAAAATAAGAAACTTGGCAGATAAAAAAAAAAAAAATAGCAGTAGATTTTGAGATCACCATTTTCCAAAAAACTGTATTTATGAATTTTTTGGCTCCAAAGATCCATGCTTCTATCTAAACGGGCGGGATTGGGGCGGGCGTGTGCTAAGCACAAGCGTCGTCTGCACTGCACTCTTCACAGTGTTTTGGTGTCTAAAACGTTCGAAGATGTCTTCACAACTGCGGCATCAGTCTGCAGACATAATGTGAACTGAGAGACAATAATCACAAACGGTGAGAAAACAATGGCGGTTGTGATGCAAGAAATGGCGGTAACGGTGGGACGACGCCTAAGAAGCGTGCTGCACAGGCGCGTTATGCCAATCACGTGGACACCGCTGAGCGCTGAGAGGAAACGTTGCTGACGTCACCCGTCACGCTTGCCCGGAAAAGCAAAAACAAACAAAAAGGGGCAATGGTGATGACGTTTAGCACAATGCTGGCTATGCCAATACCATATCCTTGAGTGCGCTGCTGGTTGCGCCTCAATTTGCCTGCTAGAGTCAACTGAGTCAACTGATTTCGGCAACTTGGTCCGTTGCAAAGTTTGCTGGACCGTTTCAGAAACATTTAGACAGAACTAGGTTGTAATATTTGACATGGGGCCTTCCTAGGTGATGCTAAAGAGGAGTGCATTGTATTTTCAAAAACAAAAATGAAGCAGGGTTGCTCTGTAAGTATTTTTCTGCTCATGTTTTTAATAGAGAACTATGAAATGTTACAAATTACTGAAAAGGACAAAAACTTCGAAGTGCTATTTAAAACGCAAGTCAACATTCTATACGGTAAAACTTCGACAATATATTTTTCAAGCAACCGCAGCAAAAAGAAAAAGCGCAACTCAGAGAAACTCAGAAGAAAAGAAACTAGCGCAACTGGAGAAACCAAGCCACCAAGCACTTTAGAAGAGTGTGCATGTCCTGACAGTCGGCCTGTTGTAAGAGCCCCAATCTCTTCGAAGCCTAGCTCAAAGTCGTGCCTGCCTGGGCAAGAACAGGCAAGAAGCGCGGTGCAGGAAGACAAAAAAGTAAAATAAAAAAGGGCCAGCGAAGCAAAATGACGAGGGCAGCCACACCGGGGAAATGCTGGCGTAGCCAACGTTGGCTATGTAGCCAACATAGACAAACGCAAAAACAGAAAACTGATATGCGCATTAATTTCGGCGTTCAATGAGATTGTTGTTCATGATTGCAACAATTTGGAAGATGTATTAGCCTTGAATGTATTACCCAGGCTCTATTGTACAGCTACAATAAACCCCGCATAATCACTGCCTTTCTCCTACTTCCTCTTCCAAAGCACAAGTTCTCTGGATGACTTGTAGATTTCTTTAATGTTTATTTGACAATAACGCAGGCCCCGTCAGGGCACAGGCAGGTGTGGACATAATACAAATGAAAGGTCATAGTAAAAAGTGGCAGATCAACCCATCATTACAAGTAACAGAGAAGCATAATGCTGGCTAACATTGGCAATAAGTACACAAACCGCCTTCACCCGTCTATGGTAAGCCTCTGGAAACGGTACTACAGCATGTATAAAACGCTTCAAACCAATTTTAGACAGACTGTAAAAATTGTTTTTTGGGTATCAAGGTGCAATTTGCTAAAGAGGTGTGGCTAGGTAGTGAAAGCTTGGAGTGAAAATATCAATGAACAAAATTTCATTGTTCAAAACAGGAAAAAAATTCACTTGTTTTGGGTGATTTGAGTCGGCAGTTGCAGATGATTGTCATGACCGTGCTGTACTATTGTATCTGCCACCGACAAATGGCACAATGTGAGACGCTATAGTGTACAGCACCTAGACCGATCATCTCCGTACCTAACAGGGGAAGCCAAAAGGGACTTAAATCCAGTGTTGGGGTAAAGTACATCTCAAAAGTACTTGAAGTAAAGTACATATACTTTAAGTACAGAGCTAAGTACACCGGGCACAATGCACTTAAAGGGGCCCTGCAATCATATTTAAGCGTCTACCTTTTTTGCTGTTTCCACGTCTCTGGGGGTTGGGGCAAGCCAGCGGGCACGGAGAGAGTAACTAAATATCAGTGCGTCATATTTTAACCGGACGTCGCGGAAACCTCCTACACCGACGAGGGCGACCCGCGGTACCGAAAGCGCGCAAAATGTGACGTCTTTGGTCCTGGGCTTGCCACTGGTCAAAGCCGCTAAGAGCTTTTTTTTTAGTCGAGATACAAAATATAAGTGTCGCGAACCGTTTCAATTATGTATGAAAGTAGTTTTTGTTCACTACTTTAGATCAGAAAAGAAACAAATGCAGTTTAGAAAGTACGGAAACGAGAAATGACCCGTCGACATACCCGCCACCAAGCGGCGGAAAAAAACAGCGCATACTAGAAAAGGCTAGTGGGAGGAGGCTATGACAAACGAGGAGCGCAGAAAGGTCCCGGATGTACGCGGCGGCGCTGTGGTCGTATACCGGCTCAAGAATCCGACCGGTTCCGAGCGTTCCGAAAGCCTTCGGCGCGGGCCCTGATGGCGATTTGGCCATTTGGCGGTGCGTCAGCGCGAAGTGGCTCCCGTTCTGAGCTGATCTTTACCCCATGTTTGCAGTAGTTTGTGGCCAATGAAATGTTATGCCGAATTACTGTTTAGTCGCGCTGCAAATGAAATGCGAGCTGCCCTGGCCGCCCGCTTCATACAGCCTATCCAACACGTGCTTTAGTGGCGCCCTCTCGAGCCGCCGACACGGAGTGCGGCGGCGGTGTGCGCCGATGTGCTCACCACTCCTCCTCTAGTTCAAGGCCACGCAAGGCAGGACCTAAGACGTCATGGAGTAGGTTATTTTTTGCTTGTTTTTGTAATTCTAATTTGCCTATAACTTTTAAAATAAAGCGAAATTTGAGAAAAGAAAAGTTGGATTAGGTTACTACGTTCAGTACGCTCATGTTCAGTGCAAATTAAAAACCAGTCAAAAAGTCATTGCAGGGCCCCTTTAAGTAAAGTACTATAAATACAATGTACTTTCAAGGTGAAGTACAAGTATTTTTTAACATAATCTCCCCTACAAAACTGCGTTTATCTTAAGCTGGTACGCATTTCTCCAGGGGTAATCAGGGGTGCCTCAGTTATGTTTGGAATTGGAAGCAAATATTGGATAAAGTCAAGTGGTCAAAGAGTAAATAGTCCCGGAAACGGCACCAAATTCACAAGTCCCTTTGATTTCTGAATTTGGTGTCGCTTGCACTGGGTTTTTGCACCCAAGAGGGTTAAACTTCCCAGAAGTGACATCAACCCCGTAACTTCCACGAGCAATCCTCCCGTGGAAGAGTGTCCTCTCCCAATAGGCCAACGCGCTGTTTACAAACAAGCCACCACGAGGAAAACGGAAAAAGGGCAGTTTCCGCACAAGGTGTGGGAACTGTGCATGCGCAGGAACCAGATTCGCACAAAGTGAAGCGTCTGCGCGTGTGCCCTGCCAATAGCAGCACCACTGCAGCGGCGTGACGTCGGCGCCGCATGTTGGTCCATATTTTTAACCTTCTCGCTTGCGCCGACCGAGTGGCGAAAGTTTGAAATGCTGCGGGAGACCTGCCCCCGGTGCAAATGGATTGATGCATTGTCTACTCGCATCGTCGGTAAGAGTAAAATATCCCTCCCATTACCTTCTCAGAGTTTACAAAGCACAATTGTGCTACACAAATTTAACAAGACCGAATTTGGGGAATGTACTTCGAAGTCGGGAGTTGTACTTCCTTCGGAAAGTATCAGCAAAATACTCAGAGAATGTACTTCAAGTAAGGTAGAGGCTTCCTAAACCTACTTCAAGTAGTACTTGTACTTAAAGTATTTCCCAACATTGCTTAAATCCCTGTACTCATATTTAGTTATTTCTTCTTTAAATGAACAAATTATTGCACTTCCAGAACTGTACATTAGAGAGGTGCGCGACAGCATGATGAAAAGTTTCCGAAGCTCAACTGCTGATAGGCCTTCAATGCTTCCAACGTCTGTCGGCGGCAGATACAACTAAGCAAGAACGGTCACAACACTGTATGCGACTGCCGCCACAAATAGCCCGAAACAGTTTTTTTTTTCTTCCTTTTTCTCTGTTTTGAACAAGTTAATTTTTTTTTTTTTTTTGTTTTGAACAAGGTAAGTTTGTTTATTATTATTTTCACTCTGAGCTTCCACCCCCTAGCCGCGTCCCTGTAGTAAATCGCAGCGCTATACATTTTATGAAACCAATCTTTGCGGACCGTCTAAAGTGGGTTTGAAGCCTTCGCGTGCGTGCTGTATACTCAACCCCGGGTGCCCGTTCTATTAGGTGCACTCACCGGCAGGTATCTTGTGCTTCTCTTGCTCTTTCTTGAATTCACTGGACACAATCCACCGGGTGACATTCTCGGGTTCCTCGTTTTCTGGCAAAACTACCTTGCGGACCACCGGAGGCTCTCCTATCAGCTCTTTGGGAGGACCAGATGCAAGAGCATTAGTGGTCCAGCCAGGCCTAATAGCAACACTATTATGTTAACAAGTGTCGGACAAAACATAAAATTTTAAAATACCTTGCTGGACCGTATTTGGGGAAACCGTGAGTATCTCCTCGGCTGGTTTGAGGACGTCGACAATGTTGATCTTCCTGACACCTTAATAAAAAAAAAAGTAAAAAAAAAAAGAGCAATTGACGAAGACATTTTTCCGGATAAACAAGTTCAACGAAATACACATAACCCGTCTTTACATTTCCTTAAACAGGAGGCTTGGTGTGTGGCAAAGTAACTGTGACTCGATTAACTATTCCTTAAAGGGATACTGAACCAAAATTTCGAGCTCACAAAACAAGGCTGGTTGGATAGGCAGGACGCTGAAAAACCCGAAAAGTATCACTCATACAGCAATACGAATCGCCGTAATTTTGGAAAAAAAGTGCGCAATTGAAAACAGCTAACGAGGCCAATGAGACAAGTCACGTCACGATTCTCATTCCCTTTCCTCCTCGCTACGTCCCGTCGAGCTGGTAAACCGAAGCAAAAGGATAGAAAAAAGGCCACTTCCCCTCATTTTTCAATGTTCCAGGAGGACCATAACGTCATAGCCCTTGCTTGATCGCGCCCTTAGTTTCTAAAAGTATGGCCATCCGTCAAAATCGATGTACAAGTGATGTTTTGGAGTTCGTAGCGACCCATTCAACGCTTCTGCGACCTTATTTTGCGAAATCCATATTTTGTTTCAGTATCCGCTTAAGACACAATACAAATGTTTTTGTCAAAGCTGCGATGAAAAAGCTGGTTTAAATTACTCTCACTTTTTGCAGTCGACTGAATATCTACAGGTACATGCTTCATTTCCATTTCTTGGAATGAACCTCTTACCGTCCTTGTTGATAATTTCGACGTTCACTTGAACGAGCCCCTCGCCCTGGACACACTGATCCACCAAGTTTTTGCTTGCATTCAGCTGTTGAAGGAAAGCAACAGACTGAGTAAGCATTTTTTATAGAGCCTCGTTGTTTCTACCGGCACTACCGGAAAGAGAAGCAGATAGCTTGCTTGCCTGTACCTGTGAGACTGTCTCATCAATACCGTAGTACTATGGGCCCTGCCTTGCGCTCTCCGAAAAGTCATTTTTTGCATTTTATGTTTATACTAGACAACTTTTACACAAGACAAATTTGGCTGTTCCAGTTAAATGCCATCAGAACAGGCAGTTTACTATACAATGAGATGTATACTGTTTGAATTGAAATTATGAAACAACTCAAATAAAGTGCTGTATGTTACCCAAACTATAGGGAGGGTTAAAATATTTAATGCAAGTGACCACACCTCTTGAGTGTCCTGCAGAAAAAAGGCGTAGTCGTGAAGGCTCACTGCCAAGCGCTGTTCCAACAAGCTTTTCAAAGACGTCAGTGGCTCTGTGATGTCCATGTGCTGAGCAATGACTCCTACGTGAGACCTGAAACATTCAACAATGAAACTTTAAAGTTACAAGATAAAACAGGCACAGTTCTCGTAAGCCTACAACTGAAGACCAAGCGAAACCGGTTCTAGGCACGGGCTGTCGAAATAGGGCTAAAGTGATGACAGAACCGACGATGTGCCAACAGGTTTGGGGAGATAAGAAAAAGCAATAAGGCCATCAACTTCAGGTACAATCAACATTTCACGTACAGCACTTTTCGTTTCACCTTCGGTCAAGATGCAGCCGACGCCATGAGCCAATGGGACCAACCAAACGACATAGAAAGCGTGGCATTCGTCATCTTTTGTATGCATTTTTTCGTCGGCTAAACTAATCAAGCACAGCGAATGCCTTGTAAGTCACACTTTTAGTATGCGCATTCGTAATGGTATGTGTTTGAGCCTTCAACTGTGCTCTGACTTGAGACTAACATAAGGTGAGTTGACGCTGTGAAATACAAACTTCAACCATTTTTCTTTGCTTCTACTTCTCTGAATCGCCCTAAATACTAACATCTACCAATAATAAAATACTTTTTGCTTTGTTTAAGCTCATTTTGGTGCGAGTGTAACACAATTCTTTGCAAAAATGGCATTTTGGCACAAGATATAGCAGGCTTTTTTTTATGGCACAATTTGGCACAAATGACGCAGCACTTTCCTCACTTGGCCTACCACCTCTGCTCCCCTGCTGTTTTTCATTTCAATTGAACAGCTTGTCTTTTTTAATGCCCAACATGCAAGAAAGCAGAGAGGTCGGCGGCCTGTCCTACTGGCCGAGCCTCTGAGCAGACTAGGCCTAACTCCTGTCTGGCCTGTGGGATGGGCCTGTGCACCGCTCAAAACAGCCTATGCAGCGCTCTAAGGCAGCCTAGAGAAGAAGTTGGTTTCCTCTCTCCGACCACCCTCGCTCACCCCTCCTGGAGCTGGCCGAAGATCTGGCCAGTCGCACTGTCCTGGATGACCATGTTGGTGGAGGATCCCTCGGAGGACACTATGGCCTCCACGGCCTCCAGCATGGTCGCTCCATCTATCACTATCTCTTGGCACTCCCCGCCGGCTGCCTTGGGGCCTTCCTCGTCCCCACTGGCGTCTGCCATGGCTGCTGCGGACCGTTTCATGCTGCCCCAGGCTGGCACGTGGCCGGGAAAGGGAAGCGATAAGTGGGAAAACATATTGTGGATGCTTATGGTAAGTCTAAACAGCAACACAACTCAGGTGCAGTGGCCCCTCTGGCTAAATTAGCTACCTCTTCATGGTGAATCAAAAATTTATTTGAGATGTTCCATTGACATTCTGAGAAGAGTAGTTTCATTGCATCCTCTACCAATATCTGGCTTTCCATACTACCTTATGTGACAATCTAGGTGTAAAATCGTGGGGTTTTACTTGCCAAATTAACAAAGGGCATCTGGCATGCCCCAGCGGAGGATTTAAAGCACCTGAGGCTCTTTTGTCGTGCAACCGAAATCTTGGTTAAATGGTGCATCCCCTGCAATGTGCCTCCGGCGAACTGTGGGTACCTCGGCCGGGATTTGAACCTGATACCTGGGGATTCACAGGCCGTCGCCTTGCCTCGCAGCCACCGAGGCGGCAACACACAATCTAAATGACTAAAGAGTGTCTGAGTCGCCGCACAATTTTCACAGAAAAGTACTAGGTCAATAATTTATTTGATTTTCGGGGATGCCCTTAGAGAGCCTGTAGGCCCGCAGAAGAGTATGTACATTTCAATGATGAGAGTTACTGCGATACTTAAGCATAGTCATACTCCTTCAGTAAAATTCTGTGCCGACACTTCAGCATGTTCATGAGGCTAATGAGCAAGACCGAATTTTGAGAGAGAAAAACACAGTGTTTTAATGCACTTTCGTTTTTTGTCATTTCTAGAAGAACCCCAGCTGGGGAACGTTATTTTTAGGACATGCTTCCACCAACAACTCAACCACTGACACTGGCTTTGCTATATACTCAATGTTTCAGTGCTTAAGGTAAGTGACCTGAGGCATCCATGGTACGCCTCAGGTTAGTCAGCAAAAAATTGTTCCTATCTTGTCTTATAGAGGGATAAATATTTGACAAGAAAGCTACAAGAGGAAGCAACCCTGCAAAATATCAGCCAGCAACTGTGGGCTCCTCTACTGTTGTTGGCTGAAGCTTCACTTCACTCTTTTGCAGACTATCACCACCAACTAGTGTTCCACCGCAAAACCGGCAGATGCGGAGAAAAGCTCACCAATTTTTTTAACTTGGCGGACTCTGTGTCAAGCGTGGCAATTTAATACAATTCACATTCGCCACTTCATTTAAAAAAAAAATATGTCATCTTTTTTGTAATATTCTTGAAGGTCATTGAACATATTTACTAATTCCTCAGAAATGAGTAATCACCCATTCTGTATATTGATGAAGCCGCAAGTAAAATATCAGAACATCGTACACCGGTAAAAAGGACAACAATTTATTGACAACTGAGGGTGCGCCGTCGGTAGCTCTGTCAAATAAAGAGGTTTGTTCTTTGTGAGCTAATATGAATAGCAGTGTGTGAACCATTTCAGCTCCAAATATTGTGTAGTGCCTAATAAATAAGCAGGTGTTTGTTGATGTAATCAGTGTCGGCTACACTGTTCTTTTTCTGTTAATTTCACTAAGAAAACTTTAGTTGCGAGAACAGCTTCGTCCTGTCGTGTTTGTTGTCTTCACTTTGTCGTTACCTCACAGAAGACTACATCTTATATAGGTCACGAGTAACAACGGTGCCAGTGTGCAGATCTGAAGACCATGAGTGGCTCACCGTAGAAGGAATCACACAAAGGCAACGTGCAGAAACACCAGCACGAACGGCTAGAAAACGTGCATGTCCGTGGAAGAAAGAAGCCTCGATATCCTACTGACTGTTTATCCTGTTTTCAAAGGTTAATAAAAGCTTCAAAGAGAATTTCAGGCACCGCGTTGTCGCTCATGCAATTTCGGATTTTCGGTGTTTACAGTTTTGATTTTTAGGTAGACATAAGTTTTCAAACTTTATCATGTTATTCAAGTTCATAAAGTTTTCAGTTAGGCTTTAGTTGCCTAGACAGTAAGCCACAGAAAACACTGGCCCGTTATTATTAATTTGGGAGCAATAAACTTAATAAACTTAGCAAACAATACAAAAAAACGACATTTCCTTTTTGACAAAGCTGACGAACTTTATGATAATAAATGGGTATATGCTACGCATGATCCAACAGCCTCCATATAAAAAGAAGAAAAATTCGGTGAGCTTTTCTCCGCATACGCTCAATGGTCGGTGAGCTTATCTCCGCACCCGCCGGTTTTGCGGTGAGCTTTTCCACGGTATTCCATAACAACATTGTAGTAGGTCGTGGTCACGACTTGCTACTCGTGCTTATTTTGGAAGTTTCATGTTTCTTTTGGAAGGGAAAGAACATGCTACGAAATCAGTTTGGTGATGATCACAGGTATAAAAATGGTAAAAATAACAACGTGCGGTAACCGGCGGGGGCACGAATGCCGGCGACGTGAAATCGAATGCTTTTCAAGGTCGCACGTCGCGCATTCTGGAATCCGACGGCATCTGTCGCGCACCTACGCTACAAGACTACCGAGTTGTTCGGTACACCATTCTACAGCTCGGGACAAACGAAGACCTCGGAGCTAAAGTCTCGGCGACAGAACGGCGTCCAGGCGGCAAATTAAAATCTACCTTCGAAAAAAACAAAAAAAAAAAGGAAAACATTCAAGCGTCATGGAGCGACCGTTTGACCGATGCTGCATTCCAAAGCTAGGCGAGCGTCTCGACGTTCTTCGCGCGAGCCCCGAGCACAATGCGCTTCGTTTTCTTGCAACTTAGGGTGCGTAACATCCCAAGAACAACCGCAGTAAGAAGCATATTAGACGAGCAATTTTCAAATAAGCTCGAAAGAGGAAGAGGAACAAAGACAAGATGGCTATTTCCGGATGTGACGCGCCAAAACCAGACCGGACGTGGCACATGCTTAAAAAACCGCGCCTCAACGCGGTCAAATATCAGCGATGTTGCAGTTTCACGGACTACTAGAAGCGCTGCTTCAGCGTACCTTTAACGGCGATGGACGGGGCATGCCAGCGTCGATGCTCAAACAACTTTTATACGCGATACACTTCGGACAGGAAATTGCAGACCAAAGGAAATGGTGCTGGTCTCACGTGACCGGATCTGGAATTCTCGCGGATTCTCGTACCTCTACACGAGGTTTCACGGGAACGAGAGAATGCGAGAGTGCACGAAAAGACTGAGCGAGAGCGAGCAGAGATAGGGAGGGAGCGGTGGAGTGAATTCCGTGGTATCCTGACGCCGGTTAGTGAGCCAATCTTTTTATCGGATTCACGCTTTTAGATTGAAACACAAACTACCCTGATCTAGTTTTACGTTGAAATAGTTTGAACGTATGTGCTAATGTTATGCCAGCTAACTTTATTAACCTCTCAGCTATGACAAATAAAAGCTAGTCAGTATCGCGAAGCGAGTGCAATGTGCTTTGTAGCACGTACTCAAACCAGCGATAACCTTTAACATGCCTTTAGTTTAATACATTTCAAGAACTAAGCCAAATTTTCCACATTGTCAGGAGGAAACGTATCCTACTGTGATTTTTTTTAAGCCATTCTGGTTACAATCGTATGCCTCAAGGTCGAAATCGTGACCCGTGTGACCGTGCGGTCCCATGGAGCATGGCAGCACCGTGTCACGAACTCTGTTAAGTTTGTTTCAAACGCGCGTGTTTTCCTCTTCAGAAAACATGGCTCTCAACGGGAAATTGCACGCCCTAGCGACACAGTGCATCTCGCACTGCCGAAGGAACTACGGCATCAGTGCGGTGCTGATGCAGAAATCTTTGGATCCCGTGCAGAAACTGTTTGTGGACAAACTTCGGGAGTACGCCCAGAAGAGCAAGTGAGTACGGCCCACACCGAACGCAAAAGTAGCGCGTGCTTGGAAAGAAATTTGCACCTTACATTGACTTGTAGCAGGAAACTTGGGCACATCACCTTGTGTGCTTACTACGAGCACACCTTTACCGCTCGTAAAAACACACACACAGAAAAAAGATTCAATAAACTGTTGTTTTTCTAGATGATCCCTTTTACATGCAAAAATGCCCGATGTAATCTCTTCAAGAGAAACCTAAAAATTTCGGGGTTTTTACATGCCAAACCAACGAACAGTATTTGGCACACCCCAGGCAAAGGACAAGATTTATTTCGGCCACCTAGAATTCTTTTGACGTGCAACCGACATCTCGGTCTATTGGCAGCTTCCCCCAATAAGGCTCCGTCAGTTTGCTGGCAACTCGGCCGGGATCAGTGCTTGTCAAGTGGGGATGTGTAGGCCAGCGCTTTGCCTCTGATTTAATGAGGCTGCTACTAGAGCACTATATAGCTCCTACGGAGTGCAATCCTTTGATCCGCGTGTTTTGCCGACAACACGGCTGACGGAGCAGCTCGGCGGAAGTCACGTGGTACTCAGGGTTCCAGGAGGTGGCTCACCCTATGGGAGAACACGTGGAGATCGACGCAACACGGCTGATTAAAAAATAAACGACAAGTTCGCACTCTTCGAAACTAGTCTGTCGTGAAGTTAGTAAAGCTTGAAACACTTGATCAAAGTTTTCAAATTATTGGATGCCTGTGAAAATTTTGAGAAGGCAATTTCCAAGGCAATGGCGTTTGAAGCAGATGATTTTTCTGCGCAGCGGAGATGGACTTTCTGGGTTGGCCGGAGCGGGTCTCATGGACGATGCGACGTCGTCTGCTGCGTAATGCCGCTCAGGCAATTTTTAAAAAAAAAAATTATGTCCTTACATGGCACGCAACTTCGCACAAATTATTCTAAAATGTTCCTCTATTATGTCGAAAACTATTGACGTTCCATACATCCCCACAATATTGAAGAAAAGACGATTTTCTCACATTCCCCATGCATTTCTGATCGGAGTTGGAACCCCCGGGCATTCGCCGCTAGTCGCCGAGAGATGGCGTACTAGGTTGCGCTACTCTGCTCCGAAGGAGCTATATAGTGCTCTAGCTGCTACAAGATAAACCATGTGCTACATCCAGTTGTTTTTCATACGCTGTTTTCAATTAAAATTTGTTCCAACAGCATTTATTACATACAAACTGGACTGAATCTCCTACCTCACAGATCCAAGAGTGAACTTTTCGTTGATGCCGACGAAAAAATCAAGATGGAGTACAACGACGAGCTGAAAAAAGCAGCCGTTCAGTTTGGAGGCGACAAGGGTTCCGACATGAGCAAGTTTCCCGATTTCCAGTTTGAAGGTGAGCGAGTCTCGACGCCAGTTCTCATACCAGCCTGGATTGCGAACCCCATGTGACTTGTGTTTGTTTCACAGGGGCCAGTGATCTTGCTGCTCTTATGTTTCCCATGCTGTGTTCGTCCCATTTAGTCATTGAAGTTTTCATCTGCATAATGTGTTCAGAATTGAACAGCCTGTCCATACCACCACATCAGATGTATGTCTAACTACTAATAGTAACATCTGCTGGAGCTATGCACTTCCATCTGTACATGGGCAGCACTTTGGACTTGCTATAGGCACTTCTGTAGATGCATAGCTTGATAATGTCACTTTAGGTGCCTCCAGATACACGGTACACAACTTTGGCATCAACACATCATGTATGAGAGACCTGCTTTCATACATGATAATTTTCAGGGACATTCCAAAGCAAGTTTCCACGAGCAGAGTATGCCCATATTTCTGAGTGAAACAAATCCAGCTACATTGGCAGCAGGTTTCTGCTACATTGTTTCAGCTTGTCTGCAGTTTTGCTGACATATACCGGGTAATGTTAACTATTAGTATTAAATTTCAATACTGGAGGGTGGAAACATAATCTCCTCTTGCTATCATCACCATTTGTTTTTTGTGGCCAATTACCAGGTGTTTAATGTGCTGGCAGCATGTAGACAAGTCATCAGAAGTACTTGCCAGTTGTATTCCTTTTGATTAAAATACAGATTAAACCATTGGCCTATATGAAGCTTATACGCTGTGTTTATTAGCTTCAGAAAGTGACTGGCTACTCACATTCTGGTTCAAGAAGCTGGCAAAATTGTCAAGGGAAGGTTTTTCTTTTTTGCCAAATCCCCCATTGTCTTGGTAATATCTGTACTGCCTGGTGATAGTTACAAAAATGTGGAGAGAAAAAAATGATTGTCTTGTTTTTAGTTATTAGGCTAAGTGTTGCAAGCTACCGCCTGCAATAAAGGGTACAGCCATTAACATTCATCCATAGCATGTAAGGGTGGGGGTCGGTCCCATCATTTTCTCATAAATTAGGAAGGTCTATGTTGGTGTCACATCGAATTTTTCTGGAGTTGTGGTGTGTAGCCCCAGGCTCTTGTATTAGTACTAGTCATTTGTATAATTCATACCAGAAGCATCTTTCCTATAGATGCTGCATAGTGGACTCGTTCTATTCCACAGATCCCCAACTGGACCCCATCAACCTGGAGAAGAAGTAAGCTGCCAGCGGAGTTCCCACTGCACCCGTAGGCTCTCAATTTAAAAAAATAAAATGTACAGACACTGCTGCTAAAATAAAAGACGGTTAAAACAGATTTATTTGTACATGTACTAGCGTTGCATGCTTTGCAAATGCTGCTTATTTGTGCTTCAGAATCCAGTTGATGTTTTCTTCTAAAAGAGAAAGGTGGAAGTGCCTGCAAGAAATACAAGGTATTCATGAGAGATGTGCGAATAGTGAAATATTTGCATCGCCAAATAATGGCCGAAATGTTGAATGTCGAATTGGATACGAATGCTAAAATGTTTATTACTGATATTACTCACAAAACTAAACAAACAAAAAAGCCGCAGACATGAGAAAAGAGCCCTTGTGTTTATGCTCTTGCAGGGCACACGGAACAAAGAGAAGCTAGCATAAATAAAAATTATGTTAAAGACCACACTTAAAAGGCAACCCCGCCAATTCTGAAGATTTTCGGGATGAGTGATTTCTCATTAAAAAGCCCTAGTCAAAGACATGTCATTTGCTTTGCGAAAAATGGAATACATATTTTTAAATTTAATTTTGAACACGAGCAGACACTGAAACTTCGGCTCCGTTCGGCAACATTGGCCTCTGGCTCTATCACGTGGCACGAGTTGTCAAGTGATCCTCTACGCAACGACGGGAGGGCGTGTACCAGGCGCAAGTATTGTCTTCACCGCACTCTTCACCACGTTTTGGAGTCTACGACATTCAACAACATCTGTGCACATTGCGTTCGTAGAAAGGACAAAAATCGAAGAAAGAATATTCACAAACGGTGAGACAACAACGGCGGTTGTGACGCGGGAGACGGTGGTACCGGCTAGACGGCTCCCAAGAAACGCGTTGCGCAGGTGCGTTATCAGCGTCCTTTGAAAATCAGCTATTTAATCATCCGTCTCGAGCGCCCCTCCCTCTTCGTCGTTGTCTTTTCTGGCTCGCGCCTCGCGATGACTATAGCTCCTAGCACACCTCCCCCTTTTAGCTAAGGGCTAAAGCGTACTACGGGTTTAACTACTCGGCCACTTCGAGTCACAACGTGATCAGAATGTGGCGTCCCATAGGGCGGCTCTAATGTTCTTTCCGCAATCGTATCTTGCGGTGGAGGTCAGGTGATTTGGGCACTTTCGGAATCGGGACGAGATGAAATCGGTTCCGACTGAGGTTCCCATCCTGTGTGTTGACAAAGTGGAACCTTGGAGTGTCCGCCGACGACTGCACTATTCCAGTTTCGCGTCGATTGGTTATCCATACCCTGTCCCCAGGCTTCAAAGGTTGAAGCCGGCGGGCACCTTGTTGTCGGTCATAGTTACGCTTCTGATTCATCATCCTGCGTTCTTCCCAAAGATTGAGGGATTCTTTATCTACCTGACTCGGCTGAAGAAGGGAGTCAGTTGTCGGTAGAGAAGTGCGCAATCTCTGTCCCATCAACAACTCTGCTGGACTGTAGCCGTTACCCAACGGTCTCGAGCGGTAGGCTTGTAATGCGACGTAGCTATCCCCAGTTTTCTTCAGACTACGTTTGATGATGCCAACGGCAACTTCCACGAAGCCATTACTTTGGGGGTAATGTGGACTGAATGTTCTCTGTTCAAAGCCCCAACTTTCGGCGAACTTCTGGAACTCCGATACTTGTATTTTTCAGAATTATGGTCCGTTATCACTATAGACTACTTCAAGTGTTCCATGCCTTGCAAAGAAAGACTAAGTGAGTTATTACTGTAGTCGCCGTCAGACCGTTGAGAAGTGCAATTTCTGGAAACCTTGAAAAGTAGTCGGTGATAAGGAGGTAGTCTTTTCCTTCGAAGTAAAACGGGTCCATTGCGACTTTTTGCCATGGTTGATCAGGAAACTTTGATAGAAGCAGTGGTTCATGTCGGTTGTGTGTTTCTTGGATGCACTGTGTGCATATGCCTACTACATCTTCCACTTGACCGGAAAGTCCAGGCCACCATACAGACTGTCGGGCATGTGCCCTACACTTGGTAATGCCTTGGTGTCCTTCATGAAGTCTGTAGGATGCCATGGCGCATTGACTGAGGAATAATAATTCGAGATCCTCTCAAGAGACGACCGTCTCACAAAGGTGTTTCTGACCTACGAGGCCAGTAATCCCTGCAGTCAGTTTGAACCCCATTCCTTGTCGGCCAGCTAGCTGTCTTCACTGTACTTGACCAGTGTCCTGCACGTGACATCCGCAACTTGATTCTCTCGGATTTCTTTCAACCTATGGTCGGTTGCCGGCAAGCATGCTGTAACTCCACTGACGTAGAGTGCAATTTGCTCCTGAAAGTCTCCTTAACCTGTCTCCTGTAGAGGCTTCCGAGAGAGAAGATCGGCAGTATTCAAGGCTTTTCCAAGAATGTGTCTCATGTCGTATGAGAATCGCATCATCCAAAGTTTTATCCTTTGAAGTCGTAAAGTGATGTCCGCCAAGTTTTTTGACGAGAAAATTGGCACAAGGGGCTTGTGATCTGTTTCAATCAAAACGTGAAGTCCGGTTATAAAATCCTGGAACCTTTTACATGCCCACACAACCCCCAGGCCTTCTTTCTCCACTTGCACAAACCTCCTTTCGGTTTCAGTCAAAGTCCTTGAGGCATAGGCGACGGGTCGGTACGTTCCATCTTCTTGTTGGCGCAGTACCGCTACTTGCCCATACAATGAAGCATCAGTCGGAATGATTGTGTGGTTCCCTGGGTCGTGATGTGCCAACAATGGACTTCTTGTCAATGCGTTCTTTAACTTGCTTTCAAAACTTCTTTGTTGTTCGCTTGTCCAGATCCACTCGTTTTTTGTGCTTAGTAGGCAGTTTAGCGGGTAGGCAATCTCTGACATGCCTGGAACGAACTTGGTTAGGTAGTTTACCATTCCGAGGAAACTTCTTAGTTCAGACACATTTGACGGCACTTTCATGTTGACAATTTCTCTGATCTTGTTTGGGTCTGGTCGGACACCCTCCTGGTCGATGATGTTTCCAAGGAACTTAACTTGCTTAACGAAAAATTCACATTTCTCTGCGCTTAGGGTCATTCCTTTGTCCTGGAGTCGTTTTAGAACATTACGAAACCTCTCATGATGCTCCTCTGGAATGCTTCCGTATAGAAGGACGTCGCCCATGTTGCACAGGACCCCTTGCAGACCTTCGAGAAACAGTCATCTTTTTCTGGAAAAACTCCGGTGCTGATGTGATGCTGAAGGGCAATCTCCGGAACCTGAACCTCCCAAAAGGTGTTATGAAGGTCGTCAGATGTTGAGACTCTTCAACTAGTTCAAACTGCCAAAAGCTGGAGTTGGCATCAATCTTAGAGAAGTATTTCGCTCCAGCGAGTTGTCCCAGCACATGTTCTCCAATTGGCAAAGGATGCACTTCTCTTTTCACATACTTGTTTAGCTTGGTCAAATCTATGCAGATGCGCACGTCTCCATTGGATTTTGTGACTATAACCATCCCAAAGCACCACTCCATTGGCTCTTCCACGGGTTCTATAACTTGCATCTTGGCCATTTCCTCAAGCTTCTCCTTTATCTTGCCTAGCAAAGGAATGGCTACTCTCCGAGGCGTCATCAGTGCGAAAGGAACTGCATCATCTCATAGCTCAATTTTTGTGAGCTTCTTTCACGCGTCCCAGCCCAGAAAAAAGTTTGGGAAACTCGCTTTCCGGCTTGACGTCTCGAGTACGTAAAGTCGCAACGTCGCAGACTTTTCGGACGGTTCCCAGCTTCTCACTGGCATCTCTCGAAAGAAGAGCTTCATCCAAGTCGTTAACAACAAACAGGTCCGCTTCTGTTGACTTGGTTCTGTAGGTCATGTCCTTCGTGATCATTCCCAGCACGTCTAGTTCATAGCGACCGGGACCTTTTAGGATCCTTGTGGGCCTCTGCAGGGATGTCACTGAAAAAGACGCTTTGAACGTCTCTGTCAGAATGACTGTCACGTCGGCGCCAGTGTCGACCTTGAAGACGATCGGCACCTCGCCAACTTGCACTGCCGCCGTCCACCGTTGGCTGTTTTCGCATTCAATGTCTCCAAGGAATGCAGTCTCTGTACTGGGAACTTGGTTCAGCGCTCCGGAGCTTCGGCATTGGCGGCCGTAATGTCCAATTATGCGACATTTGTTGCACGTCGCCTTTCGTGCCGGACACTGTTCTTTCGAATGCTGACTCTTGCCACAGCGTGAGCAGTGTCCAGTCGATGCTTAAAACTGAGCAGAGTTGGGTACCATCTTCTCGCCCACTCCTCCTCCACGATTGGCTTTTCTTGAAGGATCCTTCTTTTATACGTAAAGCGATCCAAGTTGGTGCCACTGGACGTGTAAAGCCTGGTCTGTTGGTCTTTCACAACCTCAGACTGTCACGTCATGTTTGTTGCTTTTTCAGGTGTCAAGTCTGGATCAAGCTGCAGTCTTTCAGAAAGCTTGTGATTTTTAAGTCACACCACTATCCTGTCTCAAATCATTTCGTCGTGGAGTGTGCCGAAGTTGCAGAACTTTGCAAGCGTGTGCAGATCTGTTATGAACTCTTTGACGTTCTCTCCTTCTCTTTGACATCTCCATGGGAAAGTGGCTCGCTCATAAATAATGTTCCGTCTCACGACAAAGTGGTTCTTAAATGCTTGGAGCACGGCGCTGTAGTCTGTCATTTGCTCTTCAGGTAAACTGAGAGACAGCAGGATATCATCCGCTTTATCCCCCATGAAGTAGATGAGAGCATTCACCTGTTTTGTTCCTGGCTTCGCAACACGACCACTGACGAGTCGAAATCGTTCGAAGCGGCGTTTCCACGAGGTCCATTCTTCTGGGTTTGCAAAGCTGTACGGTTCGGGGGTTTGACACAAAAGCTGGACGTGGCCATTGCTTGCGTAACTCCTCCTCCGGCGATATCGCCTTGGCGCACTTCTGACACCATGTGTTGTCAGGGCCTCAGGAACTTAGGACTCAAACCAGCATCCGTTGAGAATCAGCCATTTAATCATCTGTCTTGAGCGCCCCTCCCTCTTCATCCTCGTCTTTTCCGACTCACGCCACGCGATGATTATAGCTCCTAGCACAGACAAAACTGAACACCGAGAGGAAATGTTGCTGTCACCTGTTAGGCTTGCCCGGAGAAGTAAAACAAACAAAAGAGGACAATGGTGATGACGTTTAGCTGAATGTTGGCTACGCCCATGCTATAGCCTTGACTGCACTGTTGGTTGCACCTCAACTCGCCCGCTCAAGTCAGCCGATTTTGGCAACTGAAAAACGCTTTCAGCAGTTTTTCATCTCTTCAACGTGGATCGTGTGAAATCGCAACACCACCGACTCACTTGGCTATGTTCAGGAAGATGCTCAACTTCCTCTCGAGATCCTCACGTGACAGGAGGGGCTGGAAGGGACCAGCACACTCGCAGTACTTCATCATGTTGGACCGCTTGATCTGCACATGACAGAAAGTCGCAGATAATTTTAATTGTCTTTTTATGGTCTCTAAAAGACCACAAAATGTGGTCTTTTAGACCACATTTAAATTAGAAATGTGAGGGAGAATTGAACATACTGACAAAATGAAAATGATGGCTAGAAAGTCACGGAGACAAAATTTGCCGAAGTCAGGATTCAAACTCTGGGTCTTCTCATCACCTGTAGGGAATGCTAACCACACCACCATGTCTTTTGGCGTTCTCCGTACAGGTTTTGCAAGCATGGCCACAGGGTGCCGCTGTCTTGCTCAGTTGGGTTGCGCTTGGGCGCATCATAATGCGATTACAAAGCCTGGCCAAGGTGTCGTAATCGGATTAGGGCTGCACCCAAGCGCACCCCAACTGAGCAAGATGGCGGCACCCCATGGTCGTACTTGCAAAACGTGTATACATCCCGTGAACACATATAGTACCAAAACGAAATGAATCAAATCAGAGGTGCCCTGGAAGCACTGTTAGAAATGCGGTAAGATCATTTCTTGCACATCGTATATGCTTCTTGTGCTCCAGAAATCCTTTCCCTGTTTGTCCCCCAACATGTACATGCATGCTCTCTTGTTTATGGGCTTTAGAAACATGGCACCATCATCTGCAAAAGTCAAGAGCCATATGGAATATATTGTGCATCATTTCCATCATCTTTTCATGTCTTCAAAGGGTAAATAGCGAAAATATGCAGATGAATAAACTATACTGATCGAATGGGAAGATTTCTTCAGTGCTCAACTCAACATCCCACATGATCACTAGGGCTGGGCATCAATTAAAATTTTACCCTAATTAATCGCTACCCTTTGATTGATTAATCAGTCAATTAATCGGTTTTGTTCATACCCATGCTTAATAGTTAAAAAAAAAAAAGTCAAAATTACACTTGTTGCTTTTTCTGAATATGTTATAAACGGGCAATGTTCAATTTCAGATTTTTAATCAATGTAGTCTTTTGACAGAGAACAGTCGAAAGACACCCACACTCACAAATCACCACTTCAGCCACAGAGGCAAAGAAGTTGGTTAATATTCTCCGGTATTAGCGAACTCCTTTGATTGTTCACAATAGTCTGCTGTGCTAAACGGACACTTGAGAATCGTTGAAGTATAACCTTCTCCACTTGTCTGGAGTTGCATATCTCACCTCTACAATTTACTTTAGGTCGAAATTGCACCTAAAGCTTGCCTTCATACAGGTGTACTCGTCTATGTCTGCGTGGTGAAAGTGTCAAACTTTTACTTTTTCGTTTGTCAAAATTTAACCGATTATCCGGTCAAAAAATTAATCGTGATTAAAGCATTAATTGGTAGGTTAATCGATAAAGTGCCCAGCCCTAATTATCACCAAGATCAAACCGGAAAATGGCTGAAAAACCAAGAAGATTAGTGAATAGTGCAGGAACAGCAGAGGCAATGTAAGAGCCTACCATATGACACTTGGTGCACTGCAAGTCCTGCAGCACCTGTGCCATGCAGAGTTGCTGGAGGTTTTCCTGCAGCAGGGCTTCGATCTCGGCCATCTCGTAGGGACTCTCGCACATGGAGCAATGCCACCGAGGTCTGCAGACGACAGAGGCAAGCGGCAAGACGTCACTCAGGCATAGGCGAGGCTTAGCAAAGCAGCAATGTCCCAGAGTTGACCTTTCCAGGTAGCATGCTCTGCTAAATACCTTGTGCATCTTAAAGGGGTGGTGCAACGATATTCAATTGGACTGTTTTTCACTTTACACGAGCTTACTGGCACTAGTGGGACTCAAGGATACTCGCACACAACGCCCCTGACCAAGAAACTCCTTTGTTGCACTGTGATTTCGAGGACAAAACCGAGCGTTTTCATTCAATCTCTCCTTCGCTAAACCTGATGACATAGCTGGGCGGTAGCAGTACCGCCCAGTGACGATATTTGAATGCGGCTCATAGATTGGACCCGAGCATTGCGTGGGCACTCGATTTGGGCTCGTGATAATCTATAGCTCCAGAAGAATTTGGGCAGTGTCCTGTGTCCAATCGTTGCAATGACGACAACAGCCGAACCATAACAATGTCTGGAACTCAGCGCGTGTCCTGTACTTTGCCAACCCCAGCACATGGCTATGATCAACATTGGCGGCATATAACCGGCTCCAGATCACGTGGCCGCTTGTTCTGGCTGCGAGTTGAGGGGGTGAACTCTGCTAGTTTTTCTTAATTTTTTTTTCTGTGACTTCAATTGCGTGTGGTGAAAAAGGAACGGGTATTTCACAGGTCATTAACGTCAGGGATCCGTTCTAAGCGGTATTTGCACATAATACAAAAATCGCTGCATCATCCCTTTAAGGAATGACTCCACTTGATTTAAGTTATTGAAAAGAAACAAAAAACAGCACAGTTCTATATAGCGTTACCTAGAAAGACGGCGAGTCAAATGTCACAACGTAATTTCGTCTACATGTGTATATTAAAACTGCCAACGAAGCTTTATGTGCACAAATTCAATGAAAACTGCTAAATTTGGAAAGCAATGTGCGGTGCACCAAACTGCGTCATAGACAATATGTTTGCTTTTTTTACTTTGCTAGGCAAAGCCTACAGATGGCACAGCCGGGGAGAAGGCTTTAGAAAACATGTACTTTACTTTAAGGCCGACCTACAGAGCCGTCTTCTGCCGGGCAAAAACCAGTTCCCAGTTTCCTCATCTACAATCCCTCGGTCCAGGAACAAGAGCTCGGGCACTTGTTCCTAAACCGAGAGCCGCGATGGACGCACCGTCCACACTGTAAGACTGGCAGTAAAGCTTGTATTTATTACACTACAAACCCCATCACACAATTAGCTGGCTCATTTTTACTTGCAAAAAAAAAAAAAATCATTTTGTTTGAAATAAATGAAAAAAGTTTAAGTGTTTCTAAATTTTCCTGTTAGAGATCAATCAGATTGACTGGTGCTTGCATACAGTGATCACTTACAGACATAATGAAATGTTGGTGTACAAGAAATTGTTTTTTGAGAACTACTTATAATCATGAATTTGGGGTGACTCGCTTCAGGGTGGACAGACCAAACAAAAATGCCCCCTCCAGGACAGTATCACACCTAGCAGAACTTCTTGACCGCATACTGAACTTTGGTTGAAGTTTAATGACCAGTAACATACTGAACGACTTTGCTTTAGGACTTTTCAATGTGAAGTCACTCATTATCCTGATAATTGCAGAGATGACTGGTGTTGCCTTTTAATGAAGCACAAAGCTTTATTTTCGAAAAAAAAAAAAAACTTTAAGCAAGAAGGTTTACTTCACTCCAAACAAGAATTTGCAGAGTGAATTTTTTTTAATTGGACAAATCTGCATTAACATTTGTCTACATGAGATGCATTTCAGTAAGACACACATCATAAAAACTTTTGCTCTAAATTGAACTAAAAACAATAGCAACTCATTAAAAGATGATCATCTCTCTGACATTTTCTAAAACAGCACCTCTGAAGCTATCAGAGTTTGTCTGTACAACCTGCACACTGAATAGAGACCCGCCACCCTACAAGTCAGTGTGCTCAGTTGTTCTCCGTCTCACCTGAGATTTCTGCAAACATTATCTGTTGTTATTTTCTCCTGGATCACATTTTTTTTAATGCTGTTTCCTAAAAAATGTATCAGCTACTTCAGTTCTAGCTGTACTATGGTACTACTACTAGGGATGAGTTTGTAAGATGTTTTTCTACATTACTGGTTGAGATTTCTAGCAACATGGCTGCAATTAAGCAGACTTCATCTTTGTGAAAACAAAGATAGTACCCTATTTCTTACAACAGATAGTACCCTATTTCTTTCAGCCCAAGTGGCCTTCTGAACAACCCCCAAGTGACTGAGTGTAGGCAGAACATACATGCCATGGCTGTCCAATCCCTGGTAAGGATCCTTGCAGAGGTCAAGGTCTCTGCAGTTGTTGCAGGTCTTGCAGATAACCTGAAACATGTTGGAGAGTGTGTGAAGCATTCATAAATATATTATATCACTGGTTTCCTCAAAATAAAAATATAAGCAGCGAGTGAACAGAGAAAGCAGGGGCTGTCTGTTTGTTTAGCCTTTGCATAATCCTACCACATTAGACAGCTCATGCCCTGTATGAGGAACTAGAATATGTATTCACACTAACTTCCTCATGGACATTACCTCTGTGAGCATGAAGGAGAGGCATGGGTCTCTCCACGTGGCCTGGTCACTGAACTCTCCAACGCCAATGAGCCTGAGGAGATCTCGACGCAGTTTGGTCACCTCTTGGGTTATGTTCCCATCCAACGAGAGCACCTGAGAGAATAGTAAGCCACGAGTGGGGTCAACATTGAATCTACCGAATGCCACAGTCATTAAGAACTTCACCACTCAATGATTGTGAGTGCTATAATATCCTTGTACTATCATCAAGCACATCAGTGATAGCCAAGCAGCACAGATTTTGGCCAAGCATTGACCAACGGCTGGTGATGGTCTTTTAGCTAATGGCTAAAGAGTGGCCAGTCATCGGCCAATGGCTGGCCACTGTCTGGCCACTGGCCAAAGAACCATTGCCAGCCATTGGAAATGATTGGCCAAATCTGTGCTGCTTGGGCGGTCTCCTCCTGCCTATCATCTCATCAGTCGGTAACCTTACAATAGTCAGCACTGCCTTCTAGGATATGCCGCAAAGATATGGAACAAGCGCCGGTGCAAGACCCTGAGTACCTGCTCAAGAAGGATCTATGCATGTTTAGACTGGCCAATTCTGAAGTTCACGAAGGGCAGAGGATGGAGTGATTCAGATCAGGCAGCCAGGCACTCACTTGGCAGACGGCCTTGACAAATTCCAGAGCAGGACTAGACTGAGACAGATGAGAGCCCGGAATGGTGGGAAACACGCTTTCCCCATCCAGGAGATTCGACGGAAGCTTCTGATGTATTTTCTGCGTAATGCTGTTGGACAAGGTGAAGCAACAGTCAAAACACACGAGAAAGAGTGATAAAATAAATGAAGGTTGTGAAGAGGAAACACAAAATAACCTCCCATTAGAGCAATTGGTGTTGTATGAATATTCTAATTGTAGTTTACAGTAATACGTAATACGCTATTCGACATTCGCTTCGAGATGAACTGCGATATTCATACTTTTTTAAGCGTTGATCGTGGCAGGTGAGCCCCGTTGAGTGCGCTTCACATTGAGCATTTGTGCGCTGCGGGGAAGCAATACCCGCGGAGCTCTCGGGTTTTGCTTCTCCGCAGTGCACCGGTGATCGATGAGAAGCTCACTTAAAAAAACACTCCAAGGGAAAATTTTTTTATTTTTTTTTTAAAGGGCGTAAATGGGTCAGATGTCATTTTTAAATCATTTTTCCACAAAAAAAAATAAAATTTGGCACAATATTTACAGTCAGATGCAATTTTGGTGCGGAAGGTAGAAGTCGCACCCTGCCAAGCCCCGTCTTGTGCTTTCAAGGTGCTTAGATCTCTCATTGGCTGGAGAGATGACTGACGTGTGAAAGGTTGGTAGTAAATTTGTATCTCCATGCCGTAATAGTATTTTAATTAACTATTTTTTATGTTTGAAAAGCAAATAATCAAGATTAGTCATTATTGTTTTCAAATGTACTCCCGAGATTTCTGCTCCCGCTTTGGTTTGAAACGTTAACAAACATGGCTGCCGGCATCTGTGGAGTGATGAATGAGCAAGCTCGTTGAGCTCGTAAATAATTACGAGTGCGAGTGGTTTTGAGTTCACAGAGGTGTTTAGAGAAAGATCTCTTCAACCGACAAGGCATCCTGGACTAAGGACGCCTCCGAAAGCTTCTTTTGCTCAATAAAGATGTTTATTCTCTCTCACTCTCCTCAACCGACATAGCTTACAGCAAACAACTGCCGCAAGTATGTGCGTTTGGAAGCACTGTGGGAATGCTTGTTTTCGTGGCGGGACTGGCCTCAGCCTAGCAACCCAGATCAACTTTTATGATCGACCTGGCTTGGCTTTTCAAGTATGCCTTTGCATACTTGAAAAGCGACATGTCAAGTCAGTGCTAAAGAAGACAGTGGTAAATGAAAATTGAAGGAGAACTACAACGTCCCAGGACTACATCTGCGAAAATCGTGCATATACATCCGTAAACCACTCAAACCAGATGTGTAGGTGGCCGAGTGGTCTAGAACGTCCCTTCTCGCTACTGACTTTGCAAAGTTTCGGGTTTAAATCCGATTGGAAGATTCTCATATTATTCAAAAGTTATAAGTGAATTTCTCAAATTTTCAATGAGAATATGGTAATCGACGGAGCTGAATGACACGTTACCAAAAAACGGGCCCCATTCTCACATTGAAATTTTCAGAAAAACACTTATAACCGAAGCTCTGTGTTTACGGTATTTTTTTTTCCCTTGAGAGTGGGGGTGTTTGTTGTTTTTCTGAGTTTATTTTTTACCGCAGATTCTGTGATTTTTGTGTAAATTGTTTATAACTCAGTTTACACAAAAAAACACTGAATCTGTGGGAGAAAATAAACCCTCCAAAAAACACCCCAAAATTCAAAAAGAAAAACAAACAAACCCCTGAAAACACGAAATCCTACTTATATTTATAACTTTAGAATGAGATAACAGTTAGTTGTGGAACTTTGGCATCCGGTTCAGATCATTAGTGCTACATTTGGGCGGAGAATGACCTTTCGGTGATGCATAGGTTATTTTGTGCGGTGAAAAAAACCATATAAATATCTTTTGGGGACACACTATATGTGTCTCAATGTCACTCAATTCAATTCAACGTCACTCAACTCGATTCTAATGTCATTCAATACAAGAACAGCAATAAATAAATAACTCATTCTTTTTATCACTCTCAAATTATCATATAAAGATTAAATAAGGTTTAATAAATATTAAACATGTTTACAAAGCTACTGAGACCTTTCAAAACTTTCAATGAGCTGCCCAAGAGTGCCATTCAACAGTCTTGGGCAGCTCATGCTGCCCAAGAGTGTCGAATGGTCATTTCACACAGTCGAAAGAACCACACAGTTTAAACGCAGTTTATAGAATGTAGATGCAAGATTTTGCCGTAACACACAGGAATCAGCATCTTTCAACATTTCTGTGGTCATGAAGTGATGCATTTTCTTTTCGCGACCGCTTTAAAAATTAAAAAAAGAATTAGTCAAACGCCTGTTTTATGATGTAAATAAAGTCCCGGCCAATCTCCTATGTGTTCATAGAAGAGAATACAGAGCAGTGCAGCCGCTTTGAAAGCCTCCTGCAATTGACACGTGGCGGTGCAAGCTGCTCCCCGATTTAGAAAAGGTCACATTTATGCAGTCAGCGAACGCCCCTAATTGGCTGCATGGTCGGGTGTCGATGTCAGTGGTTTAGTTATTGTTATACTCTTAACTGACATATATTTGTTTCTTTATTTATTTGATACGTGCCCACAAACAGCATGATGCCTTCAGCATGGTGCACACAATAATAACTAAACCACTGACATCCATTCATATATGTCAGTTACCGCATTTATTTGAATATAAGTCAACCTTTTTTTTCCCAAAATGTTGTCAAAAATTAAGGGTCGACCTATAATCGTGACTAAATAATTTCGATGTACATTCGCGACCAAATTTTGCGACCCCATCGAGGGCATGGAGCTATTGAATTACCGATCGGGCGTTGCCGTAGAGCCGCGCCGCTCCTTCTTTCAAAAAGCTTTTGGTGCACGAAAACAACCGAAACAGCAGCAACCGACAGCCCCCCCCCCGTCGTGGCCGCCACTTGCGCACATCCCTCGGGCGTCGGGTTTCGCCATTGCGTCTGTAGCGTTCCCCTCGCAGGGCAAGGGGAGGGAGAGGAATGCGATGCACGATGCACCTTGCCCTCCTATCCTCTCCCTCGCAAACGCACACAAAAGAAAAAGAAAGAAAGAAAAATGGAGGTTACTTTAGCATGCTGCTTGCGGCGGCTTGCGTGTTGCTCACGGCGACTCGCGGCGGTGCTCGCGTCTTTGAATTTGGTCTTTTGTCGCTTCGGCCGTCTCCACCTTCTTTCTTCTTGTCGTCATTTTACAACAGTGTCAGTGAGGTATTGTTGCAAATTTTTGAGGATTTCTACCAAGCTGACGAAGCTTCGGACAACGACATGTCTGGAAGTTCTGACGATGATTAAGTTTTTGGCATTGCCCTGCGATTTAGCCGAGGGTGCTGCAAATAAGAGTTTTTTTTTTTTTTTTTTGCCCTAACTTTACCCTGTTCCTCTTATTTACATCAGCATAACTGGTCCCTGCTTCGATCGAGTCCAGACCCTGTCTCGTGCGAGTCCAGCTCCCAGTCTCGTGCCCCGTGCAAGCGGGAGCACATCATCTTCACACGCACCTGGTTCGCTCTGGCCACACCCATGGCCAGTCGCTACCACACAGGGGTTGACTTATATTTGAATTATTTATTTTTTTATTTCTCGGTGAGTTATAATAAATAGGGGTCGACCTATTTTCGTGGCCGATCTATTTTCGGGTAAATACGGTATATGTCAGTCAGGTCTGGATAGCAGGAAATTAGACTGCAGCAAGGAATACCCAGTGTCTCGGCTGTAGATAACAAACTTTGCCAGTGGTGGTACTATCACCACCGCTAGCCTGGAGTCTTTAAATTGTGTCACGCAGTGATGAGTACACGAACACATGCCAATACAATTTACATCTGGGAAAAAGAAAGGTAATCGAGCTTGAGATGCCTGGATTTTGCAGTGTGAGCCCCACGTGCTTCGAGCTGCGATGCGCTCGCACTGTTCCCTCTTTTGATAAGTTAATGGTCCACGTACGAAACCTTGTTTCTAATGTCACTCGTACTATATTTGGCGCTATAGTTTTTCCTAAAACACCTCGAATGTCGCGCAGAAACCTCAATATGCGACAGCACAAATTCGGTTTCGCATGATAGATTTTTCACGCTCAACTACTACAGTACAACGAAGTTGCCTGTACTACGGCAAATTTGACCGGTCCCACGAACTTCGTTATAGAGGCGTTTAACTGTACCACTTACCCAAAAAGTCTCTGGGCAAGCTCTCCACTGACTAGCTGCTTCATGTATGTTGCAGTCTCTGAGCCAACGCTCTGCTCCTTCGGCTGTAAAACAAACAGGGAAAAACGTGTTCATCCTATGTAACCCACACATTGATTACGACGAAGAACTCAGGTTTCATATGCTGGCGTACCGAGCACTGTTTATTAAGACGTGCCCACCGCACTTAGATTATGACCAAAACGCCAGAAGCACATGACTTTTTCGAAGTGGCATACATTTGGCAGTTTGGGGCAGAACATTTTCGCCTGCTTGATTTCGTGGGCAGTCCCATCTTTGTTTCTGCCCCCTTTCAAAATACCTTGTTTAGCTGGCCCCCTTGTTACATGCAAACAAGTGGAGTAGTTTGTCGGCAGGCATGACAAAATTGTGCAATACTGGTTTCTAAACTGCAAAGTCTGCAATAACTGAAAAAATGTTTGTGCTGTTTGTGCAACCTCAAACAAAAAGCAGACAGGAGATCACATTGCAAGACTCTTTCTTAGCAAAATTAAAATTTGAAAGATGAGCACAGCTGCACCCAAATATAGAAACAAATCAATAAAAAGATCAAAGAAGCCTTGTGAGATGTCAGCCACAAAAAACAGGCAAAGGAAAATTGGACAAAGAGGAAGCAGTAGAGGAACATTAGAGGAAACAAAGAAAAGTGGAAAGGTAGCGTAGAAGATGGTAGATTGTTAGGCTGCGACGTCAACGGTATACAAGGTACACGGAATGGGAGGGCGTATGCTCAGGTCAGTCTGCAGGTCACACTGTTTATTTTTTCTATGGGAATGTGTGTGTGGTTCAAACCCCGGTCAATCCCTTCCACCGGAAATCTCTGGGGCATCACCTTTGCGACATTAAGCCCTAATATTTCTTTTTACAAAAATTACAACATCTTTAGGTACGACTACACTGGCTGACCAAGTTTCTCACCCCTGTGCATGCGTTTGTGAGGAATTTGAAGAACAATACAGAGGTGATTCTGAAGAGCGTACTTGAAAAGGGTCAGAAGATTAAGTTAAAAAAGAAAAAAAAAAACACTAAACGACACGCAAAATATAGTGACTCCCATTCACTACGAGTGCAATCCTAGCAGGCTAGTCCAGACTGCTGCGTGTGAAGCAAAATGGACCATACAGTCGCTGACCGATTTTTTGGACGTGAATAATTTGGACTTGTTTGATATTTTGCACCTAAAGGAGGAACCGGGACCTACCCGACAAAAATAGTGCATATTCACGACCAATGTTTCGGACAGTTTAAAGTCCTAAAGTTAAACTTTTCGGACAAAATCGTCGCGAGCGATTAGCGGGACACACCGCCGAGAAGCAGCCATTTTGAATTCTATGTTGACTGCACATGGATTGGCTTGGTTTGGCAGCTCTACTTAAGTACTGCTAAGTCATATTGCTAGGTGACGCTGTACGGCTTTTTTTTCTCTGGCTGCAAGTCATTATCGTCATCATCGTTGTTACCATTTTGCTTTGTTCATTTGCCATTGCAGTCGTGGACTTGTTCCTCTCATCTCAATCTCGTCTCGGTGAATCGTGTTTTCGGACTACGCTGGCTTGGACGTCATTGCCCCATCTGTTCTTTCGCTGCCACAATGTGTTGCTAAGAGGCACAGAAAGTACTCTACCGTAACGCTAGAAAAGAAGGCAGCAATTCTCAAGCTCATAGAAGGCTGCCGAACGCAATTGGAGGCATAACCGGAAACAAGGCGCGCAGGCATAACCTGAAGCAAGGCACTGTTTTCGGCTTTTTAAGCGCTTAGACGTAATAAAGGCAAGTTTTTTAATCTGCCGATTTTTCGGACTGTTCTACTATTCGGACGTTTTTTTGGTCCCTGCGAAGTCGGAAAAATCGGTCAACGACTGTAGACATTGATACAAAGAAAACAATAGCAGGACAATGGACAAAACAAAGCTTATACTTTCAGGCAGTGCAAACCACACGGTGTACATTAGTCAACGTAAACTGTGAGCTGCACCAGTCCAAGACATGCTACTCGACATATTTCCAGGGAACATGACCACACACAACTTTGCCCACTATTTTAAGGTCTTACCGCCTGACTGATAGTTCTACGCTGAACCTGGGAGGCTCCAGGGGCTTCGATTTCCTGCTTCAGTTTCAGGTACACAGAATTTATGTAGCCACCAATGACCATCTGAAAAAAAAAAAAAAAAAAAAACACAAAAAATTAAAGAAAAAAAAAAACCTGCAGCACTCAATTTGTCTTAGGACTACGGTTGCAGTGCTTTTCTGAGATACTTTACAGGCCCTTGAAGGATTATAAGTAGTGCCTCTGTGTTTTCGGGGTTTGTTTTTCTTCTAATTGGGGGGTGTCTTCTCTAGGTTTATTTTTTCTCACAGATGTAAATTTTTGGTGTAAGACAAAAAAATCGGTATTTATGGGGGCTTGTGTAGAAGGAAAGAGGACAAAGGCTCCCCCACCTCCAGAAAAAAATGCACTTGACCCGAATATACTTGAAAAACGTCCGGGAACTGATAAGGGAAGGAAGAGATAAGGGCTGTGGTTTCCAAAAAAAGAAGCAGCATTGTGAACAGTTCAGTGGGGGTTGTATTCCAGGCCAACACAAAATTAAGTTGTAGATAAACATTTCTTGCTGAGAACTTACGGTTTTTCTTATAAGAACGCCTTCAATTCGGGGGTTTTCGGTTTCTCCTGATTTTGATAAAAGCGCCTCGGGAGTCATTTTGGGGGGTTTATCGGCGTATAACGAAAAAGCAGAAACCTAGCTATATGGTAAGAATTCAACAAAAAGAAACAACTCAATCAAGGAGAACATATGTGACAGATAATGCACTAGTACTACTCGCCATTGCATAAAAACCTCCCTTGCCAAATATTTGCACTCGAAAATCAGTCTAAACCCAATTTATGCCTAAAACTAGTAAAAAAGGTATCTTTTTTTTTTTTAGGATTTCCCATTTCAGAACTTACTTATGTGATGTAACCCTAGTAGACACTAGGAACAATGATATTAGTGGTAACTAGTCATATCAAGTGAAAAGGTTTTGGATCCCCACTGAGAATGATTTACTCAGTCACATCGTAGGTCGCTACAACATCCAAAAAAAGAAAAACTCCGAGAACACCTAAGTACTTCTTACGAGAAGTGAATGCGAAAGCATGAATGTCGTTCTTCTGCTCCCTTAGTTTGTCTCTGGTCTACCGGCGTGGACGGCCACGTTTTGCTACTCCCGAGGTTGGGGCCGCCAGAGATATAGATGCCTCAAGTGCTGCCATGTTCTTCGGTGCCGAGAGGAGCAGAAGCGGCCGCAGCCCCCCTCCCCCACTCCTCCTTTTCCACCCCACCCCCCCCCCCCCATCCCCCCCCACTCCGGCAACGCCTGACACGAGAGCAGCGGCCAAGCACGCTCTCGTGAAGCGGCTGCCAATGGCTATCTAGGAACCGCTTTGCTCAGTCAATAGGAAAATGGGCATTTCTTTTGCATTTTCTTGCGGTTACAGATGCTGTCGGCTTCGCTCCAAGGGATAGTTAATGTTTTCACATTAAAATTACACACATAAACCACAAAGTTCAAATCTTATATTGTAAAGGGAAGATTACATCAAAACAATGCACTCAATTCAGTCAGTGAATATGGAAGTGGACTAATTGGAAGGTGCACTAGGAATGCTTTGACTCACATTAAAGTTTTCTTGCACAGCACCTGCTTCGGGCAAGAAACGAGCCAAGTTCCAGAACATGCGCACCTCTGCCTGAAATAATGATTAAACATGACAAGATACACAAGTTGGTATGCTGCAAAAGAAGTTAGCTTGCGAAACTTAAAAACTTTTCACTTTATTCAGACATAGACCAATGTTCACATGAAAATAAAAGTAATTTGGACTGCCCAAATTAAATGAGAGTTAGCACCATAAAAAATTAATAACTAGAGAAGGTTCTTAAACTTTCATTTGAGAACCTCAGCGAGAAACTGAGGAGTCAGAAAAGTAATGAATGAAGGTCGTAAAAGTTGCATTGGAAAAAAAGAAATTCACTGACAGAAAAAAAAAAAGAAAAGTGACTTTTCGTCTGCGAGATTGTCCCGGACGACCCTATGTGCACAGCAGGGGCTCCAGCAATGCACTGTCAGCAGTTACACGAGACATTACTTAGGCTCCATTTGTTCTCTTTTCAAAGTTTAAATTTTAAAAGGCACTCAGGTGGATTCTGAGGTAGTCTATTCATGGTGATAACTCAATCCACAGGCTCTAAGCATCCTAGAAAACCTGAAATCACACTGATGGGCAAAACTAAAAATTTCATCAAAGATTGTGACATGTCCCTCTTTCTGCACCTTGGAGCAGACATAAGATGGCACCATCAGATGGTGTTTTCAAACAATAATTGCTGTATTATGTCTCATAGACACAAAGATTTGACATCTAGAAACGCCAACACAATCCTGCGTTGCCCTACGCCAGTCGGCTTAAGGATCTCAAATGGCATTCCCTGGCTCATCGGAGAAGAGTCGCCAGGGTGGGCCTTACCTGCCGACTCCTCGACGGCTCGCTCAAAGGGACGTACCTTGCGACCATCCCAAGGATTAACAAGAGATCGGGACAGCCTGAACTTATTCGAGCGCGTACCAAACACCACAGTTGCTCGCCGATCTTAGCCGGCATTGAGGACTTCATCTCGGCCCCGCTCAGGATACGTTCGCCGCTTCCCCAGGACCGTACTGAATCTGTGTCGATGTGTCGCTTGTTTTCAAAGCACCTACAGCAGCAGGCGTCATAACAGTGCTGTAGTGTAGTGTGTGTTTGTGTGTGTGTGAGTCAACTTACTCTCTACATTTCACCCTCATTTTTCTTTTAAAACATTTTGGGTTACGGCCCTGTGTACAAATTTAATATACGTGTGCGTGTGTTTTTTTTTTTTCAAATCCTGGGTGGCGGGCTGGCAGGCGCACTCGCGTACGGGTTTTAACCTTTCTGCACAGCCGTGCACGCCACTCAAGATCAGATTTTTTGTATGCAAATAAATATTATTATTATTATTATTATCATTCGGAATCTCCACGCAATTAAAAAGGGGCTAGGGCACAAAAATTAGACGGATAGGTCATTCTTGATATGGAATGCTCATAGGCTACTTAGTATATACACCGAGTTTCGCATTTTTTTGAGCCCTAGTAATTGCTATAATCAATTTACTAATATTGATAATTTTCATCTGGCAACCAGGCAACACTGCCCAAGTTAGGCAAGGGGAAGAAAATTGGATTGGACGGGCGGGAGGAATCATATTTTTGTTTTTTTAGATTTGGGCTAGGTGGCGCAAGCTGCCACCTGTTACGAAGGGTATAGCCATTAACATCCACCATGGTGCCTATTAACCACATGATCATGAACGCTCTCTGATTCTAGGTGTCCCCACGATCGCCCGAGCTCGCCTCGCCACGGTACGATCGAAACCGCTCTTGCAACTCAGCAACCCCAACGCTATCCTTGCTCTTGCATCCAGCCCTTTTGACTTTCCACCCTGCGTGCGCCTGCGAGATTGTCCCGGACGACGGCAACCAGAGCGAGTTCGTTTGTGACTTGCCGTCGCTGGAGCCGGTCGCCGGCAGGTCGCAGTCAAAATGAACAGTTTCCAACATCTATTAATTACAATCACTCTCATCGCTGCTGCGATCTGTGTCGAAGACTTCGATGAAGCGAGCGATGCTGTAGACATAATCATCACAGACTACATGCTCAAAACGCGGAAGGTAAATAAGGAAGCTGAAGCTCGATACGTCAAGAGAGTCAAGTCTGTGAGTGCATGCAAGGGGACGCCGTGCGGTTGGCTGGTGACGTCACCAGCCTTTCGGCCATGGCAGCCTTTTTGAATGGGGCGGATCCCAGGGATCCGCATATAAATTGATTTATCCACGAAACTATTGCACCATTTTAAAAACAAATTTAGCAGGATTATAGGAACATACAATGGGTCTCAGCAGTATAGTTATCTAGTTATCTCATATTTTATTTTTGGCATGCCCTGACCCCTTTAAGTATTTTCATTAGTCAACGCTTATGGGGGTGGTGGCGACCCAAGGGTGGCCTCTTCAAGGAAAGATAGTGCATATGTACTTCTATTGTTGCGAGCTTACTAGGATGTCTTGCCATCTAGAAATGGTCCTTTTTATTGACTAAAGTCCGACAAACAATATGCCATAAAAAAAAAGCTTCTAGAAAAATCCGTGCCCCTTTAAGTTATGTTCAGTTTGGTTGTTTTTGGTTTCTCCAAACTTTTTTTCCAGATAATCAATGAAACACACCCAACCCCCTTTTTGATAAATTATCTGCATCAACAAAGAGTACAGTGAACAGAGATATTATGGGTATACGCAGTCACTGACACCATACCTCTTCTTGTTCCTCCTCTCCCTCAGGGGATTCCTGTTTTCCCTGTACTCCGCCATGATCTGCCTGAATCAACGAGGCAAGACAAACAATTCATTTCCATTAAACAAATGCAGCCCACAGGAAAGACCCACAAAACATTGCACGCATGGTACAGAAACACATCAGGTCCTGTATGTTACTTCCACCAATTGTGTACCTACTGCCAGATATGCAGCGACATGAACATTTGACAATAAATAGAGTTAATATATCATGCAAAGTTGCTCGAACAAAAATGAGCCTAAGGGACAAAAGTCTCGCATCAATCACCTATAAATTGGTGCGAGAAACAAACAGAAAGAGCCCCCTGTTTAGAACTTGCTCTGGTAAACTCATCTCTCAAATTCTTATTAAAGACTTCGACACTACTGTGCTAAGTTAGGAGGCGAAAATGAATTCCCATGGCCTTTGGAGACCTGTCTAAAGCTCAATATCAGTTCACATACAAGAATTTTATTATTTGCATTATTTACCAATTTACCCTAAAGGCCCTTTTGGACATTACATACAGGAAACAGTTTCTGCAACAAAAATGGATGTACAATGTAGTCAAGTGATTAAAAAAAAGAATTGTGTTCTTTGCCGCAGTAGCAATGGAGGCCACGACGCTGTAGTGCTCCGAGATTTAAAAAAGAAAACATACCTATGGTGGTTGGCGTAATTAACAAAACTGAACACAAAAATACTATCCTTAAGGTCCATTTGCATAGTATTTTGATTTGAGTGCGATAGACTGCGTTGCAACCTAACGGTAGCCTTGAAACACTTCCAATCTACATATATTCGACGCATCATTCTTTTATCGAGTGCTCGAGATGTTTTGAACAACATTAAAGCAAGGTTCCGTGTACTCGGTAAATACCGACAAACCCCGAAAATTAACCCCTGAACCCGTTTCATTGAATAAAAAAAAAAAAAACTGAAATGTCCCTTCTCCCCCGAGTTAGAGCTGCCCTCGAACAAAAAGAATCCAAGGTTCACAGGAAAAAAATTCCTTTCCGCGGCTGTACAACTGTGTGCCAGGCTGCTCAACTCTTTGGAAGCCCTTTCGGGTTTTCTTCTCTTTTTGATACCGGAATGTTGCCAAAGTATGCGGAGTGCAAGTTCGTCTGCTTCTTGCGCAAGGGTTGCAGTGACATCAAAACGCTGAGCTCCGATTGGCTCAATTGACAGGATAGTGGGTAGACCTCAAGGCAGCTAACATTGAGGTCTACCCACTATCCTTCCAACCAGAGCCAATCAGAACTTGGCATTCTGACGTCACCACAACCCCTACGCAAGAAGCAGACAAACTTGCGTGCCGTATTGGGATCCACCGCACACATTCCCTGAAAGTTTGCAAACCCCACGCCCGTCCTATTTTCTTCAGTATAAACCCCTCAAAAAGCTGATTTCTTTTTATCTAACACACAAATCAAATCCAAAATCTGCGGGTAAAAAAAAAAAATAAAATAAAATAAACCCTGTAAAAACATCCCGATAGATGGCGTCGGTGTACAAGCAAGTTCTCTCGTAAGGAGTTATGAGCAACTGTAATGCAGTCAATTAATCACACTCAAAATGCAAATCTGCTGCTCTTAAGGGTGCAATGCTCTCTTAAAGCAAGTAACATGGTTCGAGGCTGAGGGCGCAACACTCCTTAATCACTGACAGGATCCATCCAGAGCAGGAAGTGCCAGGCCGTCCGGGGTGTCAGGTCGAGGCTGTGGAAGAGGTCCTTCCCGCGCACGCCGTTGATGACGTAGTCGACGTGGGCAAGGCCATCCTGCAGCCGCCGACGCTTGGTGCATACCACCAGGCGCCCCGTGCTGCCGTACACCACCACTGTGCCGAGCCGCTCAAACTCTCCCACCAGCTGCAACGGACGCGGGCTTTTGAATTGCGGCAAAGTACACACCACCTAGAGACGCTCAATTCGAGGCATTGAAACCCGACTTTGTGCTTTCACAACCTGATTTCACCTGCTGACACATGCAGTGAAGAGTGAAGACGTCAAAATGCTGCTTAAAGGGCAACTACGATCGAAAACGAAATTAAAATAATTGACTGATAACGCTTTTGTGGCACGAAATATGATCACAGCCAAAATATTACGTCAAAGTGAAGCTGCAAACTCCACTAAACCCGATTTTAAAGATGTGACCAGCCGCTATTTGGTGGGCGGCAAGCAGGTTAGCTTTTAGTCAAAGAACACTGGCACAGCACCCTTGTGACGTCATAGGGCGGTGGAGCTGGGGTTTACTGGTTGTACCGTGTACCGCAGCACCACGGTGACGGCACGTCGCGGCCGTACGGCTAACGATCAGTGTTGCCATAGTGTAGCAGATAGTTCCTGTTTTGCCGTAAACGCCCAAAACCAAACTTTGAGCCGTGATATCTATAAAACTATGCACAATAGCGAGAAAAAAATTATACCTTGCAATTTCAGGAAACTACTTTAGTTGAACGTGATCAAGAAGTTTTTAAATATTGACTTGAGTTGTTTTTAAATGCACTGTAAATAATCTGACCTCTCACTTTTTCCCACTTCCCAATCGCTTCCCCACCCTTCTTTTTAAAAGAAAGGGGAGAACCATTTAGTGCTGCGGGGAAATTGTGAACCAAATTCTCACTATTTCCAAATACTGTTTAGAATTAAAGATATGACCAGAAACATTGTACAACCATCGGCAATATGAAGGTGAACACCGTACCTAGTTTCTTGCCTGTTTTACGGCTCCCTAAAGCTATATTAACTCTCAACACCTCAAATGGTACGTGGTCAAGGGTCTCAACTTTGCGTTCTAGCCCTCTTCTGGAACAGAGCTTGTTCCAAAACTTGCAGGAGCGTCGAAAACAAAAAGAGGGCCGTACCCCTTCATATCGCTCACGGGTGTACCATGCTATTGGGCCTAATCTCTGGAACTCTGCTCGTACGCAGCGGTGATTAATACATTTTTAGTCGTGTTTGAGGTGCTCGTTTATTAATCCTTAACATTTATAACATGTAAGCCATATGTTAGTCTTTCTCCTCACCTGCTACAGTTTGCTGGGCCGTTTAAGAAACATTTAGACAGAACTGCGTTGTAATATATTTGACGTGTGGTACTCCTAGGTGTTACTGAAGAGGACTGCATTGTTTTTTCAAAACAAAAAATGAAGCAGAGTTGCTTTTTAAAAGTTTTTTTTTTTTTATTTATTTTTTTTTTTTTTTTCACTATGGTCTTAGGTGTCTTATTGCTGCACATGACTGGCAGATGAAGGCTTTGGGGACCCCAAAGGGTCCGCAGACCTCCATTTGAGAACCACTGGACCTCTTCAACTTGGGGTCAAATCAAGCAGTCGCATGTTTTACTGAATTGTGCTGCCAACGTTTATAACAGCAGGTCAGCTGGACTGGCAGTGCTTAGACCATGTGCTAAACGGCGAACATTGCTACAGTTTGGTAGTTTCTGCTACCAGGTTGACTGGTCACGAATCCAAATATCCGCGAAAGCATCGATTGTACCCGAGCAAAAGCTGAGCACCGAGACTCGGTGCTTGCGCCCAATCCTGGGCTATATTTAGCTGTGGGGTTTCGAAGTGATGCCTAGGCAGATGAATGTAGCTGACGAATAGCTCCTACCGTGGACCATTGCCATTTGACAATGGTCTACACTAAAACGAAAGCAAATAGTCCACCGTTATTTTTAAAACTGCACTGCAGGAATGACTCATCGCACCTATGTCCTAATCAACTTGAGCTACACTAAAAGACATAAAATCAAATCTAATATCAATTTATTGCAATAGCCTTTTGGAAAAAGTGCCTCCCCATGAGCATACAGATGCAATGTGGAAATACAGTGGTGTAGAAAACCCAACACGGGTCTGCTTTTTTATCCCAATGCACTAACGGTTATTATGCCACACTCCCCTTTACTGCATTATCTAGTCACTTTCGTGTAGCGTCTGCACTGCAGAAAAGCATATACCACTCACCTGCCAGGCTGCCACTAAGACCTATGCAACTCTCATCCCCTCATCTAAACCATTGAAATTACCTCACGGTCAGCAAGTCAAACTTCAGTGTTACTGAATAGTGTTACCAAGGAAACTGACATGCTCAATGCCCTTTTAGCCATATTCTGTATCAATTAAGCATACACAAGCAGATAACTTATCATTTCAGCACTACTGTGGCAGGCTCACCTGCAGGAACATCTTCTTCATCAGGTTGTTGAGGATCCTCTTGAGAACGGGCTCATACAGCAGCGACTGGGAACTCTTCAGCCACCTGTAATAACCATTTAGCAGAGATGATGCGCACATCATGCACACAACAAGGAAGTCTGGGCTAGAAAATATAGAAATTATTGGTACTGGCTATGCCACATTAGATGATGTGAAGCAGTGGCTAATGTACAAACTTAAATTAAGTAGGGTAGATTGTTGGGCTAGTTGGTTTTGGAACTTGGAATGGTTGGTCCTTGTAATTCTAATCTCGGCTCAGTTGCAAAAGCGCTCTCATTATCTTAATCCTGTAGTATTTCCCAAGAAATTCCCTGCCACGCCTTCGTTGATCTCTATATCGAGAGACCATTAACCAACTATCTACTGTCCCTCATCACAAGTGCTGTTCACACCCACCATATTTTATGGAAGGATAAGATAAGAAGTCAAGATACACTTAAAAGATTTGCATATGTGTACACATTTCTGACGATTGCTCATAAATAGCCAAAAGCAAGTATACTTTCTAAATGCATTTATCGACAGTTCTTACAAAACTACGGGATGAACGATAAAAATTAAATTATGGAATTGATTCGCTAACTATCGTGGGGGGTATCACGGGACCGACCCGTGCTTACCGGAAGAGGTGTGCCAGCTGGAAGTCGGCGAAGACGTTGCGGTAGACAGCCACGTCCCGCAGCCAGCCGGCCACCATGGTGCGCAGTATGCGGAAGGCGCCCGCCGAGAGAGCAACGTCATCGTAGCTCGCCAGGGTGGAAGCAGACGCCTGCTGGCCGCCCCCGACCATCGAATCCAGGGAGAGGCAGGCCGCACCCCCAGCATCGAAGGCCACACTCGAGCTTATCCCTTCGAGCTCTGTCAGGTTCTGGGACTGTTGACGAGGAGATGTTTGAAATCGGGTTTTAAAGCGATGAAAGCGTGTAGCGTAGCTTTACAGGGAAATGCTGAAGAGAACTGGAACACTTTTTTTGAAGCGATGGCCTTCACCCTTTCGAATTCTGCCAGGTTTTGAAACTGTTGACGAGGACGCATTCGGAGTCGGATTTTGAGGCGGTGAAAACCGTTAGCAAAGTTTTAGAGGGAAATGCCAAAAAAAAAAACTGACAAACTTTTCCTAAAGCGGTGCTTTGCACCCATTTGAGTTCTGTCAGGTTCTGAAACTTTTGACGAGGATGCGTTCGGAGTCAAACTTAAAAGCTGTAAAAGCGTGTAGTGAAGCTTTACAGGGAAATGCTGAAAAGAGCTGGAAGACTTCTTTGCAAAAGCAATGTTTTTCGTATTCTAGGGGACTCACTATACATGGTCCAATTTTTCCACTTTTTATTTTACACAAGACAGAGCATGCAAAAATAAATCCAATTACCAAACCTTCTGCTCAAAAAAAAAAAAAAGAGGGAGAAAAAGAGAGGGGGGGGGGGGGAAGTGATGACCCGAGCTTGGTACAGGTGATTGTGAGACTGGAACAGCGCACAGAGAGAGAGAATAAATGAAGGCTGTGGAGAGATTGATGCCACACACACATTTTTCACTTTGTTATACACGTGCAATGCCACTTTTATGACTTGTCCGTTTTCTGACAGACTTGTATCTTAATCAAAGTGAGTAATTATGTTTGCTAATTTTATCGAAAATAGACATATTTTTATAATGAAAAGTAGTGTAGACATACAAAAAAAAAAAAAAGGCACTCCTCCGACAACACATTTAAAGAAAAAGAAGGATCTTCCTTCTACAGGCAAGTGATACTCACAACTTGAGGGGAATTCAATCCATTCCTAGGTAATTGAAATTCTAAGTCAGGATCGGATTCCCCGCGCAGCCTATGCGCGAGGTCTCCCTTCCTCGATTTTACAAAGTTCCCAATTTAACGAAATAATTAGCGGCTCCCGGTGACTTCGTTAAATCGAGGTTCAACTGTAATTCGAAAGTATCAAGAAGGTGGTTAATCAAATTCACAGGCTGGGGAGTCAGATAGGCGATAATGAAGAGTGTAGAGGTTTGTGTTTCATCTCCTCTGTCTTTCTATTCTTTTGCTTTGAAATTCAGTAATTATATCCAAAGTATTTCTCATAATTTTAGTTATTTCTTATATTTGCATTATTCTGATGTTATAGTAGTTTGACATGATATGTGAAGATATAAGCAAGTAACTTACAAAAGCAATTTCCAACTTGCTTGAATCATAGATTATAGCATTCTTCCATGCTTTTGCAGTTGCCTCTGCCATCCCCACCACCATTTAGAGCATTCACAAGCAGTTAAAAATGAAAGTCCTACAGTCAAACCCAGATACATATAAAACCCAAAGGGGATTGCAAAATAGTTCATATATTGGCAATTCGATATACAAAAGTATTGGCAATTCGATATACAAAAGTAAGCTCAAATTGAAATTTCCACGTATCTCTGCTAGTACCACAGACATGACAGCCTACCGAATGGCACACCCCAGAAACACCAAACACAGCAGAACCTTTAAAACGTAATTGGTGAAAACTGCAAAGAGCCGCCGCTCGTGCGCACTTTGCCACGCTTATGTGTGCACGTGGCCACGACTTCAATGGCAAGGACTACGGAACCCAAAAATAAAAAATAAAAGAGGAAGCTGAAGTTTAAAAAAAAAGTGATATGCATAAAAAGATAAGTAGCTCCCTCCTAAACCCTAAATAAAAGCCACACAAGCAAAAAAGAAACTGGCATTAAATGAAAGACAGCAAGAAAAGGTGAAAAAATAGGTGAAACAAAAATGACAAAATAAAACGAGAAAGCCGTTCAAACCATGATAGCACAACCGCTGTCGGCATGCTCGACCAGCTAAAAGTTTTCCTTTTTCTTCTTTTTACATTGAGACGAAGGAGTCAAGGCAGTGTTGCTTTTCCCCTCAGCTTCCTTGCACCTTTCGCTATCCACTGTCGGAGTTATAGGAACGGCTGGAGCGCACTATAATTTTCCTAGCACAGCCTCAGCACATGCAAACAGACCATGGGAGCATTGATGGCAGTTTGCGGAATGCCTACCTAACTGCAGCACAGTTTCAATGTATCAAATGTTCTGGGAGGTAGAGTTTGATACGGACGCACAAGGCTCCCATTCTTTTACATGGGATTTTTAAAAGGATGTCTTGACTTTTTGAAATAGACAATATGTAATTTTAAATATCCCTGTTTGATATAATCAGTCTCGACTGTAGTTGCACTTTCTCTTCCCTTTTGTTTATATAGTAATAGTATGATGGAAACAAAAAAAAAAAAAATACAGGTGAAGTGGTGATCTTTCCAGATCATGATTACCAGAGACTGAGGAACAAAAACGAGGATGACACACACAAAGGTCATTTCCGCTTTCTGGTTCCTCGGTCTCGAACTTCCACACATTGAGTAATAGTAGTATATACAGTAACAAACTATTACATGGCTCAAACTATGTAGCCCTTCGGCAGATGGGACATCTTTCATTCTTCCACACCTGAAGGATAGTTGTAACAGCTAGTCCGTTAAGGTCCAGCTCCACGCAGACGGCACTGTAGGCTCCAGGGTTGTTCACCTCCACTGCTGATGTTGTGTCAGATTCAGCCGACAGGCTGCAAGAAGCAAACGATAAATATAGACCTCAATAACATTTTATGTATCTACAACTAATTTTCATGCAGTGATATCCAAGCTGAGAGCCATTCTAAATTTTAAAATGCTGAATATTTTCAGAGCACACGGGGCAACCACCGATTTTCCCTCAAACCTAAAGAAAACTTCTGAACATCAGTGGGTAGGATTTACAAAGAATATGGTAAAAGATAGGCCACTAGAAGTTATTTGAGCCTGTTACTCCATTACCGACTCAATATGTCTGAGGAGGTATTCAGAGAATGCCAAGTTTTTGCTCTTAGACAGTAGTACACTAAATTACAAAACACTCCTCGCAGGCAATGACAACTTGCCGCACTTCAAGTGGACCTCAAAAGGTGCTACACTGCGCTACACAGCTAGCACAAAAACAATACTGGTACTTTCTATATCTATTTTGTTTCCGTATTACACACGCATGGCAGCGACAAATTCTAAATGTTACTGCCTAAGCTGGTGTCCCAGATAAGAACATTTCAGCATACTACTACTGTTGGTGAGAGCCATTCATTTGTAAAAAAAAAGGTACAAAAATAGCAGCCGCTTGCTCATGCTTATTAGGTTGTGCCCTGTGCATGCGCGTGCGCATGCATAGCTTTCGAAAGGTTGCTTGGGCGATGACCTGTTGTGGAAGGTATAAGAAGCCCTAGAATATATTTTCTTTGAAAACAAAATCTCCTCAGCCCCACAAAACTGCACCAGAGATGTCAATGCCACAAGGAAGAGAAGCGTCAAGGGTCACCAGTTGTCGTCAGCCTCCTTGCCGCCGAGGTCCGGCCTGTCTGCCTGAGAACACCAGAGCACAAAGTTCTGCCTCTGCAGGTGGCGTGCGTAAAACAGGTCGCAGCCGAACAGGGTGGCGTCACGGGGAAGGTTGCCTAGGGGTACGTGGAAGTAGCGACACTGCTCCAGCATCGTCTGTCGAAAAAGAACAGAACAAACAACCAACAGGTGGCAGCATTAGAAACCTACTTGCACATAATATGGTAGTGGTCCCCAAATAAGGGTCTGCGGACTCTTCGGAGTCCCCGAGAAAACCTTGACTGTCAATCAAAAGAACAGTAAAACTATTTGTTTTATTGATGTTGGCTGTCCCACAAAGCTAAAGAGACCGAACCATGTGCATCAAGTGAGTAAAGCCGATTCTTCTCCTTATCAGTTGCTCAAAGTTGGATTCTATGCATTTAGTTTTGGTCATTTACCTTTTTGTCGTTGTAACCATCCAATACACCCTCCCCCCCCTCATTGTATCGCAACTGGATAACTTCCTCTGATCCAAAAGGAGTCCCCAAAATATAGTAAGTGGTTGAGAACCACTGTAATACGGTAAAACTATCATTCTCCTCTCGTTGGTTCCTATAGAACGAGATGAACATGAGAAAGCACTTATAGAGACACTGAGAATAAGTGCACACCTTAAATGAGAAGGTTTTTCTTTTTCATCGCTCAACACACGGCAGAATTTTCCGTCGTGAGTTAAGAGATATTTACATGCTCTCTCCTTTTTTTACGATTCCTGTGCTCTTGACTTCACTCATTTACCTGGCAGGACTGCCTATCACGTGCCAACTTTTCATGTTTTTCCTGTTGAGTACCTTGTTTTTCTAATTTTCTCATTGCTGTTTTCCTGTGTGATTGGCTTATCTGTATTTGTTTTACATCCCCCACTGTGATGCCCCTGGGCAGTTGTAGGTATCAAATAAATAAATAAATAAATAAAATTAATAAGTACTTCAATAAATTTGCACCAGCAATCACCATGATTAAGATGAGTTAACTGCATCTCCAATTTTGCAAAAAGGAATGCCAAGCAACAGGAAAAATGCAAAGCTAAGCTATAGAACAGGGATACCCCAGTTCTTAAAAGGGCGCAATGAAAACCAACATCATGCGGCATCTGAAGCATGAAACATGAAGTTGGGAAGCCAACATCGAAAACATGTACCGTCGAGACCGGTTTTAACGAAGTCAATAAGAATCGGAAATCACTTCGCTATATCCACTATTTCGTTATAACCGACTTTGGTTATCGAAGTGCAAAAGAGAATGGGAAATTGTGATTGCTTCGCTGTATCCACTATTTCGTTATAACCAACTTCGTTATAATCGATCTCGATAGTAATTCAAGATAAGAACAGTATGTAAGACAGGCAGTTATGCCAAATTCCCAAGTTGAGGCAACCTTACAGTAAGGATTGTTTCCACGTTGAGATAATGCCGAATCATGGCCTTGGCCCCAATCTTCTGCCACTCGAGAATGTGGTAGAGGTCCTCTTTGTCTTCGACGTGCATGGGCACCACTGGAAACTCCGACAGGGCGGGCATCGAGGAAGTCAGTTCTTCCAGAGCTGGTGACAGGGATAATTAGCACTCAGCTTAGTCTGTGAAAAATGCACGCAGCATTCAACAAGATGAACTCAACAGGGTAAATTCAAAAGGCTTTTGTCTCATAAAATGAACCCCATATTCTCTTCTTACCACACACACTGAATTATTTCCAGAATAAATTTGAAGGTAAAAATTCAGTAAACAACTGCCCATAGCCCTGGCTTGATAAGGTGTGACTTGTGAACTGTAGACAAGTCATTCTAAACACATGTTATTTACCAGCAGACCCACTTGCGGCATGGCCTAGCTCTCCAATAAATGTACAGAATGATGTACAGATTGTGATATTTTTTACAGACACCAGTGTTTCCTACCTCTTACAGCGGTAGCTGCTGGTGCCCGTTCCTAGAAAAAGGCTCGAGATACACCTACCGTAAAGTTCCGAGAGAACGCCCACCCCCAAGAGATTGCCCATCCCGTTTTTCTGGCTAAATATCTGTAACATAAAAATTTCGAAACATCGCCCACCTCCCGATTTCCGTCGGACGTCACGCGAAGTCCGACGGGAATCCCAATTGCTGCGCGATTTGCTGTACCGGTACGTCTGATAAGCGAGTTCATAGCGGGTTTCCGCGCTTTTGTCCGCGATCTGCGCGCGATATTGGCTTCCGTAACACGCCAGGTGTTCCCGCATGTATATCACATCGTGAAAAGCGAATGTGCTGCGTCTGCGATGTGCGGTGTCCGTTCCCGTGACATGAGACTTTCTAGTGGATTCCCGCATTTTTGTCTCCAACCTGCGCGCGCGATATTGATTCCCGTAACACGTGAATGAATCTCGAATGTATATTGCATCGTAAAATACGATTCCGCTGCGTCCACGATTTGCAGTATTCGTTCCTGTGAGATGCAAGTTCTCGACAGGTTTCAGCGGGTTCTTCGCACGGTAAAACACGAAACTGCTGCGTCCGCAACCTCCGGTATCCTTTCCCGTGACACAGCAGTTCGTAGCGAATTCCCATGCGTTTATCGCATCTTGAAACTCGAATTCGCGGTGTCGGCGATCTGGAGTATCAGCTCCCGAGTCACGTAGTTTGTAGCGGGTGTCTCCGTGCTTATAATTAATTTTTGATAAAGTTTTGCTGTGGCATCCCGAAAGATAGCCCACCCCATGGTTTTCATCATTAATCTCTTCATTTTGGGTGGGCGTTCTTTCAAAACTTTACGGTAAGCAGTTCTTATGAGTTGTGAATGCAAAAGTATGCACGCCGCTCTTCGCTCCCTTCTTTCGTCTGCGGCGTACGGCGCGCTGACCTTCGGCGTGGAGCGGTGGAGCCACTGCCTCGCAGACACGCAGTGCCATCGGGTGAGTGATCGTTGAAACTGACAAGCAGCGGCCAATGGGAGCCAATGGGATTGAAACCGAAAATTCATCAGCTTTACTACGCTCCTTTGGGATCGAAGAAACTAGGTGCCGTGTCTAAGCTTTTCACGTGGTTTCATAGCTGGGAGCTGGCTACACTTGGGGAAAGGATTTAAAGGGTCAATGAAGGCGATTTTATTTAATTTTTTTAAATGGTGTTTTTAGGCTTCTTGGGAACCTAGCATGCTGCCCAATTTTTTGTAGACATTTGTGGCACGTATTTCTGTGCCTACAAAAGAACTAAAGAAACCGAAAATTAACTATCTCCATTCTCATTTCTGGGCCTCCGAAAACGGAGGTGACGTAGGGAGTGACGTCAAGTGTGAATAGTCGGTATCGGTAGCATTTAGGAGATCGAAACTAGTTACCGTGGTGGGTCATAGCAGCGCGGTGGCGCGATCGTTTCGTCGGATCTGTCAGCATGGACGACAATGCCGCTCTCGCGAGCGAGTTCGGTTCAGGCTTCTGTTCAGTGACCTAACACCAACGGAACGGGAGTATGTCTGGCGTTCTTCGCTATCATACGAGGCCGACGGTGACCGCCCAGCCGGCAACGAGCGGCCCGCTGGCTCCGAGCAGCAAAGCTGTGAGCAACATTCGCACGGGCAAGACGAGCGGCGCGTTGCCGAAGGACAGGCCCTGTCCCTGTCCGATAGAAACGCGGGGGAAATGCCGAAAGGAAAGCGGCAGCGACCCGGGAACCGGTTCCACCGCGGGGGACGCTCCCCAAGAAGGAGAAAATAAACAGCACCATTTTTGTTTTCACCAGAGTCGGACGTCCACTCATTTCGTCGTCAAAGAACAAGAACGATTACTGGTCTTCAGTCGACCGTTTGAACAGCCATCTACGGCGAACTAATTTGGCACGACTGCCACTTTGCAGAATCCTTCGAGTACCGTGTTCCCAGAGTAAACACGACATCGACGTCTCCAGCAGGCTCCACGCTGTGTTCTTTTTTATTTATTTCGTTTGCCCATAGTTGCTCGTTGCCCGTTTGGCGTTCAGCGTAGCAAAGAAAAAAAATAAGTTTGCTGTTTTATTTATGGTTTAGTAACCATCTCCCGTCTGATTTATACTTTTCATGGTTATTCAAAGCGGAAAGTAGAACAGTATTCCTAAAAACTGCGAACCAAAACGTGACCGAGGGCACGTCTCTTGTTCCAACCAATCACTGACGTGTCTCTTGTGACGTCGCGCTTCTTGGCCCCGCATCAGTCACGTGAGCTCCGCTTCTTCTGGCTTCTCCCGCAACTCTTGGGGCGTCGCCCCAGTCGATCCGGGTACGATTATTACCGCGACTGTTTAATTGATTTGCGCGGCACGCAAGCGCCAGTTTCGGCTGAAATTCGGGCAACGTGGCCTGAGACGTGCCTGGAACCCAGTACAATCGTCAAAAAAATATCCGAAATTGCCTTCATCGCCCTTTAAGGTGCCGTTTTCGCACTACAAATTGATGACATCAGCTCGCTCCATGAGACCCCCAGTTAATGCTTTCGCATTAAAAATGCTCAAGTATGAATACGAAATCCCACTCTACAGCAGAGCACTGCTCTCCCCGTCGTTCCTCACACGTGCACGCCAACTGCGGCAAGGTGCCCTCCCTCCCCTCTCCCTCCCTCCCCTCTCCTCCTCCCCCTCCTTCCCTCCCCTCCCCCTCCCCCTCCCTCCCTCCCTCCCTCCCCCTCCCCCTCCCCCTCCCCCTCCCCCTCCCCCCCCCCTCCCCCCCCCCCCTCCCCCCCCCCCCAGCAGGCTGCCACCGTTCCGAAAAACCCACGTGATTCGGGGAAAGTGCTTTCTGCCTCCCATCGTTTCTGCTAGATCCATGTACCCTTTGGTGATTCTCTCCCTTCCTCCTCCTTCCCCCGCCCACCTCTCTGTCAGTCGCTGTTGCGAAATACCTATGGGGTTGTGCTGTGTAGACATGGTTTCTTTTCTCCCCACTGCCGCCACTCAGGTTCCGTTCTCGTGTGCTCTCCGCGCCTCTACTGAACGGCTCGCTTACATACTTTCCCTTATTCCACTGCAGGCAAGTACACAGGCACACCCGTTCTGAAAGAATGTCTCAGCCAAAAAAAGCATGCCTCCGTGTCTTTTTTTAACACATGCAACAACCCGCACAATTGTTCCCGCAAGGCACACATTTCCTTGCACGCGTCTCCTACATCAATTCCACTGAAAGCAAAGGACCCAATGCGAACACTGTACAGCTCACTGGCTGCAGGAAAATCTCCTTCAACATGCCTTTCTACTATGCAGCAGCTAGTACCGCTGTCAATCACAGCACGCTTTGTGTGGTCGTTTGAATATCGTTTGTGTAAATTTTTTTTCACAGCTGAAAGGTTGCCACCAAAATGACTATACTTGGTGACAGGTTAAGAATGCAATAAAAGCCCCATCTCCAGCATCCACTTGCTGCCTTCCGCCGGGCTTTCACTGCGTGTGTGCCGAAGAGTTATTTAAGACAAAAAGCTCGTGCTGGAAGTGGAGCATCTACAGCGTTCTTAACATGCCATTGACTACCGTAAAATCCCGTATGAACAACCTCTCCCCCCAGAGATATCGCCCGTCCCGTTTTTTCTGGCTAATTACCGTATTTACTCGGCAGAATGAACACACTTTTTTCAAAAAAATCGATGCAAAGTTGGGGGGGCGTTCATTACGCGAAGTAAAATTTTTGCCTCCATATCTACTCGCATAATGAACGGTCCTTTTATACTGAAAAATCGAACTAACTTCTTATCTCTTTGCGCGTGGCGCCCGACCGCGTAACCAAACTAAGCTGTGCGAAAAAAAAACTCCTCTTTGTTTTCTTTTTTTCTTAGTTCCTTGGGTTTTTTTTGCCGCCTTTCGCAAGCTGTTCTGTTTTTTTAGGCGAGGGCTCTCCCCTCATCTTTCTTATCTCCTTGCACGTGGCGCACGACCCCCGAACCAAACTGTGCAATGCAAAAAAAAAGCTCTTTTTTTTTTCCTCTGTTCGGTGGGTTGTTTTTTTTTCTTTTTGCCGCCTTTTGCAAGCTGTTTCGTTTGCTTAAAGGGCTTCTTCGCTCCTCTTTCTTACCTCCTTGAGCATGGTGTGCGACCTTCCGTAACCAAACTGCGCTGTGCAAAAAAAAAAAGAAAACAAAAAGCTCCTCTGTTTTTGTTTTCTCTTAGTCATGTGGGCTTTTTTTTCTTTTTGCCGCCTTTCGCAAGCTGTTTCGTTCGCTTAGAGACCTTCTCTTTCTTACCTCCTTGGGCACGGAGGCGCGGGAACCCAAAGTCCGGACTGCGCTGTGCAAAAAAAAAAAGCTCCTCTCCATGTATTTTTTTCTTGCTTCCGTTGGATCTCTGCGAATTTTTTTAACGCCTTTTGCAGGGCGTTTTGTTCGCCCACGCTGCCCATGCATTCGCGATCTCACTGCACCAGGAGAGAAAAGTGTGTTCATTTCGCGCGCGTGGGGGGAGGGGTCAAAATTTTGACGTCTGAGTTGGGGGTGCGTTTATTACGCGAGTGAAAAAAAAAAAGTCAAAATTTGAGAGCTGACTTGAGGGGTGCATTCATTACGCGAGTGCGTTCATTGTGCGAGTAAATACGGTATCTACAGGGTAAAACTTTCGAAAAAATCGCACACCCGATTCCCAACGGACATCACGCCGTGTCCAACGGAAATCACATCAACCACGCAGTCTGTGGTATCGGTACGTGTGATGAGCGACTTCATAGCAGGTTCCCGCATGTTTAATGCACCATGAAACCCGAACTGCCATCCGTGATTTGCGCGCGTAATATCAGTTTCAGCGGCATTCGAGTTTGTAGCGGGTTACAGCCACGTGTTTATCACACCGTGAAATGCAAATCTGTGCTTCCAACGCACTCATGGTGGTGCGTGTTGGAATAATAATAATTCACACCTGAATAAACAGCGATGCAGACGCACACTTCATACTTGCACGAAGTTGTCGCGAATGCTTGAGCCCAACAGTGCACACTGTAAAGAATATTTTTTCACAAGACTCGCAATGATATCCCCTTGTATCCCAACAAAGCGCGCCTTCCTCAAGTGCTTGGACAGTGCGCCGAAGGAGTCAAAGCGAAAGAAACAAAAAGACAAAACATATTTTCACTTGGCGACGTGACGGCTGGTGCCGGAGCATCGGAAAATGGCAGCGACTGCGGCGGAGCTGTAAAAGCCACACAATCCGCGCGATATACAGCGCTACCGCCGCGACTACGGTAAGGGCGAGAACTACGAGTGAATGAGTGAGGTCAGTGAGGGAGTTCATGAGTTCAATAAGGGGCACGAGTTTGTGAGTTCAGCGAGTTCATGAGTTCGGTGAGGGATGCGAATCAGTGAGTTTGGCGAGTTCATAAGTTCTTGAGTGAAGACTTGAAGGTGGGTGTGGCTGTGAAGGTGAGGGAGTTTTCAACTTCTTATTTTAAGCTAGCTGCGAGTTCAACCAGAAATGCCGAACTCTGGTGCCATGGTGTTTATTGGTCATTTTTGATAAGCTATCGCTGTCTCATTCTCAAAGATCGCCAACCCAATACCTTACACATTTCTCTTCAAACTAGTTGGGCATTCATACGAAATTTTACGGTATAGAGCAGTGGAATGTACTACTTATGTAGGGCACAAACTTAGACAATAGAATGTGTTGTTCGACACTAACTTGTATGAATAAAACCAAAAAGGGAAAGATGTCATATTCGTGACAGACACGGTGTGCAATGCGCGTAGCCTTTCCAAGTAGCAAGAACAGAAAGAACCAGAGAGAAAGAAACTGTGGATACTGACCGAGACAACTCTGGACCGCCAGCATGGTGGGTCCCCGTTTTTCGTCGCGATACAGGGACAAGTTCCTCTGGATGGCACGGTGAACCGAGCGCACGTCTGTCTCCACTCTGACCTCAAATGCGTAGCCTTCCTCCGGAAGCAGGTCTGCGGCCGTGCCTCGAGAGATCCTGGACGTACACCGTAAAACTCCCTTTTAAAAGTAAGGATAGAGGTAACCTTCTAGGGACATTTAAGGGAAAAAAGTAGTTTTCATAACCCCTGCAAATTTTTTTGTTCATCGCTGTATATTTGTTAAGTTGCTGCTCTAGCCCTGCAATGACATTCACCGCATAATACTGTTCCTCAAACAAGAAAACATCTGTCAAGAGAACTCATTGCAGAAAGGTACAAACTCCTAAAAGCCTTTGCAACTCGAATTTAGGAAAACTACCCTAGTAAGTACAACTAGCAATGATATTAAAATATAAAAAAGCATAAAGAGAGTGAGCTCATCGAATGTAGTCAAATATGACATTACATCACCCAGACATATGAAAAACATACCAGAATATAGTCCATTAAAGTCTAGTAAAAAGAAAGCAGACAATACTACTAGTAATGCACTGGCACACAGTGCTACAGAATAAACAAATTTAAAAATGGTCATGTAGCAAAGTCAGCTTTGAAAGTAAAAACACAGTCGAAAACAACATGCTAAATCATGCCATAACAGTAAAAAAAAATACTTCCTCATAGTATTACTAAAACCCTGATCATGCCTCACCCTTTAGAAAAATAACTATATGTTTAAATTTGCATATCCACACCTCTTTGCATTCTGCAGACACTCATAAAACGTTAAGTAAGAGTAAACAAAACCAGCAAGAGACGAAGAGCCTCTTACTTGGCCTGTCGTTCGTTCTTGTAGAGAGTGCTCATGTTGGGCATCTGATTGGAACGCACAGTGTCCACGACGAACACCACAGCCTTCTTGACAGGAGGCAGGAACATGCCGAACATCATTTTCTGGCTCCTAAAAGAAATGGTTTTCCCGTTCTGTTGCTCCGAGTGGTTTTTGCACTCTCGTTGTTTCATTGTTTCATGCTTTCTCCACATTCTGCGCTGCAGAATATAGGAAAAGCATGAAACAGCATATGGTGACAGTATGAGGTCTAACACAAAATGTGCTCTTAGCTGCCTGAGGTCACTTGAAGTGCAAGAATAACAAAAGTTTGACTAACAAATGCCAGTAAAAAAAACGAACATATCCAAAGAAAACTCTATCTGCACCACTCCTGCTAGATATTTGCAAATTAGAGATTTTTGGTATTTATGAATGATAATGAACGGAATAGTCATCAAGGGTAGAAAGTTGGGCTACTTCGTGATTCATAATATTTAAAAGTGCAACGAGACACGGATAAGGAAGGTAGACAGAGACACAGCACTAACTTACAACTGAACTTTATTTCCGTAGTCACCTACCGTAAAATACTGGGCAAACGCTCACTCAAAATTGAAAGGTCATTGCGGGAAAATGTGGGTTGGGCACTTGTCCAGGCATCAATTTTAGATATAAATGCACTGTGCATATTTCCTCATATCTTACAAATTTGGGAATAGGCAAATTTGGGAATGGGCGGATGCACATTATTCTATGGTAGAATATACAACTGGCGTCAACAAAAAAACCCAGGTCTCTTTTATCACAGTGGTCGCCATCCCACTAGTCTGCACATTTTTCTCACTACTAGCTCCCGACATCGTCTGAAAATTCAGACGATGATGACGCCAGCAGTTGACGAATAGACTCTATACTTTGTTTCATCTTGAATCAATGCGCAGCCAACGACACCGACCAATGCAACCAATCGAACAGCGTCAAAATCGTGACATCATGGCATTCGTCATCTCTCGGGGCAAGTTTTATCATCGGCTAAACCAATCAGGCGTAGCAAATTTCCTAGGACTTGAGCTTTTAGTGTGTATGTGTTGGGTATGTTGTGTGTTCGAGTCGACTGTGCTCTCACCCAAGATGAGAGAAACTATGTGGTGAGTAGAGAATGCTGTAGAATATATATTTGTACTATTTTCTTTTTCTTCAACTTCTCTGATTAGAATCAGGTGTACAAGGGCACCCATTATTACTCTGAGCCCTCTCAGAAAACATTTAACAAATAACCTCACCTCCAGAGTGAGTGATTTCAAATATTAACCCTCATCAAAGAAGCATCTTTTTAAAAACCTTCATTCATTTATTTACTGGGGAAAAAGCAACCAATATTGAAAGATTTCAAATTTTTCTTTTTTTATTTAAGTTTATCTTGGCACAGGCGTGACGCAATTCTTAGCAAAAATTGAATTCTGGCGCAAGGTGTAGCAGACTTCTGTTCATGGCGCAATTTGGCGCAGCACTTCCATCACTGAGTTCTACACCATGCAGATGAATTAGGCGTTTGGCATAAAACAAAATAAATAATTATAACGATAAAAACTCAGATCTTTATGTCTTTGTTTTTTTATACCTAAACTCAGAAAACACAAATAGAAACTCTTCATGTTTGCAGCGCACAAAAGCAGTGGAGAAAATATGAACTGCAAGATCGCATTTTATAAAAGCCATCACGCAGGTATTACTATAGTGCAATCCACTTATAACAATGTACCAATTATAACGATCAGCATATAAATTTTATAGACTAGAAATGATCCGTTTCTTGTCCAGATACAACAATAATCAGTTATAACGATTTAAATTTCGGGTTTTCTTATTATCGTTATAAGGGGATTGCACTATACATAAATCAAAATAGATTTGTAAATTACCAAAACAAAGCAACAGTTTCTTGAAAATGCCTGAAAGACGTGTTTTTCCTTTGCACGGTGCAACACCGTGGGAAGCGGCACTCGCGATACCGCCATTGCAGGTGTTACATCCCAGCAGTAAACCAATTTCAAGGGGAAAGAGGCACTCAACTGATATGAAATAGTGGGCCTTAAAGGGACACTGACACCCCCCAAAAAATGTTTTTATTTTTTGCCAGGTGATTCGTTATGGTTGTCAGAAGACAACCCAATCAATATTTCGCTACAGCATCACATATATTTTTAATAAAGTAAAAAAAAAAATGCAACTGCTTCAAACTCTAACTGGACTGGGGAGGAAGAAGAAATATAGAGGAGGAGAATGTTACCGAAAATCACGTGGCTGCACAACTTTTTTTTTTTTTTTTCGATCAATGTATTTGCAGTTTTTTACAAGCCATAAAAAATGGGTATCGTCTTTCTTCTCTGTTTCTAACATTAAGTGTGTGCCTTTGATGACTCACGACTTTGATTATCTTTGGTGGTTGCGTCTAAACCATAGAAAACGACACGTGACCACTGAAAAGAGGGGTAGTGTGATTCAAACCGGCCAGTTCTCGATCGGCGGTTTTGGGCGAAAAGAAAACCAATTCCGGGCCGCATATTGTGTTCTGGGTGGCTGGGCTTTCATATGTCATATACAAACAAAAGCTTTGGTGAGCATAAATACCCTGTCAGTGTCCCTTTAGCAAATAATGCAAATATTTGAAATCAAACAAAACTTTCAAAGAGTGGCATGCCTCCCATCAACTTTTAAAGGAAGATAAAACAGAGCAGTAGAGTCAACTGAACTTACTCAGCATGGTGGTACAGATAAATGTACTTCAGGGTTCCAGGTTCCAAGTAATCATGCTGAGCCAGGGTCCCAAACTCAAGGTGTTGGAAATTAAATGTGTCTGTTTCCTAAAACAAAAAGCAGTAAGAAAAGAAAAGAATAAGGTATGTTAATGAGGCAGTACGTTTCTCGTACTTTGACAAATTAACTGCGGTGATTGATCTGTGTCACCTATAAAATGAAGAACAGAAAACTATTTTTTCTTGTGTCCGCTAAATTTTATTTAAAGAAATTAAACCACTGGAAGGTCAAAGTGCTCCTCAACTCTCCCACCACCTATGCAGTGACATCTCTGGGGGACCACCTGACTTCCCATTGAGTTCTCCCTTCAGAGAGACCCCAGCCGCTAACTCTGCGATCGTGGAATTTTCAAGGATTAGCTCTGTCGAAGGTCGTGGCGAGCGATCGCCAAAAATGATGGTTCACCACGGGGCTGACGGCGAGTGTAGTAGTGAAGGAGGACAGGTTTTGTTGACCTTTACACATACCCCAGTGACGTGCTACCGTAGCTCCCGTAACTGCCACACGTGGCTGCAGATCAGCAAATAATTTGTTTTTCCTTTGCGATTACACAGCGAAATAGCAGTTTCTTGGGAGAAAGTGCTGTGCTTTTCTTTACTTCTGCCTAGATAAACAATATAACAAAGAAACTGTAAATTCTTTCAAAGTTAAAACTGTTGCATTGCCCTATACTTGCCATCAGCGTTGCGGGCCATGCTATGGAGGCTAGCTTAGTTTCTGCAACACTTCAACACCGCCTAAGCTACTTGTATGAGTGCGTGGCCTTGTCCGAGGTCTCCCTCGCATGAGAGTGCGTGTGAATGAGATGCAACATAAAACCCCGTGCTCTCGCAGCAGTGTGGGGATGCACCACTTTAGAAACTATGCCAGCCTCGACGACATAGCACAAAAAAGTAGACGCCAAGCATTGGCAGGACAATATGAGGTCTTGCACGTTTTACATGCTTATAGACCCCTTTCGAAATCCCCGTGCCGATTATTAGAAGGTCGGAACCCCTGCAAAATGGCGGAACAACACACATTGTGACACGTGCAAGTCATTCCATAAGATAGTGAACGTCAGAGCGCAGTGAATGCTAGGAGTCGACGAGCCAGTCAAACAGCGTCGAAAGTGCAACGTCACTGCGCTCATCGCCTTTTTCTGGGGTCTGTTTTTTCTTCTGCTTCAACCAAACGCATAAAGTGTGCCGTGATGTTGCGGCTCTAGTCCGCCATTGTGCAGGGATTCCACAGCTGCCAACAGAGGGCAGTATTTCGAAAGGGGTCTATTACATTAGCATACCCCAATGCAGGACTCTTCTGTTTGCTATACAGTCAAATACCTTCATAATAAAGTTTGCAAGACCGGTGAAAAAAAAAAAAAAAGGCACGCGCTTGTGCCTGTTGCACTTGAAGCGCATGCCTGCCGCGTGCTTTGGACCTAACATCCGACCTAACGTTAAGCCTAACGTTGGGCCTAACGTCAGGCCCAACGTTCGGCCAGCACACACTCGCGTCCCACCCTCCTGCTGAGCTGCCAGTAGTTCGGCTGCTGACAATGAAGCCGTTGGCTATGGAGCCACATGACGCGTTGCAGCCAATGCAATTTTAGATGCCGTTTTTCTGCTGCAGACAACCAGGTTTCGCTCCATGGGACCAGTTAATGCTTTCGCATTATTAAGCGTAATTGGCCGCCGATACATTTCGAATAATCCAAATAAAAATGCTTGCATATCGGTAGGGACCACGTATATCTTCCATAAAAGCGATAATTCAAAAAAAGTTATTTCGTTATTACAAGGGATTACTACATTTCTCTTCTCAATGTGCATCGCTAAAGAGCGACAATTTATAAAAAATCGATTACGCTTCCCATAGAAAATACGTAATATTGGCCATTTTTGCCTTGGGGGGCTGTGAAATTGTTTTGTTAAACAGAAATATTAGCTCAACAGGAATTCGTTGTAGTAGTCAGAGAAACGCATTGAACATGTAGGAGATCGGCTGGGACTTCGTTTTTCTTCATTAAACTGTCATTTTTGTAGTAGAGGCCTTCGTTATAAAGGCATTTGACTGTAATTCAATTGTTATTTCATACACAGTTCAATGCCAGAACTGAAAACCACATGTTTATTTTAGATGCCCTTGACATATTGTACTGGTTTGGAGCACACATATCCAAAGTTCGCAATGTTGCCACGGGATGGCGCCTCAGCCCCACTGGCTGTGGAAGCTGGCTAGGGAAGCACCTGCAACTCTTGAACAGGCCCAAGCACTACTGACCAATCCAACCTTCTCTTCACTCCACTGCTTCAGAGTGCTATATAATTGAAACAAGCACATAGCGCAACAAGCACCTTTGAGGCATACTCCCTGTAGGACTGCTTCGACAACAGGCAGACGCAGCCGAGCTGGGCCATCACCCGGAAGTCGAGGGGAACTTGTGTCTCATAGATTCCCTCAATGTGGGGGGCAGACAGCTCCTGCATGATGTCCCTGCCAGGATGGAAGAAACAAAGAGCTGTTCAGACACCAATTGACCAAAGTGCCTGCCGCAGCTACCTTATCAAACTTGCTAAACTTGCAAAACATTTTTCTAATGTCTTTCTGTAAAACATTTACCGATATATTCGGAGGATTTAAAACCAACTGCCAAAAACGGTGACGTTGCCATGAAGTCTAATGTCATAGGGCAGCAACGCTATAATCATGAAAGAATCCCGACAGCAGTCCTTTGGCGATCTTTATTCCTTGCAAGTGCTTGCTGTTTGTGCAGTTTGGGTCCAACTAAAACAGTAAATGCGAGGTGCAAAAGTGATCCCAAAACAAATCAGGCTACTTGACAGACACAATATATACTGCAGAAAGCCCAAATATGCTACATATCAGGGGGTTCTAAATCAAGGGCAAGGGCAAGGAAAAGCTTATGAAATGAAGCAAACTCACTCGCTCCTCTGCTGAAAGATGGACTCGTCAATGGAATACTCATACAAATAGTAGACCGGGTGCGACCTCGGGAGATGTCTTGTCACTTTGCGCCAAGCTGCACACAAATGAAGAAGAATATGAGCCTCCTTACCTGGTTTTAGAGTTATTGCAGTTCGGTCTTAAGGCCCGTTCACACTCTTGCAACTGAGTACGACCGAGAGAGACGAGACTTGTTAAAACCTGTTAAAATTTCTTAGCACAAGAGAACACGCTGGCGCCATCTATGCCGCGACCCTGGAACTGCATTTCACAGGAGCAAAGGTTTAGTAGGATTTGTGAGGTCAAATGTGCGTAATACCTATAAGAAAGGCTCGTTTACAACGCTGACAAAAGTTTTTCGAGCCAAGAAAGAAAGGATAATGCGCGAGAGAAATAAAAAATATGACGGACCACCAAGTTTACACTGCTACCCAATAGATGGTGCCAGTGTGTCCTCTCGTTGTAAGAGGTTTCAAGGAACCCAGTTTTAAGAGGTTGCAAGAGTGTGAACAGACCTTTATGGTGTAAATGCTAAATGAACATGCATTAACTTCAATGGCAGGATGGAAAGTCCACCAGGATATCGATGGCGACGTACGTGTAGAACTGAAAGTTTCATTCCATCACCGCACTCACTTGTAATCGGAAAAAAAAAAAAATTAGGAAAAGCGTATAGATAGGGAAGTTGGTAGGAAAAATACCACTGCAAATCAGAAGTTTGGCACTTAGACTGCTTGAGGTCAATCTATCTTTGCGATATGACGACACTGCTTCTCAATAAAGGCAAGAAATATAACCAGTGCATTACGACCTCTGGCTTGAAATCTTCAATGTGCGTCACACAGAAGTGAATAAAAGAATGCATGCCAGTGGGATGCTCGTCCAGATAGAAACAGGCAGGAGGGGGTATCAAACCCAGGATCCCTGGCTCCTGCAGTGCGAGCTTTCTCTTCATGTGCTTCAGGTTGTGTTGCAAAACACACCCAACAAACGCACCACTTAGATTCTTAAAAAGCCAAGAGTCCCAGCAAAATGCTGGCTGTTGCTGTGAGGCTTCCAAGAAGTTCCCTTTTTTTAGTCACTTACAGTACATGCACTTTTTAATACTCCATGTCACATTAACAATATATGACATTAGCTAAAAGTCAGATTCAACTTCAAATAGAAACCTATTTACCTCTAAACCATGACAAATTTGAACCTGCCACCTGTAATCACACTCAACCACAGTTTATACAGACCTCATTTTCCCAGAACCTTCAAATATCCAAGGGAAAAATCTATAAAGATTCTTCTGTGTCTAGCGTGCATGTGTAACGAGTTCTGTTATTAAGACCACAGCCATGCCTCGTTAATATGGACACCTTCGTTAGAATGTGAGTCATCCATAATGGGCAGTTTTAGAATAGTGTACATAAAAGCTTTGCATATGCAAAGAATATTGTGGTAACCACTGCACAAAAGCCAAACGCTAACTGCTTTTTGCGCCTTGCACGCTTGCGCTATTTTTCGGAAATTGCACACGTAGGCAAAGAGTTTTTGCGTCCCTCCAAGGAATATTTGTGATGTGCGAGAAGTTGTCTAAAGCCAAGACAAACAGTGTTAAAAAATGGTGACTGCCAGTAATGCGACCACAGCCGCCTTGGCGGCCGTCGTGAACGCGACTTCGGGTGCATTTTCGCACCTGCGATTCTCACAGCAGGATGACATTGCACTCGTATGGAAGGTGCCCGCCACAAACGGTTTGGAAGACCCAGCAAGGTGGGCAACAACCGCCGGCAACTTGCTTATGATGCTAAAACGCTTCTCGGTGGAGGTATATTGCCATGAATGAACAGGCGAGGAAAGAAGGAATAACTGGGGAAACTAAACGTTTAACGGGGAGGCGAACTTGTACCCAAAACAAAAATGAAGAAGATAACAACAGAGCGTCGCGGGCGTCGAAGTCGGCGAGACAGCAGAGTCAAACACTGAGGCGAAACTGACTCCGGCTTGCCACGCGGAGCCGCTTTTGTACACGCGTGGGCTTCTGGAGCACTCGGCATAGAAGGTTCGGCGCGTAGAACATTCTAACTTTGAATCAGCAAGACGGTTCTCGAATTTACCAGAATATCACATTACAGTGTCAACAAAAATGTGTAGCCATGGCAAGAAATCAAAGCCTGGCCTTCTACGTGGACGGCAAGTGCGATAACCGTTAGGCCACGGGTGCGCTCCCTATTTGGTCAGCTGCGCTTGCGGCAATATGAGACCTCTCTTGCCGAGGCAACGCAAGCGGACATGGCCGGTCGACCGCTAGCCTCACGCTCTTGTATATAAATAAACCTAAATGTTACCCCGGACCAAAAAGTTCATTTTTGTTTTCAAGTTACAGCATTTCGTACGCGAAATAAAAATTGTCACTGTACCTTGGCGGCATTGCAAGCGCAAAGTGCTCGGGTTTTATGTCGCGGTGGAGAAACGCTACTCTAAAATTCCCTGGCGTAACATTCGCCAGAGCAAGCACTAAATTTAGTGCCAATGCGCACCAAAATTGTATACTTTCTAAAACTCCCTAATATTGACGCAAAAAATGAAAGACGTTTACAGACCTCTTTAATGCGAAATTAGAGCGCAGCTCTTGAGGAGGAGGAGGGGAGTGTACAAAGGGGAAGGTATGCCCCTCCGCCTCCTTCCTACCCTCTCCTCCTCCTCCCTCAGCTTAATTTAGCTTTAAAATTGGTGCCACGTGATCTTAATCATCAATTCAATTTCCTTAAAGGAGTCATGAAACGCTTTTTCAACTTTTTCCTGTTTAGCTTTCCTCAACTCATAAATCGCGCATTGTACCAAACAGTTCAAGAAGTCGGAAAAAGGGGAGTCCCCTCTTGCTCGGAATCTCGCTTGTGTAGCCGGACACAGCCATTGTCCCTCTAGAAGATTAGCCCGTCGCTCAAAATTCCGACGAGTTGATTTCCCCACCCCGTTCACCCCGAAGCTGACAATGCTGTGGAAGCTACGTGCTCGTTGGGCCAGCCACACATTTGCCACGTGATCATGCTCTCTCACACATACCGACCTGCAGAGAATTAGGTCAGGTGATGAAAGGGAGGCGGCTGATTGGTCCGGCAAACGCGTAGCTTCCACCGCAATGTCAGCTTAGGAGTAAAGGGATTAAGTGAAGTCTGGTGTCTTGTGACGTGCGCTTGGGCCTGGCGACGCGCTGCGGGGGCCAGGTTATGGTGGCTAGTAGCCCGGTGACGTGCTGCGGGGTCCGCGGATGTATCACAGTGAAAAGGCGGAGAGTTTACGAAGGGAAGGAGGTACGAAATAGTCCGCTATGTTTTGCGAATTTTCGTAGCGAAAGTCAGGCTTCTGACTTTCTACCTTTGTTCTTTTGGTCCACTGAACGATGTACTATTAGTACAATCTCAAAATAAATTGATTTACGCCAGCCCAAAATTCGTTTCATGGGTCCTTTAATCACCAATTCAACTTCACATGACTTCGTGACACGTCACCTATGAACAAATTCAGTTTCTCCGCTAGATTTAGCAGGAAAATTCACTTCATTTGACCTCAACAGCCATTCAATTCCCCGGTAAATTTAGTGCGGAATTGAATTGGTCTTGGAGGTCCCGCGATGTCAATTTTCCCGCTAAATTTAGCACGGTTACGCTGACAGCGCCGCCGCGAAACGCGGGAACGGGCGCCTTAGAGCAGCGCTCTAAACCCATGACCCAGTTCGACCTTAAAACTACTGTCTGTATAGAGAGGAATCTATAATAACAGGGACACGACTGTACTGCAGAGGGAACCCCACTCGCCACACTTAGAAAGGAACGGCAGAAGGCGCATCTAAAAAAGACGTTGCACAAGAAAATCACCCACTGAGGTTCTCTTCCTCCTTGGGCACCTTGGAATTGACGTAGAAGATCCTGGGCACCACCAGCCGCACCTGGTGCAGCTCAGGACCCACCAGAACCCAGAGACGAAAGACGCCCGGCTGGCCCGTCTCCGCCAACTGCACAGGGCCGTTCCAACAGCGCACATTAAAAAATGGCGGAAGTCAAATGCCCACCCCCCTGATATGTGCACGTCCGATTAAGGCGTCCAAAGGTGCACACAGCGTGACACTGTCAACACAAACGAGCAAACGTCGATTTTTCCTGTTTTAACGCAGAACATGTTTTACGGGTCGTCTTTTATGAGAGAATCGTCACGAACGAGCGTCATGACCGAGTGACACACAGGGAGCGTTGCAGACGTTAAGGTTATGTGCAAGATTTATTTCTAAGGTTCAAGCCCAGGTTCGCGGGGTCTCGAACCTGGGTCGCTCTCGAACCTGGGCCTGACGTTTTGGGGGTTTGCTCGAAACACGGTGTATTCCTTCCTGTCCCCGTTCTTTTTTAGAGTAGCACAACCATATATTTGCGATTTCGTACTATAGCCACTGAGCTACTGGCACTGTTTGTCTGGAAGGGTAAATGAATTTATTTAATTGCAAACATGCGGGAGAGAGCAGCAGGTTTTCGACGAAAATAATAGAACAATATAATAAAAAAAAAAAAGAAAAGAAATATAAATAAAATAAAAATAAGAACATAAAAATATAGATACTATAAAGAATAAAAAATCTAGCACTAACTACCGTATATTGCCGCACATAAGTAAACCTTTTCGAAAATAAATATCACAAAAATTAGTATAAAAAACATTTCATCAACGAAAAACAAATCTTTTTTTTTTCTTTTTACTTGTCAGAATTGGGGAGTTTTAGGTCTATATTCGGAGTCGTCCTCTTTGTGGCAATATATGGTACACGCAGAGTGTGGTTTGAACAGGAAACATTCTGTGCTTCCTGGTCTTTGTCAGCATGATCAAGCCAGTAGAAATTTCTTTTTTCCTTAGAATCGAAAGGCTGTCATCATAACTTCTTGTGTGGTGGGGAGCGCTCATTTGGGACACCAACCCAAGCTGTAAAATTTAGTGCTTGCCTTTACCAGTTCAAAGTAGCATGCCAAAGAGTGCCAATGTTGTGTTTGTGCTAAGAGTGATGCACAGTGTATATATACTGAAGGCACTTGTATGTTTTCTGAATCACTGTATCGCTACAACTTCCAATAAGCAAACATATTGTGTTCTGATCTTGTCAAAGTCGACAAGAGTGGGAAATCAAGTGACGCTCATTTATAGATGTCATCGACTCTCACAATGCTTTGCCCAAATCTGGGTCACATTTTCCTGGCTTTTCCGGGAAGACTGTGTGTTAATCAGTCCAGGTTTTCCCCCTTGGCAAATGGCCTAGTGCAGCTAAGCCATGCGCTGAAGCACCTCTGTGGGCAAAACACTCCCTTCTTTCTTCCTAATGCATGCAGTATTGTTGATAAAGTATGTAACCTCCTGAACCATCTTACTGCAGGAAGCCACAATGCGGGGTTGGACTTAGACATATTGAAGCTGCTTAAAAGCATGAAAACGAGATGCAATGTACTTACTCAAGCAATAGACGCAATGTTTACGAATAAGGTTCACCCGTCCACTTTTCTGCAGAAGACAAGTACAGCCAGTCGTCGCATTCCACATGAGAAATGGAGCGAATAATTAAATTGAGAAAATGATTCTCTGCAAAAATGAAATCTGCACAGATGGCATTAACTAATGACGATATTATCTCGGTCCAGTAAGCCGCTGGGCTCCTTATGTTGACCGAGATGACTGGTTACCTATGCGCTCCGTGAGAAAGTGGTCGCATAGGCCTTCTTCATAGGAAGTGCGTCTATTTTTCGAGCAAATATGGCACGTCTTGGACAGGAAACAAAGGAAAAGGAGTCATCACCTGAATGATCTGCCAAGGCGAGTCAAGGAGATTGCGCTGTGCCTTGCGGAGAAAGCCTCCCAGCGTTGCCGTGCCTCCTGCGCGGATGATGGCTCCCGACGATGCAGAGGTCTTGGCACCACTTGTGGAAGCAGCACCCTCTCCTCTGTTGAGGCGCTTTCCTCGTGCCTGGCGTTGCTTACGCTGAAGCTCCCACTTCTTCTTGTGGAATTCGAGCCACGCCACCAGCTCTTTCTGGAACATACAAAGAAAGAAGGTGCCTACCTCGAAAGTGTTCGGAGCTCGAAACGACACAATTGGTACTCGCGGCCCGCACCACGCTAGACCAGGAAATATATACGCTGTCTCAAGTTTACGCCGGAATTTCAGTTGTGCGGGAATACGGGACGTGTCGCCAACTCGCCGCTGTTCATCAGACATTCGCAAGCAGCGGCATTTGCACTATAGTAAAGCGTTGTTTCACAAGTGTCTCGCGTGTGAAACTATTTCGGGTTTTGAGTTCAGCCTACCCCCCAAGCAGTTGCGCTAGATGTATGCAGAATAATTGGTCATTTTCTAGCTTTTCTCGCACTTTATCTTAAAAGAGCAAAGTTAGAAAATGAAGATGCTGACCCGAGAGTGACCCAACTGTGGCGGGGGTCCCAAGGTCTCCCTCCACGACTTCTTGAGGTCATCGTCGCTCCTCTTTTCCACGGGTGACCTGGCCCTCTTCCGGTGGGTCACGGTGGCCACTATGGGCCGTGAGCTGGAGGGAGGCCGTGCTGGCTCGCCGAGGTCCTCAATGTCGTCCGTCTGCGGCTCGTCATTTGCGTCCTGGACACAGATTGTGCATATCTTAATGTCATTGTTCATCACACCTACAATGGACTTGCAATAATTTAAACTCGGATATTTCATACTTCCTGTAAATTCAAACGAATGAAAAAAGTTTAGTTGTCCCGTTATGTTTTAAATGCATTTATAAGCTGCTTAATTCAAACGTTTTCACTTAATTTACACTATTTGTTCATCGCGGCGGACTAGCCCCGTTGAGTGAGCTTCTCATCGATCACCTGTGTACTGCGGGAAAGCAATACCCACGAAGCTCGCAGTCAGTGTTTTTAGAATGAGAACATTTTCGACAGAAACCTGTCTGGTTGGGGAAAGATTTAAACCAAAAAAACTAAAAAAAAAAAAAAAAAAGGTTTAGCCTGACGTTTTAAAAGTTGTTCGGTTTCTTCATCAGGGGTGACTAAATCGTGAGGAGCAGCAGCAGTTTTCATCTTTTTCTTAGTTGTTTTCGACTCCATTTTTTTTATACAGATGGGGTTTGGTAGTTTGCCATTGTCAGGTGGCACAATCCATGGACATACACCGTTGGCAAAGCACCCAGGGGCCTGTTTATGTTTCCCGGTGTGTGCTGAATGTACCAAGACTGCAGGAAAAACCTTTTTCGAAATTGTGGCTCAGTTTCAATCACTTGCGTGTTCACGAAGTCGATTGGATGGTCGTGAACATCGCAGTGTTCCGCAACGGCGCTGCGCTCACGGTCGAACTTGCGTACGTCATTCTTATGCCGTGTGATGCGCTGAGAAAAGCTTTTCGTCTCGCCGACGTAAGTAGCGGGGTACTCTGCACATGAGATCTTGTAGACCACTCCTTGTGGTCTTGTTTTTGGGCAACGATCTTTGGGTCGTGGCATGATGATAACTGCATGGTATCCTTGGACGTTTCATTTTCTACAGGCGTCCCAGTTCCGTTGGCAGTCACTGCAGCCAGAGGTGTACTCGAGAAAGATGAAGACTTGGACTCAAGAAGCAGCCTCAAAATGGATGAACTGTGTCGCATGCTCGAATTCTGTCTCGGCAGCACATATTTCAGTTTTCAGGGTGAACTCTTCAAGAAAGTCAGCGGAACTGCAATGGGTGCCTCTATCTGTCACGACGGCAAATCTTACCATTGAAACAATCGAGCAGAGAGCGCTACGATCTTCCACCAGCGAGCCCAAAGTGTTCTTGCATTATGTGGATGACTGTTTCTCTATTTTAAGGAAACCAGAAGTCAATCATTTCTTGGCCCACCTCAATTCCATTGAGCCTGCCATTCAGTTCACCGTTGAATGTAGAAAGGAATACACATTACCGTTTCTAGATGCACTGGTGAAAAAGCAAAGGGGAAGAACTGAAGTTCACTGTGTATAGGAAACCAACGCACACCGGGCACTACCTTCAGTTTGACTTGAACCAACCAGAGAGTCACAAGGCATCAGTGGTCTCCACACTTCTATACAGAGCAATGACTACATATCTGCTCATCAGAAACTGACAGAAGAAAAGAAAAGCAAACCATCATTGCTGATTTGAAAAACAATGGCTACAGCAACAGCTTTGTTGAGCGCATCGCCCGTCACAATGGTTGCACATGCCAAAACAAAAAGCCATCAGAACGCTTGTAGCTTCGGCCCATCGCGCGCATCAGCGCCCCCTATGTAAGTGGGACCAGCGAGGCACTGGCAGGTGTGCTAAGGAAAGAAGGAATCCAAATGTCCCACAAGTCTGTGTCCACACTGGGACGATTCATGCCGCAACCCAAAGATCGCCTCCCAGAAACAAGAGCACAGGGAGTGGTCTACAAGATCCCATGTGCAAAGTGCCCCGCTACTTACATAGGCAAGACGAATAACTTTTTCTGAGCGCATCCCACAGCATAAGAACGACGCTAGCAAGTTCCATTGTGAGCGCAGCGCCGTCGCGGAACACTGCGACGTTCACGACCATCCAATCGACTTCGCAAACGTGCAAGTGATTGAAACTGAGCCACAATTCTGAAAAAAGCTTTTCCTGGAGTCTTGGCACATTCAACACACACACAGGGAAACATAAATAGGTTCCTGGGTGCTTTGCCAATGTGCATGTCCATGGATTGCGCCACCTGACGACGGCAACAAATAAAAAACCATCTGTATAAATAAAAAAAATCTTTTAGCTTTTCCACTCTGGTGAAGAAGGAAGACCAGAGAAGCTGTACTATGGTGGGACCACCTCAAGGAGGACGCCTAGAGGACGTCTAGGACGACTTCTAGGACGACTGCAGGGACGTCTAGGACGACCTGAAAAACGATGCCTAGGACGACCTCAGTGACGTCTAGGGCGACCTCAAGGACGACGTCTAGGACGACCTCAAGGATGACTTCTAGGACGACCTCAAGGACAACTTGTAGGACGACCTCGAGGACGACATCTAGGACGACATCTAGGACGACGGCTCTCCACTCTGGTGAAAACCAGAGTGGAAAGGCTGGAAAGGTGGCCGCCATCTATGAGCAACGGCGGCATCCAGACAACCGGAAAGCCGGTTGTCTGGTTGCCGCCGTCGCTCATAAATGGCGGTAGCTGTCCAGGGTTTTGTGTCGACATTTATTTGGTGACGGACATGAAACTGGAGAAACTAGCCCTTAACAGCTCTGCTGTAAAAAGAAATTTTGAGTCGAAAATAATTGAGAAGATGATGAAAACTGCTGATGGTCCTCGCGCTATTGCACTGTATAATGCAGAGGTAAGATTTTTTTAGAATTTTTTGTGAGTGGCGAAAAATGTTGTGTATCCCTCGGCCTAGCACATGCATGGACGTGAGGACGGTGGCGAAATACGTATGTATTTCTTTGTTTTCTGCACTTTTCAAGTATATTTGTAAGTGGCGCCTGTGTGTGTGTCTTCTTCCTTGTGTCCATTGTTTTTTTGTGCCTTACATCATGTTTCATGACCCTAAATATGTTTCTTCCCTTCTTTGCCTTTGGCAAGGTTTCTTTCCCTGCCGCCCACTGCACTGCAGGAAATATTGGTGTCCAATAAGAATTTGACCATTTTCCCAATTAAATCTGATAGACTCAAGGACAACTTTTCTTGGCATTTCCAAGGAGAGGAGCAGAGCGCACGCTCAGCTTTAATCAGGGCTCATTAGGGGAGAGGGCACGTGTGTCCGTACCTTTGACTGCATTGCCAAAAAAAGTTGTCTTCAAGTATAGCGACCATACATAGAAAAAGCATACTAGTACCTTTGGCTTAGGAGCAGCACTAAACAGCTCATTAATGCGCTTCTGCTTCAGAACGTCGTCCTTTTCCAACAGGCGTTTGTGCAGCCACGGTGGATGGGCGACGCGAGGCACAGGATTTGGTATCTGAGAGGACAGGAGTATTTTTTTTTTACACAGGAACGATACAACAAACAGAACAGCTGTCCGCAATACTGAAAAGGGGATGAACTGATTTGCAAATACGACAAAGATTTCCCTTATCGAGGAAAGCTACGACAAGGTTATCACAAGCTACAACTTACTATAATGTAGGAATGAAGCATTCACTGTAACTACACTACTAAAATAGTATTTTAGGGGAGTAACTAGCTCTTAGAAGCTGTAACATGCAGCTTACCTGCTGTAGAGCTGCTGGTATGGTGATGATTTTCTGAATGGCACTCCCCAGTCGCTCAATGTAATACTCCCAATCAAGGATCTATAAAAAAAAATTATAAAGGAATTACACAATAAATAGTTTTCACGGCGTCACAATTTAACCGAACCAGTTAAAACAAAAAGCAGGGTCCAATCGTGCTATGAAGTAATCTAGTAGGTGCATATCAATGCTACAACAAATGACCTGCAAACATCTATGTTAAACAGAAGAGTGTTTCAAGCGAGTTTTGCCCTGTGCTTGGAGGTCGACTGATGCCAAACAAAATGTCCACCGAAAGGTGGCAAGGGAAAAACGTACCGAGCGGATGTTGAAATCTTCCGCGGAAGATGCCTTCAGCCATCGCCTGAGGTAGTGTCTCTTGACACTTGGCTCGGCTTGAAATATGGCCAAAGGGATTGCCCTGGAAAATAACAGGAACAATATGTCAAATTACTATATTGGTCAGTTGCGTGTGCGACATGAAGTAACGTCGGCTTCAGTTTACAATAGCTGTATTTTTATGTGCAACCTGGAGAGCGTTTACCCTCTTACATGCTAAGCTCCACAATATTGCTTGGGATAGGAACCTCTCGGTGTAAGACGTTTCGGTGTGGGGCGTTTCGGTGCAGTCTTTTCGGTGCACTGACACTTCGGTGCATGGACTTTTCGGTGTGGGACTTTTCGGTGTGCGGACATTTCGGTGCACAGACTTTTTGGTGCACGGACATTTCGGTGTAGGGTCAATCAAAATCGCAAGTTTTTTTTTTTTTTTTTTTTTTCTTGTTTTCTCTAAAGTAATAAGCACTATTTTAGCCAAAAATGATTCTTTTTTTTTGCACTTTATAATTTTGTAGGTTTGATCATCCATTTACGGTCACTCACTGATATACGACCTAAGTGACTATGTTAGGCGCAGCACTAGATGTATCACATTGCGCTTACACGTCGGGTCGATACAGGCGTTCTCGGCGTCTTCTGTAAAGGTATTGGCTTTATTACTGGTAATCGGCGTAGGAAAGGCCCCAACAGCAAGAAGCTCGAGAATGTTGAAAATTACCTGAGACTATGGTAAAAGATCGGAAACTTTGTGGAACTTTGAGATGTCCTTGTTCCTACGTCCTTTCTTTTTCCATGTTTCCCATCTTTTACCACAAACTCGGATAATTTTAATGTGTTTTATGTCTTGATTTATATTACAAACCTTGCAACGTGTGACAGATAGGAAGAACTTTAATTTCTCCTGTCAGGTGTGCTAAACAATCAATGCTATACGATTTCGCGGTAGATGCACATTTGAAGATAAGTCGACTCTCGGTAATTCAAAGTCGCATAATTCAAATTTTAGGTTAGTTCGAAGCATGGGCCTGGTCCCGGCAATCGTATGTATAATGCTATGGGGAAAAACACGCGGTAATTCGAAGGCTAAATGTTGGGAGCTGGTTAATTTGAAGGATTTTTTGTCTGCGCCTGAAGTCCGGAAACCCCGGGAGCGAAAAAAATAAATGCCAAGCGCGAATACGCAACGCCGGACCCACGGCCGCGTCACTGGTGTCGCCACACTAGGGGTGATGCAATCTGATGCAATGTGTGACGACGCCACGGCGCGCTGCGGCTCGGCGGCGAGGAAGCAAACAAACAGCCTTGCGCGCGCGGCTGTTTGCTTACTTGCTTTGGGCTCTGCTCTCCCACTCTGCGCTCTCCCCTCGAGAGGAGAGAGGGAGGTAGGTGGCGAGAAGGTTGGGTTGCGTCAGCGGAACCGCGGAACGGCACGCGAGCGGGAGTTTTGACAACGAAGAGAAGAAGATCCGAAAGTGTGTTGGCTCGTTCGTACATGCTTTCTCACAGCCCAACAATCGCTCCGTCGCGTTGCTTTGGTACAATCACGATGGCTCAACGGAGTAAGTATTGTGCACTGGACCTCGCTACCAAACTTAAGGTGCTGCAAGAAGTCGAAGAGTGCGTCGTCAAAGCAGATGTCGATGTTGACAAGCATGTCGAGGTCTCTGGTCCGCTTTCGGACGTCGAAATAATCGAAGTGGTTAGGCCTGGTGTGGTGGTGCAAGGAAGTGACGATGACTCTGACGACGAGGAACTCTCACCGCCGTCGATTCCCGCGCCGAGTGCCGCTGATGCGGAAACTGCATATGGCGTCGTAGAACGTTTTTTCTCGGGCGAAAAGAATGCCGAAGACGCCTTACGATGCATACGTAACTTGCAGAGCCGAGTGACGGTGGCGCGGATGCGTCAGCGAAAACAATCTAAGATCGACCAGTTCTTCTCCTAAGTGAGCACTGAATAAAATAAACTCAGTTTTATATGTGCTTTTTTTAATTCGAAGTTTGCTTAATTCGAAGCATTTTGCTGTCCCTGTGAGCTTCGAGTTACCGAGAGTCTACTGTATTCCAAATTGTCTTGAATTTCATACATAAAGAACTTTTCAAGCTTTATGAAAAAACGATGTGTACGCAGGCAAATTGGTGGATATTGATCATGTTAAAAATAACCCAAGACTGTGGTAAAAGATGGGAAACTTCGTGGAAGAAAGAGGGCACAGGAAGAAGGACATCTCTAAATTCTGCAAAATTTCTTAACTTTTACTTAGGTAATTTTCAGCATTCTCAAGCCTCTTGCTGTTGGAGCCTTTCCTACACAGATTACCAATAACAAAGCCCATACCCTTTCAGAAGGTACTGAGAACGGCTTTATAGAACCAATGCACAAACACGATGTGATGCATCTAGTGCGTACAGTGGAAAAGATACACCGGCAAGCGAGCCATAATGTCCAACGTCTCCAATCCTGACGCAGGATGGTACTGCGCCTAACAAAGTCACTTAGGTCGTATATCAGTAAGTGACCATTGAATGGATGACCAGTCTCCAAAATTATAAAGTGCGAAAAAATTAATTTCTAGCTAAAATAGTGCTTATTACGTTAGAGAAAACTAAAAAAAACTCGTGATTTTGATTGGCTGTGCACCGAAAAGTCCGTGCACCGAAAGGTCCTACTCCAGAAAGTCCTAGACCCATTTTGTTTAATTGTATCACCTTATAAACAAGTTTTGGTATGTCTATTAGATATTTTTAAGCCTCGGTACACCTGATACTTTTTAGCACTGTAAACATTACCAACGGCACACAATTAGGCATAATGAATTTGCAATCCGCCAAATGGCCAGGACCTGTGGCTTTTGTCTTTTGGTAGATGCTGAAATCCTGGTTATACCATTGCCCCTACCCCCACCTCACTCACGGTTCTGCCTTGAGTGAGTGAAACTTGATCACTACTTGTGCACAAATATGTTTCTGTTTGTTATAAGTGGACAGTGTTTAATATACAAGCTACATATCATTGTCTGTTCCACTTGTAAATAGTTACATTCCAAAATAAAACATCAAGATATTGGGTTACGTACCAATTAAAGGGACACTGAACCGAAATTTCGAGCTCGTAAAACAAGGCTGGACGGATAGGCGGGACACTACAAAACCCAGAAACATCACTTATACAGCGATATCTCTAATGGATCGCCATATTTTTTTGGAAAGAAATGGGCGATTGAACACGGCCGACGAGGCCGATGAGACAACTCATGTCACGATTCTCCCATTCCCTCTCCTCCTCGCTACGTCCCGTCGAGCTAGTGAATCGAAGTGAGGAAGGGAGAAGCGAGGCCGCTTCCTTTCATTCACAAATTCTCCCGGTGGACAATAATGTCAAAAATCTAGCTTGATCGTGCCCTTCTTTTCCGAAAGTATGGCCATCCATTTGAGATATCGATGTATGAGTGATGTTTTGGAGTTCGTAGCGTCCCGTCCAACGCTTCTGCGACCTTATTTTGCAAAATCCAAGTTTCGGTTCAGTATCCCTTTAAGCATTACAGTAGTCTGAGGCTTTACAAGGCCCAACCTTTCTGTGACAGGAGCCCCTTCTGGCTTCTTGGAGATGATGAAGCGACAGCTAAGTCCTGCATCTTTGACCATCTGGTCCCCAAGGAACTGAAAAGCGTACAAAATAACAGCTACTTTACTATACCATCCTCCACTGGAGTCCAGGGAAGATGAGGCTTTGAAGTGACACAGACAAAGTATTCAGAAACATAAAAACACTACATATTTTAAATAGCCATAAAAAAAAAAACAGAAGGAGAAATTTAGCCTTTGGCAATTACTGCAACAAAGTTGTAATAGAAGCACAATACTAGATCTGTTGAAATGAGCCACAGTCAAAAAAGCCAGAAGCAAAGGCAAGAAGAGAGAAAATGCAAAGTGTGGAAGTGAAACCCTCACCTCTGCCAGCCTCTTGGCAGTCGAGATAGAGGTTGACTTCTGGACACCATAGTCCTCCAGCTTCCGCGACATGCTTCGGTTTTCAGAAATGAGCTCGAAGAGCTCCTCATCCGGCATACTCTCAGCCTAGTGGAGCAAAAAGTATGGAGAAGATTAAAATTGTAGGGTAACAGACAAAAAGAAAAGGAAACAACAGCAACAATAGTGAAACATCAAGAACCAAACAACCCCGTAATTCTGGTGGTGCTGCCTTCGGCATGGCTACGGAAGTCGTCGTACGTTCCTAAGGAGCCGGGTAGTTGACCTACTGAATTGCCTCTTCCAAACCAACTCTGTTGTCTTCTGACAGAGAGCTTACTTGACTGTCTTGTAGGCTGCCCGGTATGGTGGCTTTTTAGTACCTAATGGACTGAAATTAGAAGTACCTAACTACCTTGAATGTGCTGGTTTAACACCTGCCACGGTGCGTAGGGCAACGGGCAAAAGACGCATGCAGGGGAATGATTCGGATTTTAAGCACACTTGGTCGCCTGCCAAATATCCGTGCCGACCCAAACTATGTGTCTTTGCACGCATCGCATGTGAACAACCCTCGAGTCAGCCCAGATGACGCTCCCAAGCACCAGTCTGTGCATCTGTGCATTCTCTGTGTGTCGTCGCAAGAAAAAAGAAGTAAAAGAGAATGATTTGGCCACACCGCGAAAAGAGGCAGCAATTCTGCATGTGACGGTCTGATCAAGAAATCAAACTACAGCTGCAAATTTTGTCTCCAGGCAGCATTATGGACTTGGGCAGTTTGCATTTATAAGTATTGATGGTTGGGCAATGTCTAGGTGCATGTATGATAAATTAATACCTTGTCTATAAACAGACTGAGAGATGGGCATTCATTTGGGAGTATTACGGTATTCCCTGCCACGCCTTTTGTGTTGCTAATACATATGAGATTTTATTCATGACACAATGTACACCAAACACTCAAAGAAAGAGTGAAAAAGGGAGATAAGTTTGTTGGAAACCTAACTCCCCTGGTTTCTGACCATAAAATTAATTAGCATGCCTGCACCAGACTTTAAAGGGCCCCTGAAAAGACAAAAAATGTTTTTTTTTTAAACAGTCTGGTTGGGACACGTGTGTCAAAGAATTAATTTTACGCGAAAGAAACTAATTTTTTTAGAGCAATATTGACGGCATGAGACGCAATTTAGTTGGTAGTCACCTCCTTTCCACTTGTTTTTTCTCTCGTCATTTCGGACACGTGGAGGAGAAGTGGATCAGCTTGGCGATTATGTTGAGGTGGAAAGAGTGTATGACCATTCTGTGACATCATGGACTTTGCGTGCAGAATTTAAAATAAATCTCACGCCGTCAACGTTCTTCTAAAAGTTTTTTATTTTTATTTTTTTTTTGCTTAAAATGAATTTTTTTGACATGTGTGTTTCACCCAGACTGTTTAAAAAACTTTTTTTTTTTTTTAAGGACACTTTAAGGTATTATTGTTGTGGTTCAATCTTGAAATTACAATTTCGTGCACTTGTCCGACCTGTGTTACTTCTGTGAAACAAATTCCTGGCAATTATGGGACAACCACAGACTTTCTCCGTTGGTAGAGTGCCTGCTAACATACAAAAAGGCCGTTTGCTGTAACGCAAGACACAAGCTAACCTTGCTGTAGAGCACGTCAAGCCAGTAGTTGGCAACCTTGGCCACGGCAGTGTAGCACTCCTCCAGAGTCTTGCCCTTGAGGAAGGCCTCAAACACAGACGACTGGAAGATCTTGATGAGCTGCAGCTCTCCACGGCGTTTCACCTCAAAGCCCTTCAATTCGGCCAGGGAGCCGTCAAAGTTGAACACGGCGTACCTGATTTTAAAAAAACAGATCATTCTTTACATCTAAGTCAGCATTGGTAATCGTTTTTATGTTACTCCGCAAAACAAATTTGCAATAAAAAGTGAGGTCCTTGAGAGTGGGGGTCCTACAATCATTTGCTTAATGGTTATTGGTTCAGAACCAAACATTAATTAAGGGTGAAAAAAAAAAAACAGAAAAACAAACATAATATAGGGGTACATGCTAAAATCTTGAGTACTGTTGCAATGTTATATCGAAGAATAGGCGATGCTGTGCATATGTTGGCATCAAATTAATTCAGTGCTATTATCTCTCAATTACAAGAAAAAATTGTTTAAACACAATCGAACAGGCTGTGCTGAATCTCCAGAAAGTTTCTGAAAGGATGGCCAGCAGTGTTTATAAGGGCACTTGAAAAAATGAAGACTGTTCCACTTATGTACCTAGTAGCCCTGCAGCTTTCCTTTCTTGTAATACACCAAAGCAATCGGGGGACCCAGAGCACCTCCATACAAGTGGAAACATGCTTGTCGGACATTTCCAAGACTACACACCAATATTTCAAAAGACAAGGTGACATGTTTTGGCAAGAAATGTTATAAGGTGACGAAAACCCCCAAAATATACAGTAATGGGCACCTTTTCTTTAGCTTTTTTCCTTCCTCTTTGGACGCTGGAAGAATCATGGCCAGGTAGGGGCCGTCCACTTCGAAGAAGATGGAGTTCTCCGACCGCTGAACGTACTCTAGGGTCTCTGGGTTCACCAGCTCGTGGTATTGATCATTTGTGTTGACCTCCTGCAATGTGTTTCATAAAACAGCTTGAGACTCAACTCAAGGCACAATCTACACCAAGCGAAATTTGCAATGCCACACTAGTGAAGCAGTGTCTTGGCGAGAAATGTCAAAAAGCCTCCAAACGCAAACCTAGATATTTTTGGGAATTTAAGAGAGCCATATGCACACACCGTCGAAGCAGCTCTCGTTTTCACAGCCATTATAGTTAAACCTAGTTAAATCTCGATATAACAAAGTCATCAAGAATGTCCCCAGAGGCATCTTCATATCCCAAATTACGCCGAGATTTCTATTATTTAGGAGGGGTACTTGCCTTCCCGTTCCCCTAACCTTGCTATTGGGTCATGTCCTGTACATAAATATAGACCATAAAAAAATACAGGTATTCCAAGTGATAAAGTAGGCTTTGGGAAGAGACTCGCTCTCTTCCTAAGTGACATTTTTGTTTTTTTATCAAACAAACAAAAACATCAATTAGCAGAAGAAAAAAAAAAAAGACAGAAAAAAAAAAGAATTTGAACATTCTTCAGCTTAAAAGTTCAGTTTCAGTGGCTAGATCCTCTTCCATTACCAACATGAACCTCAATTATAGTTAGTTATGATAAGGCAGCAAGTGAGGACAATGTGCACACCTGAACCATGATGTTGAGCACAGCTCCAGGATAGGAAATGGTGAGCTTGGGCTTCTTGGCATTACTGGTGCGGATCACAAAGTTCTCCGGGAACGATGCTGGCAGCACACACCAGATGCCGTCTGTGTCCAACTCCAATGGGCGCCTGCATAATGTTCAAACCAGTATGGCACAACACAATCAACTTAATTCTTCGACCAAATGCTGCAACTTCAGATCCGAAATGTAAAACATGAATTCACCTATAGATTGAAAACAGAACGAGTATGTTTCTTTATCATTTAGCTTAGTCCAGCTTTACTTTATCCCTTACTTTAGTCCAGCAATGCGTGCCTCCGCATCCATCACCTGACTGCATTTTCTGGATAAATTTAACACGGAAACATTTACAGTACCATATTTTCCAGACTATAAGTCACACCCTAGTATAAGTCTCACTTCTGTATATATAGAGCTGTTTTCAGGGAAAAGTCGGTATATAAGTTGCACCTCTTTGCACGGTTCACATGATGAATTTTTTCGTTTTATGCGAATTGGTATCACAAAATTGGAGTTTTGCACAATCTGCTAGTTCACACGTTTCGTTTGATGCACAATTTTGACACTTTGACTTGCGAGAAATGCCCAAAGCACGACACTGTCTGGCGAGGGCAATCCACTGTTCCGCAGCAAAAGCACTTAAAACGTGCAAAATGAGAAGGCAGTCGGCTTTATTCGAGCATACACATGCCGAGCGAACGAAAGTTTAAAATGCCAGACAGTCCTGAACCAAGCTTTGGATCACTAGGCCTAGCCTAGGCCAAGCCACGAAGACGACGCAAGCATTAAAGCGCCGGCAGATATTTCTAACAACCTACTGGAATCTGTGACGTCTTACAAATATCTTGGTGTTCACATTACTTCTAACGTTTCATGGAAATTACATACTGATCATATTATCGCTAACGCTAACTCTATGCTTGGATATCTGAAAAGAAACTTCTCTTTAGCTCCAATATCATTAAAATTGCTTCTGTATAAAACTCTAGTTGGTTCAAAATTAGAGTATGCCTCATCAATCTGGGACCCCGGTCACACAACGCTTGTGACCAACGTTGAAGCTGTTTAAAATCGTGGAGTATGTTTTATCTATTCTAACTATCATCACACCGCTAGTGTATCATCTATGAAAACCTCATTGTCCCTGCCTCTTCTTTCTTTACGGCGAAAAATATCTCGGCTATGCCTTTTCTACAAAATTTATCACTTCAACGCTTCACTAAAAGATAAGTTATTCCTTAACCCCGCATATATCTCTTCACGCATTGATCATCGTTTCAAGGTCGGCATTCCTCACTGTGAGACATCAGCATACAATGACTCCTTCATACCAAGAACGTCTTCTGAGTGGAACCACCTTCAAGCATCTTTAGCAGCTATCCCACCACTTGATTTATTTAAAGAAGCGCTTACTAATCACTTTTGTTAATATTTTGTCGAATCGATTGTGTTTTAATCACTGCGTTTCACGTTTGTATTTTTTTATGAGTGAATTCTTATGTGCCCCATCCCCTCTGTAATGCCCTATGGGCCCTGAGGGTATTGAAATAAATAAAAAAATAAAATAAATAAATAAATCTTGACACACTTCTTTCAGTGCCGCTAAATGATCAGCCAGCCCCAATCCTTTCTTTTACATGTAGCAGCACAGCTGGAGCATGGCAGATAAAAACTGTTCATCAAACGGAAACTAAGAAAGACACGAAAAAATGCCCTGCAATGTGTGTACACCAGCCCATTTACCTTTCAGTGTTACTGGACTGAAAGGGAAAATGGGGCACTTCTACATTTGAGAAAAAACGCTGAATTGCGTTCATTTGGCCTTTAGAATAACAGATATCAAAATTATATTTCAATGAGACGCGCCGGAGAGCCATACTGTCGAGATCGGTTATAACGAAGTCGGCTATAACGAAATGGCGGTTACGACGAAGCGATCACGATTTCCCCTTTCCTTCTGCACTTCATTATAACAGAAGTTGGTTATAACGAAATAGCGGATATAGCGAAGTGATTTCCGATTCCCGTTGACTTCGTTATAACCGGTCTCGACAGTACGAGCAATTTCAAAATAGGACTAAAGCCCCGCCTCCCTAGCCTTGGGCAGCCAAAAGATCCGTCGATGACGTCACATACAGCGACTGTCTTTCGCGTTTTTCTCGCGTTTAACAATACTTACGCAGCAAATGGTTTGGGTATTCGGGTTCACGGGGTAAAAATACACTAGAATTCATTTCTAACTCATTTTCTGCAAGAAGCTCCGTAGCTTCCCTTGAAGCAAAAGAACAAGGAACCACGGTGGAATTAGGCGACCTCGGTCACATGTTGTAAAAGCTTTATTGTCACTGTCTTGAATATCCAGATTGAGCCTCTTTGGGGAAACCGTTAAATTTCTCGGTTTCAGAGTCAGCTATGAAAAGTGTCGAAAAGTGTGGCAACAGCAGTGCCTCCTGAAAGGGGCAACACCACCTATGGCTACGTAGTTACAGTGCTTTACAAAAGATGGCGCGCGGCACATAAAAAAAAAAAAGTGTCGCACCGTGAATAAAAAAAAATGCATATAAGTCGCATTGTTGTACAAGACGTACCAAGAAAGATGTTCGAAAAAAAAAAACGTAACTTATACACCGGAAAATACAGTAATTGAAACTGTCGGTGAAATCTCCATAATGTATTTACAAGAAAAGTTATGGCTGGACTTTGCCAACAACCATACTTTTGCAGAGTTGCCTTTGAGAAAGATTTGTTGAAATGTCAAGAAATATATGGTAAAAAAAAAGGTCTTCTAGTTTTATATTTCCTTGCTTTTACTGACAAACAAGATATGATATCAAAACTTTTTAATGGTAGTGTGAAGACTACCAACATGCTTCCCAACTTCCTCCCCCAAATGTTTCTTTATACTCTTCAGAAACTCAGAGGCAGTCTTATAAATAACACGACAGGCAAACAATTAGTTTATAGTTATAATGCAATTATTTGCAAAGGTGCAAGCGAGCTGGACAAGAGTGACGAAAATAATCCCTGGAGAAGGGATTATTTTGCATTTAATTGCATTATAATTATAACCGTAAAAATGTGCAAGCTTCACCCTTGTTGGTGTCAGACTGGTGGTGGCTGGTAAAACCCGTTTGCTCTACTGACGTCTAACCCCTGGTTAGCTCAGTTGGTAGAGCGCTCCACCTGTAATGGAGAGGTCCCGGGTTCGATACCCGGACCAGGCGGATTTTTTCAGTCGCTCACCAGTCACCTAGCTGTGTTTGGAGATTTATGTTTGTCCTTTGTCCCTCTTGTTCCCCTTCTCCAGGGATTATTTTCGTCAAACAATTAGTGTTTTTGACAATAAAGTATTCTGCTTTGGTTGCAGCTTCCTCTCTTCCATGAAATTAAAAATAAATAGCATGCAGCAAAGATATCCTTGCACTGTTGAAGATTATAAAGTTTAAATATTTCCACTTATCAACCGACATATCAAAAAAAAGTGCTGCCACTACATAGATAAGAAATGACCCTTCATTAGCACCTGTTTAAAATCAGTGGCAGAGAACGAGCCACATGGCATGCTCACCCAACTTGCTCCACAAGTTCCCTGGCATGAGTAATGATGCCGGCCCCTGTGTGACACACAATGCCTGCCATCTCCATGCTGTACCATCTGGCTCTGGTAGAATAGAAAGCATGCAAGTCATGTGTCGCTGGAGTAACATGAATGGAAACATTAAAAACGCAAAGTAGACACAGACATTCCCTCGCGGGATTTTTTGTAACAGCGCGTGTCTAAGATATCAGCTCCTTGTGCTTCCTACTCCTATTTTTCTGGACTATGAGATCCAACTATTTGACCAATTTATGACAAAATTATTGTCACGGATATTTTACCATCACCGCTGGTGTTATAACATTAGAATCTGTTACTGCTCAAATAGGGAGTAAACCTGTTTGTTAAACCCATCTTTCTTTGCATGAAGTGAAGTATCTTTCAATTCTATAAATTTGTTGTGTTGACCATGGTTCTTTTCTATTACGCAGTTTCATTTCACTTAGTATATTTTTATGTGATCTGAATAACATTAAATAAAATCAAACTGTACTAGAGATTCTAAGGCACAAGGACTAAAACAATAACAATAAATAAATAAATCTAAATAGCAGTAAAAAAAGGCAATAGTACAATAAACTATATTAAAAAATAAACCATACTTCAAACAAATGAGACTACACTATGCTGGCGAGTGCAAGCTTCATGCACTGCCTCATAGTATTTCCACCAGAAAATATACAATATCCAGCATAAGAAAGCTAGCTCATTAGCAGTTTTCAATAACGTATATCAAACAAAGCTGCCCTTAGAAGGACTCCAGCTTAGAGGGAGTCTGTAATAAAAGCAGTAATAACCCATCTTTATGAAATGAGATTGTGTGAACTTCTTGTAAGTTAGTGGTAAAGAGATTTCAGCAGAAGCTCCATACCCTTTTCTCATGACGTAGCCATAGAAAGAGTTGAGGATGCACTTGTGGGCCAGCTGAAGGGAGTCATACAGGACCTCCAAGTTCTTGGCTGCCTTGATCTCTGCAGCATCTCCTTTCTCCAAGGCCTCGGCTACATTTCTCTTTGCCACCTAGAAGGGGACGTTTACCACTCCTAAATGGTGGCCTCAGAGCAACACTTTCATAGAGGATCGAACGCCGCTTGAAACGCTCGGCTGGCAGAACACTTGGAAATAAAATCAAGATTTCTCATGTAACCACGCTGGTCGCTGGTGAAAATAACTGTACTCTTTTCTTTTTTTTTTTCCTTGTCAGCTTAGGAATTGGTTACAGCACATACAAAATGCTACACATACATTTTGTTCAAGCAAGTGCGCGCGCCCTTAAATGTTGTCAGAATTATCTTGTGATTCTGAGTAGGCGCTTATCCAGTATCTTACCCTAAACCAGTATCTTCCTCTAGTACCCCCCCCCCCAATCTACCATATTTTCTTGCATAATAAATGCACCCCCCACAATGGGCATCAATATTTTGACTTTTTTTTTCCCTCCCGTAATCAACGCACCTTTAATTTTCGGATCCGCGAATCTCAAATTGCGTTTAATTTAGCAAGCCACCAAGCCAGTTTTCTTTTGCCGCCAAGCAATCAGGCAAAGTCAAGCCAAGTCAACCCAAGCCAGGCTGCTCTCGTGATGGCCGCAAGTGCGTAGTTGCAGTAGTTACAGAAATGATCAACCGTGAAACCGAGTGTCGCGCACGCTTGACGAAGCTTGGGTGGAGGAATTGCCGAGCCCCGGACATTCTTCGCCCATCGGATGCATTGATGTCAACAAACAAGCCGTCGTCTGTGGTCCGCTTTCGGACAGTGAAATCGTGAAAGTGGTTAGGCCTAATTTCACATACTCCGGGTAAATGCGTTTGTTTAATCTGCAACAGAACGGCACAGCGAGGTGCATGTTCTACTGTAGGCTGAGAGTGTCTGGCAGCCTCTCCGTGAACGAAACTTGATCCGTGCTAGCGGGCTTCGGAGTTCAGGGGTTGGACTTCGTAGGAGTTCTTATATGCGTAGTCGCCGATTATACCTGAATGTGCCCGCCGGGTACTAGCAATATATATCATCTAAGAATGGGCGTGTTGCTTTTCGTTTTTCATGCTGAGTGAGCTTCGTAGGGCGCTTTTCCTTCGGCTAAAGGCACCCCGAAAGCACCCTAAAAAGGTTTGCAATTTATAAAGCATGGTTATTGTGGTGCGCCCCTGGACCAGCCGTGGGTGCGCCTCCGTCACTGGAGACGTGCCACAGTACCTTGTCGTGTCAAAAATTTTACCCCGTGTAATGAACGCCCCCCATGCCCCACCCCCGCCCGCCCGCTCGCCCGCCCCGCGTCTTGCCCCCCACCCTTCCCCCTCCCCCCCCCCCCCCCCCCCCCCCCCCCCCCCCCGCAAATATATATGTGTCAATTTTTCGGGAAAAAGTGTGTTCACTATGCGAGAAAATCAGTATTTGCAGATTAGTGAAATATTAAGCCTAAAAATGTGCTGTTGTTGGCAAGTAGGTAGTACTCCAATTTTGATGCCCACACAAAAAAAGTTGGGGTTGCAATCCATGTTGTGAAAGTAATTGGCCAGTGAAGCTGTGGTATCACCTGCAACGATTGCCCACAGCACTATACACCCTTTTCATGCAAATGCCACCAGGCGGTGCTCCAGCCTTTGTTGTCCCAGAGAACTTCCGGTTCATAAAAAGATTGAACAAAGCCCACCCTAACACCACTGCTTGAAATGTCGATGAAATGTTTAACCACCAATTCTCCAAGTGAACGCCAAAAATATAAAGAAGGGCGGGATCTGTTTAAAATTTTTGAATACTCTTGTAAACCAACTTGCCTCCTCCAAGATGTTAAATTGTCCAGCGGAGGGCCCTCGTTAAATCTCCAACTTTAATGTATGTGTAGCATTTATGCTTTCTAGCACTGGTGATATAAGCAAGCTCGCCAGGCTTGCAAAGAGGGTGCGACCAAAAGTCGCTTGGGACGCAGGAGGCAGTTTATGTTTGTAAACAGCAAAAGGGTCTATAACAACTCATTCTTATGAGTTGTGAATGTGAAAGCATACACGACATTCTTCCACTCCCTTTTTCGTCTCCAGCGTATTTGGGTCGACGGCAGAGTGCGCCCTCTCCTCGCCGTTCTGACCTTGGACGTTTCATGCGCTGACAGACACACAGCGCCATGGGGTGGCGGTCATTGAAACTGACGCGCAGCGGCCAATGGGAGCCTCATCGACGCGTGCCAGCCAATGGGACCCAAGCCAAAATCCATCAGCTTTACTCCGCTCCTTTGGGATCGGGGAAACTAGGTGCCATTTGGGGCTAGGCTTTTCGCGTGGTTTCATAGCTGGGAGATGGCTTCACTTGGAGAAAGGATTTAAGGTGCCGTTTGGCGCGGCTTCAAATGATGACGTCGGCTCACTCCATGGGACAGTTAATGCTTTCACATTAAAAGTAAATGCACTGTACCAAAACTTTTTATAGATCAAAGGCTAGTGACGTCACTCCCTACGTCTCAAGATGCTGTCACCACTGCAGCTTGCGCAACAGTAATCTTTACTTGGAAACGTATGCGGTGAGCGCTACATACTTCGCATTGTTATAAGAAGCGCCTTATCATCAATTATGTGGTTTGGATGCTTGTTTAGTGCTTGTTCTTTATTGGAATGAATGCTGTGCTCTATGTTGTATACGTGATATGCACTTTTCACTTCAATCGCTGAAGGATTGCTTTCTGTAAAGACGACGGCACGAAAAAATTTCAGAAATCCGACCTGTGAGTCGTATACAGCTTCAGTGTAAAAATCACCAGTTAGTCTTTCATGGCTGATGAGAAATGCATTATAGTCTAGAATTTTTTTTCTCATAAATTTTATGTGATTAGTATTATCTGAGAAACATTTCAAGTTTGGAAACACCATGCCTGCATCTAACATCTTGAACTGTGGAAATAAATGAATGTCTGCCTCGATAAATAAAACACACTTCGCTACTGCTCTATGTCAAAATACCAATAGCTCCAAACACAAAGATCTAAGAACCTTGAGTAGAGCCTTGAAATCGTAGCGACGGTCTCTGAAGTTACGGACGGTGTCCACATAGAAGGAGTTTTCTTTCTGGCAGATTGTGGTCTCCCGAACTTCTGTCCGGGTGATGTGAACCTTCTTGTAAGCCTTCCTGCAGTAGTCTGATAGCAGAAAAAATAAAAATCAGTATCTACTAGTACTTAGATTCCATCTAAGATCATTTCTATGCACTACATTTCCTAAGGGGCATTGCTCATGTTATGAAGAGTCAAACAATATTAGTAATGTCAATGTCAAGATTTCTGTGGTACGCATTCAATGGAGAAAAAAGGGGGGGGGGGAGACAAGGGGCTTGGCTCATCACTGCAGATAACGTTCAAATTTTTCCCGTTTTCTTTTTTTGTTTTTTTTTCTGGGTGACAATTTATAGTGTTTAAGCCACCTGCTATATCAACAGAGATGTAAATAAAAGAAACGGAAACATTCCTGTTAATCGGCTTGGCCTGGTTTGCTACAGAAAAGCGTAGTTCACTTCTATCTTAATCAGCACAAAGTCATGCAGTCTGTATGCTTAGGTAGCTGAAAATAGCTTTTTGTTAGAGTAAATCTCTATCAGCTAGCAAAGCCTTTTTAAATTAAAAAAAAAAAAAAAGATGTAGCAATAATGGAATGAACATTACTGGCCTTTGTGGCCCTCAAAACTGCAAGTCCATATATAAATATTGTGTAAAGCTATTTTCAATGCTAACAAATCCTAATAACACCAACACCAGTTACAGAGACAATTGAACAAACTTCCTCAGCATTAAGACTTGTATGCCAAGTCTGCTGTCTATTCCCAGACGAGGTGTCAACAATTCAGCAAAGAGATGGGAACATTCTTCTCCTTTCTTTCCTCTTGCAATGTGCAGAAACCTATTTTTAAAGTTTTCTATGGGAAACCTCAACAAGCGATAGGTGCTTAGGCTATAAGTAGTTCACACCCGGTTGCATGGGGTTTTAGCGGGCAACCTAAAAGAGACTGTGGTCTATGTTTCAGACCCTTAGGGTCAGCCACTAACCTGCTAAGCGCTTCTTCTCCATGGCAGCCCTCTCCTCACGGGGCAGCTCATGGAAGGCCCTCTGCGGAAGACCCGGCTGGGCCGGCGGAAACCGCTCCATCTCCAGCTGCTGCTGGATTCGCTGGAACTCTGCCCGACTTGCCGGCACTGCTCGTGCGCAGTAAGATCAGTAAGATCTTGAGTGATCTGACATTTTTCGTTAACACTGGCGTCTACCTGGGATTAGCACAGCCCGATGTGGCATGCCGTGTCAAGTCACACGGTCAAAGTTGAGTTGCAAGGGATTGCTCACTGTCATTTGGAATATTGTAAAACTAGACTGGTACAGACTTGTTACAGCACTCGGGCGTACGAAAAACGGCTTTCGTTAAATGCAGTTCAATATCTGACAGAGCATACTCAGACTGAGCATATTATTTTAAGGTTAACAGTTCTAAAACAATGTGCACGGCTCTCAAAGGTTTTTGATACAGTCGAATCTCGGTAATTCAGTCGCATAATTCAAATTTTCGGTTAGTTCAAAGCATGGGCCTGGTCCCGGCAATCATATGTACAATGCTATGGGGAAAAACACGCGGTAATTCAAAGGCTAAATGTAGGGAGCTGGTTAATTCGAAGGATTTTTTGTCTGCGCCTAAAGTCCGGAGACCCCGGGAACGAAAAAAACAAATGCCAAGCGCCAAGCACAAATACGCAACGCCGCAACCCGTGGCCGCGTCACTGACGTCGCCGCACTAGGGATGATGCAATCTGATGCAATGTGCGACGGCGCCACGGCACGCTGCAGCTCGGCGCAAGGAGGTGTTGCTCGGCGGCGAGGAAGCAAACAAACAGCCTTGCGCGCGCGGCTGTTTGCTTATTTGCTTTGGGCTCTGCTCTCCCACTCTGCGCTCTCCCCTCGAGAGGAGAGAGGGAGATAGGTGGCGAGAAGGTTGGGCTGCGTTCGGCGGAACCGCGGGACGACGGGAGCGGGAGTTTTGACAACTAAGATCCGAAAGTGCGTTGGCTCGTTCGTACGTACTTTCGCACAGCCCAACAATCGCTCCGTCGCGCTGCTTTGGTACTATCACAATGGCTCATTGGAGTAAGTACCGTGCATTGAACCTCGCTACCAAAGTTAGGGTGCTGCAAGAAGTCGAAGAGAGTGCGTCGTCAAAGTAGATGTCAGTGTTGACAAGCACGTCGAGGTCGCTAGTCCGCTTTCGGACGTCAAAATAATCAAAGTGGTTAAGCAACACCATTTCTGCCAAGGTTACAATTGGCGAGGGCTCTGCAATTACTGTGCAAGCGAGCTATCTTTCGGTCTTTCTGAAAAAATAGCAAATTGTGCAAAAAAATAGGTGTGGGTTATCTTTCGGGGGCGGGGCATCTCTCAAGATACTACGGTAGGTTTGAGAGGTTAGCCACGCGGACAAAAAGAGAAGCAAATTAAAGATATTTGCAGATTCCCGTATTGTACAGAGCATTACTAAGCTAACAAAGAGGTTCAGCAAGCAACACTAATGCACAAGTCATCTTCACCGGTGGGTAATTCTGCCTAATCATCGTGAGCAAGGAGCTTTTGATAAATTCTGCAAGAGCTAACGAGAGACAATAAGAGAGAAAAATATCAGAGGAGAAGGCAAGCTAACTGTATTCTCCCCTCCAGGTCCAAGGCATGGAACGCCGACAGGTTGCGCCAGGCTTGTTGAAGTCACAGGCTGCGCAGTCTGCCTCATCCACCATGGCCGAAGGCTGCAGCAAAGTTACGGCGTTTGTGAGATGCCACAATCAGTCAAAACTGGGGTATAACAAAATGGGCACAAAGTTTTTACTCAGCCATTACGGCATACTATTCATTGCCTGCACAAAACCTGGTGAAAGCAGTTGAAAGGTGCATTCACTAAAAGAAAAGAACTGTCGTCCTGCAACCTTGAAAATGCCTCCACGAACAAGGTCGAAATTGTCAAGGTTATGTACCGCTGGCTGTTAACACAAGCTGGATTGAGGTCTCTTTTAACTCATTCCTTCACTGCACACCCGCTTGCATGCGACCCTTTTCTATCTTCGTTCAAGAACTGAACCGGGGCGCTCGAAACATCGACCCATGTGGGACTTGGATGACACTGCTCACCTGAAGTCGGTTTGTGAGAATGATGTTGGGATACATTGCCCCAACGTCAAGATGGTAGATGATGGGTTTCTCCAGCCTTGACGGGCAGTCCCGAAGAGAAGCCAATGCAGTCCTGATTTCTTCGCACACCTTTCGATTAGACGGGATAGAAGCAAATCCATAACATTGAAAGACTACAAGGGAGCGTTCAGTAGCAGCTCCCTCAGCTCCAAACGGAATAACTCGAGTCAAAGTCCTCAAAGGGATGCTGAACCGAAATCTGGATTCCACAAAACACGCGGCAAAAGCGTGTAACGAAATGCTAGAAACACTAAAACATCACTCATACAGCGATATCTCGAACAGATGACCGTTTTTTTTTCAAGAAAAGGAGGCGCATTTGACAGAAATGTACACGTCATGTTTCTTCAAGAAGGAGAGAGAGCAGCCTCGCGTCTTCTCCGCCTCGCCGCCTTTGAGGGGGAAAAGCGAAGAGAGGAGGAAACGAGGTATCTTTACGTCACGCGCCTCGTCGGCCTGGTTCAATCTCGACCTCTTTTTCCAAAAATACTGCCGCCCATTCGAGATATCGCCTTACGAGTAGTGTTGTAGGGATTGTAGCGTCCCGCCTATATCTCCTGCATTGTTTTTTTTTAAATCCAAGTTTCGGTTCACCATCCCTTTAAAGCACCTACTGAACAGCGAAAAAAAAAAAGTGTGGCTTTTCAGCTGTTTTTACGCAGTTTCTGCTTCCTCACCTGTGGCAGACGTCTCCAAATAAAATGGAACAGACGCCACCAAGCACAATCGCTTTTATTTGACACCGGCATTAAATAAGTTTCGACAAGGCCGTTAGAAAAAAAGTAAGTGATTGCAGACATCAGCGCTGCTGTTTGAAGCGATCCAAAGCAATTGAGCCCTTCGCAGGGTGGTGCAAAGCCGTCTACTGTTATAAAAACTGACAAAAACATCATCGGCACACGCAAAATCGGTGAATTTGCGCTGCAGGTTACAGCACCTTTATACGGCCATCCGTTTGTTCTGCACTTCTTTACAAACTTTGCATAAAATGTACTAGGGGCGAAGCTCCTTAGGGTCTAGCCTTCTCCGTCCGTCCGCCCGTCCGTCCAGCCGGTGTCCATGCGCACATAAAAAGAAAAAAATGTTTGCGCAGTCGACAGGATTTGAACTTGTGCGGGGAGACCCCAATGGATTTCTAGTCCGTCGCCTTAACCACTCGGCCACGACTGCGGGACGAGTAGGAGGCTCTGAGATGTGGTAGTAACTCAAGAGCTGGGGTTTTTGTCATGGATGAAACGTTGCATGTAGCCGCTCAACGTCTATACAGGAGAGGGCGCTGCGGTCAAATGCGTATATAATCGCGTTAAACTTTGCATACATTGGCTCAACGTTTACAGACGAGAGGGCGCTGCGGTCAAATGCTAAAATGCGTATATAACCACGTTCCATACCACACATTCTCTTTCTGACATGGACCGTTGACATAAGCGTTGGAGATGCGTTCCCACAGCTTCTAGCGGATCCAAGCTGATCCGCTAGAAGAACCACTGGCTTTGCATTTCATTGATTATAAAGCAGTAATAATGAAGTCGAAACGCAACCCGGAACTCAGCACTACCTATGAGCAATAAAAAAAAAGCAGCACCACCTATGAACAATAAAATCAGTATCATCAGCACCACCAGAGCTTTGCCCCTATCAACATCATTCACCACGTGGAGATCCGGCTACGCAAACAAAACATTAATCATGATCATATTCTGCGTGAGTGCACTACTGCACACCAAAGTCACGTACGTCCATATCCTGCATTGCTCTGTTCAGCATGAACACGACTTTTATTGATAACCAGAGTTTCTGTGCAATGGCAATCAAAATACAACGTCAAATGAATGTTTACGTGGTTTATTATCATATCCAAAACAAGAAAAATTCACTCCAAGGCATTTTTCAAAAATGAGCCCGAGCTGAAAACGAAATACGAGGGAGTCATTCGTCTTACCTTGAACCCTATTCATTAACAAAAATGAGCAAACCGCAGACCCACGCCGCAGTCGACGCAGCTTCTACAGACAGTTTGTTTGTTTTTTCTCTTTCAGCACAGAAACTTCGTCAGCAATACGGAAATACGTCACTGCACCCTCTTCACTCCTCGTGCATTGTCTCAGGACTCGGTGCACGAGAGCGCGACTTCTTTACTTTGGGGTAATGTGCACCGGAAGTTGCTTTTTGTCGTCTAGTGGAAAGATTGTAAGCTCCTTGCCTCCCGGAACTGCTACTGAAAGCACCCAATGAAGCAAAGAAAAGAGAAACCTAACTTTTTCAATTTATTTGTGACAGGGAAATTGGAAAAACTTACAAGAACACACACTGTCTTAAGGAATCATGAGTGTGCTTGTCCTCATTTTACTTTCTCAGTCTTGGGTAAATTGGGAAAGCCATACACCAGCTTGACTGCGGCTTTACACTTTTTTCATTAAGGATTAACGACTTCCTTCATCACTTTTGTAGCCATCTCTTTTCTTGAGATCCTAAGGGCCCACTCACACACTTGCAACCAACCGAGACGAGACATGTGGACCTGTTGCGAGTACGACCGAGAGAGACGAGACCTGTTGAAACCTCTTAAAATTTCTTAGGACGAGAGCACACTGGCATGCTGGCGCCATCTATGGGGTGGAACTGCAATTCACAAGAGCAAAGGTTTTGCGGGATTTACGAGGTCAAATGTGCGTAATACCTATGAGAGAGGCTCCTTTATAGCGTTAAAAGTTTTTCGAGCCAAGAAAGAAAGGATGATGCGCGAGAGAAATAGAAAATAGGCCGGACCGCCAAGTTTAGACCCAATAGATGGCGCCAGTGTGTCCTCTCGTCTTAAGAGATATTAAGAGGTTCCAAGGCACTCGGTTCTAAGAGGTCGCAAGTGTGTGAATGGGCCTTAATTCTGCTTGACTGAAGGTTAGTTTCTAATGTGCTGTTTGGTACAAGAGAGCATGTGCAATGAGTGTAGATACCTTATTTTTTCATAGGAAAGGAGCACACAAACCTCGTCAAAGTTGAGCACTTCCTCAAAAGGCACTTTTTCTTCAACCTCAATGGCGTGTCTGAGAGTTTTTGGCACAGCATCAATCAGGTTCTGGAATGCTTCTGGAACCTGCATGAACGACGGCTTATAAGGATAAAGAAAAGTATTTTCACGTGTTTTATGTCGTAGGACATTTACCAATTGCAGTACGAGATGTTACATTATTATTGTGTTATGCATTTCATAGAATTTTCGCTTTCTTGCCCAGTCTACTGGACCAAACAATTTGCCAGCACTTAAAGGGTAACTGCAAAGAAAAAAAGTGTATATATAAACAGCCTAATAGACCGATCTCCTGAGGAGTTGCGCGACGCCACCGCTACCGCGGTGCATTCCGGTACCTGTAGTTCTCCCCAGTTTTCCGGCTGCGTCGGCGCGCATTGTACGCCCGGCGTTTGGAAATGTTCGGGTTAGCACGAGACTTTTAGCCAGGTGTTGACTCATGGTTTTTAATCGGTGGCTTCACATGGTTGTATGCCACGGAGCTATAATGACAGCACCAGGCAAAAAGGCCTCGGATATTATGTCTTCCCGCAAGAAAGAAGCAAAGAAAGGTTGCAGAGCCGGACAGAGCGGCAGGAAAAATAGCGTTTTACGATTTGTTTCGCGATTTGCTTCATAATTTATATCCAATTATTGCACGTCAGCTAAAATATGCAAGATTACAGGGCACGAAACATACAGCGTGCCGAAATGTTCTGTAAGCTGGAATCTCTCTGACCCTTTGCTCCGTAGCGGCCTATTCGTTGGTCTATCTCAAATAGGACCTCCGCACTGCTTTGCGGAGACCGTTTTTAATACACTTCTTACTCGATGTATTTTGTTGGTTATAACCGATATTGCGACGACGTGTTTCAAGCACAACTGTGCTTTAAGGGATCAGGACAATCACTAAAAAAGAGCAGCGATTCCCGATATGCACCACTTGATATAAAACAACTTTTTTTTTCCGGAAGCAGCCTTCAGTTTTTTTTTTCCATACCTACGCACAAAGATTACATAATGCAATTTAGAAGTGCAACCCCTAGTTACCGCCAAAAATGTAACAAACGAACCTCATCCATTTTGTGGTGGTCTATTAGGCTGGTGTTACTGATCCATTCTGCATTAGCACCAGTCGAGACCGCAGAAAAAAGCTTCCCCCGTCGGGCGACTGTTAGCGCTCGGATCTTGCGCAAACAAAATAAAACTGAATAGAAACTGTGCACGGAGAATCATCTCCACCCCAGGCTTTCAGGTATTTGGCATGGTTGCTTCTTTTTGATAGATGCCAATTATTACGGCGCGTCAGGCATGGCCTTTCTGTAGATCAGTTCTTTGAGTGCAGGCTTCTCCCGCTGTTCATCTGTACTTTGTCGCACAGGCTGTCAACCGGAATGAAACAACTTCTAGAAAACTATCGCTGACCGAGAAAGTCTATTTAGCTCCTCTTACTTGATGGCTGATTAAATGTTATGCACAAGACTGAGCACCACCAAGCTCAGTTTTTCATCACATTTGATGCTGTTCCGTGGTGCTACACCGAGCCGATTGTCCCGCGAATTTTCTTGTTCTTTGCTATTGCACTAGATGTTCACTTGTTTGCAAGGTAATTGAGACGTCCGTGAAGTCGGAATGCTCGAGTAGTGGCGCCGTTGTTTTTTTGTTTTGTTTTTTTCCGCGGCCGCAGTGGGATTACCCCGTGAACGGCAGTAAGCTTACGCGTTCACGAAGACGAAGAAGCAGACGACAAAGCGATTCTAAAGCGATAAGACGACTGAAACTGCTTTTCTGCACTTGGTGAGGAAAGTAAGGCATCACAAGCAACACAATCGTATGAAGTAAAAACATGCAAGAGAATCAAGGTGATACCGGGGAGTGCCAAATGATAATCTATGATGATGTACGTACGCCCAGCCGTACATAGCCAAGAAGCCGGGAAGGGATGACTACAAGTAGCATGGCGGCGGCACCACTTCCGGAATGCGCGCGCCTGCGCAGTTCGCTTGGTGACATCGGTCTATTGGGGCAAGCATGTCACAAAACAATTTTTCCAACAAAAATAAAATTTTTTACAGCAATATTTATCGCGCGGGACTGATTTTAGTTTGCGGCTATTTCGTCCGTTTTAAATTGCACGCCACAAAGTTGGTATTATACGTCACGGAGTGGCTGCTCTACGTCACGGAGTGACGTGTTCCAGCCACTCCGTGCACGTCGAAAGAGCGGGAGTTTCAAATGTGGATAGGTTGTGACTCCAACTAAATTACGTCCTGTGGTGTAAATATTGCTAGAAAAATTAATTTTTTTCGCGGAAAATTTGTTTTGTGACATGCTTGTCCCAATTAGGCTGTTTACAAAAACACTTTTTTTTCTTTGCAGTTACCCTTTAAGGGGGGTGGATATGGCCTCAAAATTCAAATTTTTCAGAAAAAAACATTTTTTTTTCAAAAATTATATGTTTATGTTTATTAACTTCCAAAGAATGGTTTCAGAAACTTTTATTTATAGACATGCAGGATTTATGTCACAATAAATTATTTTGGACATGTCAGCAGCCCTTCAAGTTAGCAGGGAGCAACTGTTTTGCATTTTTTATTTAGTGCTGCTTCATACTCGTTTAACATAGCCAGAACACCTCGCTCTCTTTGGAAGCGCCATTTACTCTAGATTTAGCCCGTAGAAGCTTTCCAAGTTTAAAAGTATCAATAGCCACGGGACCCTATGCATCCAAAGAAAAAAAATCTTGAAAATTTGGTATGAGCAATCTTACTAGTCGAGACCCAAAACAGAGTTTACGGTTGGTCCTGCCCGGTGACGTGATATTGTGCCATCTTCACTAACACCCTTTCACAGTATCTCTCACTTTAGATCCTTTTGCTGCTCTTCCTTAGTATGATTTGCCTCTTAGTTTTTGCCAGTTTATCTGTCAAGAAATGCCTGCTACAAAAGTAGGCTTGTCTACAAATGACACAAACTGGTAGCTATTGCCAGGGAACAACGAAATCTCAAAGAGGATGAATTTTGCTTACTTCGGACTTACAGAAAAAAAAAAAAGAAACCTAAAGTTGAAACTTCAAATGCATTTTTCTCAGTTTCACTTTTTGGCAGGAAATGTGGTATGAGGAAATGTACCATTTGACATTTTGAAAGTGTAAAGAGTTCATTCATTGGTGTCCTGGACTGAAATTTCCTGAGGAACAAGTTACGGTACTCATAATCTGAAAAAGCTAAATTCTTCATGACAAAAACTGAATATTTTAGAACACAAAAATTTGTTAAAATCTTTTGCCCTTTTTAGATGTTATCGTTTTTCTCTAGAATTGCCTTTTTTACAATTAGTGTTTACCTTAACTTGGACTATAGGCATTCTACTTCACATTAAACCAAACAATTTGTGGATTGCAATTTTTTTTAAATACATTTCTTAATAAAGTAACTTTTTTTCTGGAGCTTGCTAAGCAGAGCATGTTGTAGAATTGGCCTACAAGACTGAAACTTTAGATGTCATCAATCTTAATGGGGTTCAATTCACCTTGAAAGTTTGAATCAATTTGAAGGAATGGTTCAAAAGTTGACCCTCCCAGGCCCTACCCCCCTCAAACAAAATAGCTTTTCATTATTATTATAAATTTGAAAATGTGCAAACAAAATGCAAGAGCCAGAGCATAAAAAACAGTCAATATGCCTCCAGACATGTTAATTAATAAAAATAAACACTATAATAGCCATAAAGTATGTGAATGAGGAAAAGCCAAGAAAATGGGTCCAATACCACACATTTAAACTTACAAAACTCCAGTCAATGCCAAATCCTCAAGAACTCGAGGCCACAACAAAGAAGCTGACGTCTACTACTACTTGCCAGACTGTTGGGCCATAAGACGAAAGAGAACATGCAACCCAAAGGCCCTGTAACCAAGGTTCCATGTATTTGATAAATACCAAAAAAAAACCAAAAAGTAACATACTAGCCAGTTTGATCAAAATCGGAAAAACCAAGAATTGAAGTTGTCCTTGAACACAAAAAACCCAAGCTTTAAATCTTTATCTAAAGCTTCATTATGTTGATGCAGAACAGGGCCTCCACTGAAGTGCCTACGATGCTGTTTTCTCAGGGATCCACCCGTTTCTTCTCTTAATGGTACCGGAACGTTTTTTCCAGTTTTTGGGTCACACACATGTTCCTTAGAGGTAGGGGAACCCCATGTCCGTGTCCTGTTTTCTATAACGTAAGCCCCAAAAAATGCCATATTCTCATCCGACACCAGAAAATTTACACTGATAAACGCGAAGTCTCTGAAAAAATATAATCCCCCTATACGCACCCCCCGATCTTATTTTTGAGCAAAATTGGAGGGTGTTAGTATTTCCGGAGTTTATTTTTCATCTCAAATTCGAAGTTTTCCAGAGATTTTGCCCATCATCCGCGAAAGTTCAGAGTATTTTCGGATGTTTAGTGTCGTTAGCCTATACAGTGCAATCCACTTTATAACGATACCACATATAACGATGTACAGCTTATGACGATCAGTTTCTAGAGTTGCCGGACTAGAAATGCTCAGTTTCTAGTCCAGATACAACGATAATCGGTTATAACGATTGAATTTTTGTGTTTTCTCATTATCGTTACAAGGGGATTGCACTGTAGACCTTTCCAGTGGCTCTCTCAAATGAAAAGTGGTTTACAGCACGCATTTCTGGTTTCGAGAGTGTATGTCAGTGTTGCCCAACTGCACTGGGCTGTGGGCTTTTGTAGTCAGTGGGCTGTGTCAGCCTGCATAGTGGCGATTAGGGATGCTGATGGCGGCTAAATTAATGTGTTTTATTGTTTCTTTTGCGTTCTATGGCAAATAGTATTTCTCGAGGTTTTTAAGAAAGCATTGAGCTATTATTGGAAACAAAAACAAACAAAAGCTATTTTCGTGAGTCTGCGTATGACAGAACAAATGCAATTAGAATGTCTATTTCATTTTATGTTGATTATTCTTACTAAGCCATACACTCAGCCGTATCAATCTACAAAGGTCTTAACTGCCAAAAATATTTGACCACATAGGATAGCCAAAATGCATGGGTATTCGCCACCCACAACATGAAATTCAACGAGTCTCATCAATCGAACAGCGTATTGTACATACCCTAAGGTGCAGCTTTGTCCGAACAGGATTTATTTGAGAAAGATCTAAAGAAAAAGTGGCATATCCCATATACAGTGTTGGTGACTCACTTCACGACGATCGGCCGGAATCCGGCTTGTCTTTAGGTATGTTTTGAAGACAACTGCTTTTTTGCACAACACCAAAGCAAATGAACGAACGCATCTTTTCCGTCCCCATACCCCTGACCCTATCAGCTATTTTTAGCGAAGACCGGGAATATAGCCGGGAAGAAGTTTTAGAGATTATCTCGACAAAAATAATCCTCGAAGGACGTCGAACGGCCCACGTCACGGGCTGCTAGGCGTTCACTTTTTTCGTTAGTTTTCTGCGAAGGCCAAGCAGGCTGCGAGCCCTGGTATCCCCTGGTTCTCACAGTGGAAGATAACACAGAAAGGGTAAGCATCCTGAACAGGCAAATAAAGTAAAAACTTTCAAGAAAAGCCAACGAACTCCTGAATGCACAATGCAGGCGGGAAGTCACGCTCACTGGGTTTCCACAGCTCAGGCAGGTGTGAGAATTTTCTGGCTGATAGGGGTCGCCCGAGTCGCAAAATGGCGGCGGCCAGAGAGCTATTTTAGAGCGCAGCTCTTAGGCACCCGTTTCCAGGCTGAGCGGCGTCGCCGTCGGCATAACCATGCACATTGCATTATGAAAAATTTTCCTGATAAATATAGCAGAAAAACAATTTCCCCGCTAAATCTATAGGGGAAATTCCCGCTAAATTTAGCAAGAAAATTCCCCCCTAAGTTTAGCGAAAAAATATTCCCGCTAAACTTAACGGAAAACTTTTTCCGCTAAATTTAGCGGGGGAATATTCCCGCTAAATTTAGCAGGAAAATTTCCGCTATATTTAGCGGGAAAATTTTTCTGCTAAATCTAGCAAAAAAAACTTTCCCCGCTAAAATTAGCAGGAAAATTTTCGCTAGATTTTCTGCTAAATGTAGCAGGAAAATTTTTGCTAAATTTAGTAGGAATATTTCCCCGCTAAATAAAACGGAGAAATTTCGGCTAAATTTAGCACAAAATTTAGTGAAAATTTCCCACCAAAAGAGAGGGCAGCAGGCGAGGAGGAGGGGAGGGTATAGAGGAGAAGGAGGGCGTACCCCTTCCCCCCCCCGGTATCCTTCTCTCCTCCTCCTCAAGAGCTGCACTCTAATTCGGCATTACAGAGAATTGTAAACGTCTTCAATTTTTTTGGAAAGGTCCACAGGTAAGAAACAGCAGGCAACAAATTTATTAGAGCAGAATTTTCTTAGACAAAACAATAAAAGCTAAGCTTTCTAAGTGGAAGGCCCAAAGTTGGACAGCTAGAAAGGACAGACGCACCCGACTATTGTCGGAGGGAGGTCCTTACTTTTTTTTTTCTAGTAAGGGCTTAAAGTACATTCTTTCGGGACACTTACAAACAAAAAGAGAAGTACAAAGAAAACAGAGAAATGCTACAATTGTCTCAAGATAAAAAAAAAATTGTTTTAAGAAAACAAAGAAATGCAAAAATTGTCTCTAAATAAAAAAGAAAAAAAAGGTTTTTTTTTTTTGTTTTGAGTGAGAGTGTATTTAATTGCTCGCCCGGGGTTATGTGTTTATGGGTGCCATTAAATTGCAAACTTTTGCTGTGGGTCTATACGGCTATGGGTGGCTTTTCAACATAACTCCAGTTACAAACAGCAGTAGAGATGCTTGAATATTTTATGCAAAGAATAAAATAACACTTTTCTTTATACAGCATTTTTGTTCCGATAGAATCAGTACTAAAATATTGAGGTGGGCTAGCTGCTTTAACATATTGAAACCTCAGTTGTGAGTATAGCGCTGCCCTGTCTACTTCATGTCCATGTCTGTCCCTTGATCTTTATATTTTCGATAGGATAAGTATTTTTCAAATGCGAAAAAGGGCATAATTCGCAATCTTTAACGATACAATCAAATTAAAAACACTCTTCATGGTTCGAGTTGAACACACTCTTACTTGAGGCCCTCTAGGTTTTTTACAACCGACAGACCGCAGAATCCAAGTTTTTTCAGATAAATATGAATCTGCAATTTTTCAACTGGCGAGCATTTTCATGGATTTTGTCGGATTTATCTGAAAACACAGAATCCTATGTGTAATGCACATACCCCAAAGTGCATGTCCTATGCAATGTATCACACTGGGCTCACCAGGCGGAATCGGCAGGGGAGGTCGGCGCGGAAGACCCCGGACTCGAGCGCCTCCACATGTCCCCCCACGTAAGTCTCCTGGTCGAGCACATGGCCGTCCTCGGTGAGCTTGTTCAGCGTCGCCTCCTGCTTGTTGGGGAACACGATGTTCGCGTGGAAGGCTCGCACCATGAGCAGGGCCTCGCACAGGGTACCCGAGCCTTTCCGCAGCACCTGGGCAGACGGAAAAGGGCAGCCGGCGTCGAGAACCTTTGGCAAATGCAGACTATCTCCACTGAAGATCACATGGTGTCGTTCAAACGAGGCCGGCAAAGTCAACGGGACCGAGGAGTCAAAACACGAAAATTTGAAAGTTTGTCAGTCGTGCCTACAGGCTGAAACATGAATCTGAGGAGAGCTCAGAATGTGCTTTACTGGAGTTACCAATGGTGAAAAGTTGCGGTAAAGTGTACAACCTGTGTCCCCCCAGCTATAATCGGTGACAGGTCACAAACAAAGTGGAAGCTCCTCCCACCCGTTTCCACCTTAGCAGAGCGAACGCTGGAGAGGAGGTCGCCTTCTCTCCAGCGTACGCTCTGCTAAAGTGGAAAGTGGTGGGAGAAGCTTCCATGTTCTTGACCTGTCACCGACTCTAGTGGCATCGAAACAGGAGGGGAATGCCTCCTTAGACATTTGTCATTTTTAGTAAACGCCTCCCCATCCCCCGAACACTTCTGATGTCAATGACCCCAACGTTACCTTATGGGTTAGCAAGAATATGCCACATAATGTTCCATAGAATTTGTCGTAATTCAGTGTTTCTAAGGCCAGTGGCTGCGAACCAGGAGATTCTGGTAACATTCTTACCTCATCAGGCTCCATGGGAATGATGGTACACAGGGCAAAAATGAAGGGGTGCACATATTTCATGTACAAGTAGTATGTGGCTACCGCATCAGACACGGAATAATTAGCCAGTACCTGGAACAGACCCCCCCCACCAAGAAAAACTTCAGTACCAGGTCAGCGAAAAGGTACCTGGTCAAAAAGAAATTCACAAGCATGGTCGTCTTATTAACGAAACTGATTTTAACGCACTTACTTGGGGCTGCTCAGCAGCCATCTTGCACATGTCTTCAGGATCAAGCTCCACAGGATCATACCTTAGCTTGGCCTAAAAATAAAACAAAAGAGCCAAGTCAACTGAATTTACTTAAAATGTCTTAATACCAAATATAAATTGATACATATAAAGAACCAATCTCAAAATATGCAATGTCGTAAGTAACGGCATATTGTGGATTTTTTTAGTGAGAATACTGAGACAAAATAGTTTTCATCAAAAGTTAGACTTAGAAAAAAAAAAAAAAATTCTGCAGCCCAGTTAATGCGCATTTTATCATTTCCCAACTCGGGACGAAATCAAAGTGGTAGTCGAACATCAAGAAGAAAGTGTTACACTTAGCACGGACAGGCAATTGCCAAGCGTCCCTATTCCTCGATAAAAGTTCAAAGGCTGCTATCAAAATAATGAGCTCTTGTTCAAGTCAACTGTGTTGTGCAGTATGCATCAATCTGTCATTAATTCAACTAATATGCAGGTCCCATCCGATGCGCCTCTATGGGAGGAAACCCCTGGTAATTCAAACTTTGCTTTATTCAAACAAATTTTCGGTCCCCCTCGAGTTTGAATTAATGAGATTCGACTGTACTAGACATTTAGACACGTGTGTGCAAAAAGAACCTTAAACAACCTGAGGGTATGAAGGAAAATAAGTTCCACCACAATAATCCGATCCACGGAAAAGTTTGAAAGAGCATGGGTCATCCAGATTAAGTTAGCTAACGTCTGCAGGCACGAAGCAGATGGTGAAGAGCAGTGCCTCCCACCTTCGCAACGGCCTTGAGGTTCTGGCTGCCCACGGGCAGGTAGCTGTCCCTATGCACCCAGTGGAAGCAGTCCATGTGGACGCTGGGGCGACTCAGGTAGTAGCCCTCTCGGCTGCGGCTGTAGCCCACTTCTTTGGACATGTCCAGACTGTGCACTGCCGCACGGGCCTCCACAAACATCCTAAGGTACATAGAAACACAAGGCAACACTCCTTTCAGCGTGGAGTGCAAGTTTGTCTGTTTCTTGCACAGGGGTTGCGATGATGTCAGAAAGCCGAGCTCTTGTTGGTTGATTGAAAGAAATAGTGGGTAGACCTCAAGGGATCTAGCATTGAGTTCTCCCCACTATCCTTTTAGTCAAAGCCAATCTAGAGCTTGCGTCGATATGACGTAACAGCAACTCCTGCGCAAGAAGCAGACGACTTGCTCTCCGCATAGGCATGGAATTGAAACCTCATTCCTTTTAAAGAAACCATATGAAACAATTTTTATTTTATGTTATTATTTATATTATAGGAAACAAAATTTTTGTTTCCTTTTGTTCACTCGTGCACAGAATTATAACACTCAACATTCGTAAAGCACTAAAACAGATATTAGCATTTCTTTACACATGCAAAATTTTGCAAAAAAAAAAAAAAAAGATTTATCTACGAGGTTAGCATTTTGGTTCCTTGCCCAAGTGGGCAAGCACCACCTGCGATTTTCTCTTTAGAAACTATACATGTTTGCAAGTCTGGCTTCAGGGCGCTGCCATTTTGCTCGCTGTGGTGCACTTGGACGCATTCTAGTCCGATTACGAAGCCTTGCTAAGGCGTCATAGTCGGATTATGGCCGCGCCCAAGCGCACCCCACTAGGCAAGATGGCGGCGCCCTGAGACTGGACTTGCAAACGTGTATAGGGTCGTGCAGACAAAACCTTGGAATGCATATATACAGGGTTAAATGTTTTATGAAAACAGAATTTTTTTTTTAAAAGCTAGCTGAATGCCGTCTTCGCTAGGTGTTTCTCGAGTTCGGCGGACATTAGCTGAGGGATTAATCGTCATAGTAAGTTGGCTAATTAACTTAAATCTGTAATTAGCTTTTTAATTATTAGTTTTAAGGGTCATGTTGCAATTACAGAAATGAAGGTACAATAGAACCTCATTGATACGTTTCTCAGGGGACCGCGGGAAAAGAACACAATCCTGGGAAAGGTAGAAAACGAGAAGACCTTTGTGGGGCTGGGAGCTCAGAGGGAAGAGTGGTTTTGAACGTAAAAGCGGTAAAACGTAAAAACCGGGAACACATCAACGAGGTTCTACTGTAATTATTGCTAGAGGCCAGAGTTAAGGCCTGTTCACACACTTACGACTCCTTAGAACCGAGCAGGCACGTAGCCGGGGGGGTGGAGGCCCATGGGGCCCGGGACCCCCCTCCCCCGAAATCTTCCATTTTGCTGGAACCTCCTCTACCCCTCCCCCTCACACAGCATTGTGTCATGGGCGGCGGCCCCCCCCCTCCGAAACAAAATCCTGGCTACGCACCTGGAATCGAGTGCCTTGAAACCTCCTAAATAGGCTCACAAGGAAACAGCGCACCCTCAAAACAAGCACTCTAAGCTTTCATGCACACAAAAGAAAGAGCCACTTACACAGCGCTGACTGACAACTCTACGTTATATTTACAATTTTCCTTTTTGTCTTTCTTTGGGACTAGGGTTTCTAAGGCAAAAAAATGCCCTTTCCTTCTTCCTTCTTTTTCTTGTGTTTTTGTAATAAGAAGCTAAACCATAAAAGTCAGCGCAGTGTAAGTCAGCGCTGTGTAAGTGGCTCTTTCTTTTGTGTGCATGAAAGCTTAGGAAAGCTTAGAGTGCTTGTTTTGAGGGTGCGCTGTTTCCTAGTGAGTCATGAACAACCAACTCGCCCGAACCTCCGTTTTAACAACTCCTAAATAGGGACATGGCCTGGGAGGGTTTAACTTCTGAATCATTCCCTCAAATTAATACAAACTCTCAGGTTGAATTGAACCCCATTAGGATTAATGACATCTAAAGTTTCAGTCTCGTAGGCCAATTCTATAACAGAAACTGTATTTAAAAAAAATGTAATTCACAAAATGTTGGGTTTAATCTGATGCATAATACCCAGAGTGCAGGTTAAGGTAAAAATTAATTGTTTAAAATTCAATTCTAGAGAAAAACAATAGCACCCAAAAAGAACAAAAGATTTTAACAATTTTTTGTGTTTTAAAATATTTAGTTTTTGTCAAGAAGAGTTCAGCTTTTTCAGATTATGAGTACCTTAACTTGTTCCTCAGGAAATTCCAGTCCAGGACACCACTGAATAATATATTTACACTTCCAAAATGTCAATTGATACATTTCCTCATACCACATTTCCTGTTAAAAAGTGAAACTGAGAAAAATGCATTTGAAGTTTCAATTTTAGGTTTCTTTCTTTTCTATGAGTCCGAGGTAGGCAAAATTAACCTGGCGCATTGTTAGCACCTCCCTCTTTGAGACTTCGTTGTTCCCCTGGCAATAGCTATCAGTTTGTGTCGTTTGTAGGAAAGCTAACTTTTGTAGCAGGCATTTCTTGACAGATAAACTGGCAAAAACTAAGAGGCAAATCATACTAAGGAAGAGCAGCAAAGCAGGAAAAGGATCTGAAGTGAGAGATACTGTGAAAGGGTGTTAATGAAGATGGCACAATATCACGTCACAGGGGCAGGACCTATGGTAAACCATGTTTCGAGTCTCAACCAATAAGATTGCTCCTACCAAATTTTCAGGATTTTTTTGTTTGGATGTACCTATAGGGCATAGTTGTAACCCGAGGCTGGGGATACGGACAAGGGACAAAACACAGAACGACAGGGACGAAGTCTCAAACGCAGCTACAAACTTTATTTCACAGGACAAACATATATGTCACTCGCCACCCTCCGTCCCCCTCTTTTTCCCTTCCTTTTCCCAAAACTCCACCCCTTCCCTCTTCCTTTTCCCAAGCCCCCGTACATTCCAGTCAAAAACAATTTTGATGGCGCCAACTCCAAGTTGCCGACAGATCCCGTGTCAACAGCCCACACCGCGACATCCCGAGGTCACTCCGGCTCTCCCAAACACAGTCGCAAAGACGCCGACAGAACCCTTGTCCCCCCACACACACCGTGAAACCCCGAGGTCATCCCGGTTCTCTCAAACCAGTCAGCCGCAAAAAGTTTTCGGCTTCCGAACTTAAGTGGACGGACGTGTGACTGATGCATTCGGGAGACGTCTTTATTTTAATGGTCTCTCTCACTAATCTTTTCATGTCGTTGTTTTCTTTTTCTACAATCTTTACGTCTCCCCAGGCTGGAGTGCAGTCGGCACATTCATTCAAATGTTTAGCTATTTTCGAATTCGGATCATTGTTTTTTACATTTCTTTTATGTACCGATAATCTGTCATTCACACATCTTTTGGTTTGACCTACATAAATGACACCACATTTCATTGGTATCTCGTACACTACACCGATCGCGCATACTGTAGACTTCTCTCTGTGCGCCCTTTTACACTGGTTGGGTGTTCTCAAAAATGGGGTCAACCGGTCCAATCTGAAATCCCTCTCAAAAACTACGTCGGCGCCGAACAGCCCACACCGCGACATCCCGAGGTCACTCCGGCTCTCCCAAACACAGTCGCAAAGACGCCGACAGAACCCTTGTCTTTGCGTCTTTGCGTCTTTGCGACTGTGTTTGGGAGAGCCGGAGTGACCTCGGGATGTCGCGGTGTGGGCTGTTGACACGGGATCTGTCGGCAACTTGGAGTTGGCGCCATCAAAATTGTTTTTGACTGGAATGTACGGGGGCTTGGGAAAAGGAAGAGGGAAGGGGTGGAGTTTTGGGAAAAGGAAGGGAAAAAGAGGGGGACGGAGGTAGGCGAGTGACATATATGTTTGTCCTGTGAAATAAAGTTTGTAGCTGCGTTTGAGATTTCGTCCCTGTCGTTCTGTGTTTTGTCCCTTGTCCGTATCCCCAGCCTCGGGTTACAACTATGCTCAATTTACACCAGCTAGCCTGCACCCTCACCATTGCTTCATTACTTGTTCCTGAGGCAGGCATCGTCCCATTTTCTTCGACCCAGTTATGGCACTCGTCACCAGTGGCAGTGTATGTGCAAACGTTGCTGACTTTGTGCAAGTTGGGCCATCGTTTGGCTGAATTAGAAGCAGATGTGTGTTTCTTCGGGATCTGCCTAAGAAAGAAGCATGTAGACCCGACTATGTTTGGACACCTTTCGTCGACCGGCATCCCGTGGAGATACAAGAAAAGGCTGCTCAAGGCTTACAGGAACTGCACAAGTGACTTAATTGGCAACATCCGAGTTGTGTGTGACCAGTTGTGGGGCAACGTCCTGGGACAGGACTTCAGAAAGGCGAAGGACTACAAAGATTGGACTGGACTCAGGCGGATTGACTTCGAGAGACTCTGGTACGTGAAAAGAAGGCTTGTACTTGAAGGCATAGGTGCACGCAAATCGAACACGGGATTCGCCCCCAAGAAGAGCAACATTGGCCAGGGCAGCGCAGCGGAACATGGGATTGTCAATCCATGTGAGGCTGTGTTATTGGAACGTGCGAAAACGCTGTTGATGAAGGGTCCTAAGTTTTGTGTCAATGTCAAGCCATCGCGCCTTGATGTTTTTTCGAATATCCAGACGGTCTCCAGGGCGATTGATGTTGATGAAAGACCTGCTTTTGTTGATCAGGCACTTGACCGGATGGAAAACCTAATGAAAGACGATTATCCAATTGAAAAGAGAAACTTTCGGGAGGTCCGGGTGGTTGAGAGAGAGTTGAAAGAAAAATCTTTACAGTTGTTGCAAACGGATAAGTCGGGAAGTTTTGCTGTGCTTCCGTTTCAAATGTTTAGAGAGAAGGCGGAGTGCACCATGAGAGGCCTATTTAATGAATCTGACAAAAACTTGACACGACTGAGGGGAGGTATTTGCAAAGAACTTAAGGAGTATGAATTCGACCAATTAGTCACTAGAATCAGAGGCGCACAGCGTTCAGAATTGGGCATCAAATTTTTTCTGAAGGATCACAAGCCGGAAATGCCATTACGTGCTGTAATCAATGAAAATGGAACGTGGCAGAAAGTTGTATCGGGGTTCATCCAGAAGGGGTTTTCTTTTGTGCCGTTGGCGAACGCGTTATCGCTAAGGAACACTGCGGAACTAATCGAAATTTTGGGGGAACATCACCATGAGCGTCGGTTTGTTTTTTCAATGGACATAAAAAACTTATACTATTCCTTGGAGAAAAATCTCCTGATGGAACGGGTCAAAGACCACCTGGAGCTAAATCTTGTAAGATTTCAGTCTGGAGCAGGAATTTCGGTTGACAGTTTTTTACGTATTTTGGACTATTACTTGCAATCAACAGTGGTTGAGTACAGTGGACGAAAATATATTCAAAAAGAGGGTGTATGTATCGGGTCAGCGGTGGCGCCGATTCTGTCGGAGATTTATTTAAACAGTCTAGATTCCAGTGTGTTGAGTTTTCTAGGAGGAACGCCAGAGAACGTAGGTTTTGTCCGACGTTACGTCGATGATATTTTAGTGTGTACGGCAGAAGAAAAGCTGGGAAGAGATTTGGAAAGAATAGTCAGGAAGTCCGCACCAGAATTGGAATTTACGCTAGAAAGAGAGAAAGCTGGGAGCTTGCAGTTTCTGGATTTGCAGCTTCACGTGAAAAATGGTATATGCTGGGAGTACGGAAAACTCATGCCGAAACCTATCCTGCCGCGCTCGAGTTGCCACTCCAGGACAGTTAAATGCGGCATTATTAGATCATTATTAGGCAATGCCTTAAACCGATCTTGCACCCACTACGTTAGTAAGGCAGTGGAGAAGACGATGTGTCGACTGAGGAATGCTGGGTTTTCGGGTGATAGCATAATTGGACAGATAAAAAAGATAGTTTCGGGAAATAAAGGAAGTCTAGAGCCCCGGCGGGGTCGTTGGGCGGTTATCCCGTACCACCATGACATCTCACACAACCTAAAGGCATGCGCAAAGAAGTTTGGCGCCGACGTAGTTTTTGAGAGGGATTTCAGATTGGACCGGTTGACCCCATTTTTGAGAACACCCAACCAGTGTAAAAGGGCGCACAGAGAGAAGTCTACAGTATGCGCGATCGGTGTAGTGTACGAGATACCAATGAAATGTGGTGTCATTTATGTAGGTCAAACCAAAAGATGTGTGAATGACAGATTATCGGAACATAAAAGAAATGTAAAAAACAATGATCCGAATTCGGAAATAGCTAAACATTTGAATGAATGTGCCGACTGCACTCCAGCCTGGGGAGACGTAAAGATTGTAGAAAAAGAAAACAATGACATGAAAAGATTAGTGAGAGAGACCATTAGAATAAAGACGTCTCCCGAATGCATCAGTCACACGTCCGTCCACTTAAGTTCGGAAGCCGAAAACTTTTTGCGGCTGACTGGTTTGAGAGAACCGGGATGACCTCGGGGTTTCACGGTGTGTGTGGGGGGACAAGGGTTCTGTCGGCGTCTTTGCGACTGTGTTTGGGAGAGCCGGAGTGACCTCGGGATGTCGCGGTGTGGGCTGTTGACACGGGGTCTGTCGGCAACTTGGAGTTGGCGCCATCAAAATTGTTTTTGACTGGAATGTACGGGGGCTTGGGGAAAGGGAGAGGGAAGGGGTGGAGTTTTGGGAAAAGGAAGGGAAAAAGAGGGGGACGGAGGGTGGCGAGTGACATATATGTTTGTCCTGTGAAATAAAGTTTGTAGCTGCGTTTGAGACTTCGTCCCTGTCGTTCTGTGTTTTGTCCCTTGTCCGTATCCCCAGTCTCGGGTTACAACTATGCTCAATTTACACCAGCTAGCCTGCACCCTCACCATTGCTTCAGTACCTATAGGGTTTGCCTGGCAATCGATACTTTTAAACTTAGAAAGCTTCTACGTGCTAAATCTAGAGTAAATGGCACTTCCAATGAGGGTGAGATGTTCTGGCTATGTTAAACAAGTATAAAACAACATAACATAAAAAAAAAAAAATTGCTGCCTGCTGGCTTGGGAGGCTGCTGACATGTCGAAAATAATTTATTGTGACATAAATCCTGCATGCTTATAAATGAAAGTTTCTGAAATCATTCTTTGGGAGTTAGTAGACATAACATATCATTTTTGAAATAAACGTTTTTTCTGAAAAATTTTAATTTTTCACACTGGCACACTGGTGCCATCTATGCGGTGACCCTCAACCTGCATTTCACAAGAGCAAAGGTTTTGCAGGATTTTCGAGGTCAAATGTGCAATGAGAAAGGCTCGTTCATAACATTGACAAAAATTTTTCGAGTCATGAAAGAAAGGATGGTGTGCAGGAGAAATAGAAAAGGTCCGGGAACGACAAGTTGCGGCTGCTACCCAATAGATGGCACCGGTGCGTCCTCTTGTCGTAAGAGATTTTAAGAGGTTCCAAGGCACTCGACTCTGTCTTAAAGAGGTAGGGAAATGAAATTCCAGCGCTCATTTTCTAGCTTGAATGTGTTGCATGTTGCACCCTAACCTCAAAAACACCAGTCTTCCATTGAAAGGCACAAGAAAACTAATTTTAAAGCTAAATAAACAATCTTTCAATGTACACCTGGTGGATGCATGTGGAGCCTATTTGGGAGGTTATCTAGCAACGTTGGGGAACTTGCTACGTAGTCATGACGTAGCAGATTCCTTCGGAGTAGTACCGCCCTTTGGAATTTCAACATTTTCCTTTTTAGCTTTCCTCCTAGCTGAAGTCACAAATCGTGCATTGTACCAAACGGTCCAAGAAGACGGAAAGGAAGGACTTCCCTTTTTCTCTAACCCTCGTTCGTGCAACCGGACACAGCCGTTCTCCCCCTAGAAGATTAGCCCGTCGCTCAAAACTCGAACAAAAGTTGCTTTCCTAACCCCATTCAGCCCGTGTTGTGGAAGCTACGTGCTCCTTGGGCCAGCCCCACACTCGTCACCCCACGGGTACTTCGAACGGCTCGGTTGTAACGCACTGACACTATTGACACCACCACAACGCTGACAATGCTACCAAGGGCAAAGCTCGTAACAACGCCTGCCTTGCCACTCCACGAACGCGGGAAATATTTTCTTTCTGTTTTTGTTTGCACCAGATATCCCATGACGCATCGCACTCTCCCATCGCTTCTCTTCAAGCGCTTGCTCGAGTGCACTGTTTGGAACGAAAAATATAGCCAGTCGTTCAAAATACAAACGTGCGATTATCATTTACGGTTATTATCCGTCATGCTTGACTCATTTCCAAATGAAATCTGAATATTTCAATTTTTGTTTCCGTACCCCTTTAAAAAATCACAAGTGTCTGATTGGGCCTTTACTCTTTTGAGCGCCATCGTGGGCAGGGCTTACAATGCGCATTTTGCGCACAATTTATAAATCGGGCTAAATTTTTTTTAATTTGATTAAATATTATCTTAGCAACTAATAAGATTTTGCAAATTCTTTTAATTGGTCTGTCCTCTAATAATAATTACTGTACTGTCTTTTCTGCAATTGTGACATGACGGTTATTCTCCCAGCTGATGTCCACCAAGCTCAAGAAACACCTAGCAAACATGACTTCAGCTAGCAGTTTGTACTTTTTCTTTAAATTCTGTTTTCATTAAGAAATATCTCCCTGTATAAAAAAACAAAATCCAGATTACAACTTGCCAGTCAAAGTTGTCTCCGTTGTAGGTAGCAATGACCAATGGTTTCACTTCGATGATATGGTCAAAGAACTTTTGGATCAGGGACAGCTGGAAACAAAAGAAATAAGGAAGTGCCTTTCATAAAAACAATGCTATGCAATTAGAAAACAAGAGAATTCCAAAGGAGAAGACTCGGCTCCTTTGAAAATTACAAAGACTGATGATCTGCCATAAAGCTACAAGACTTTTGCATAAAATAATCAAACTGTCGTCAGGAGTTACACCTAAATGGCAGCAATAGAAGGCCAACATGAAATAAGCGGTGCTTCATAGCATAAAACGGTAACGAAGCCTTTTCACTCGTCTTATCATGCCAGTGTCTCCACCAGCCCATACGAAGTCATGAAAACTCTATTATTATGAGGCGGGAAGCATTAGGCAAATTAAAGAGGCAGCAGACCTCATTTGGCTCGTTGAAGACGATGAAAGGCCCCTCGAACTCGGGTTTCGGCGTGTACTCGAAATCCTCCACATCAGCCGACACAATCTCCCGGTTCGTGATAAGGTAGCCTTGGCCATCCACCATGTACGATATCATCATAATCTGGTCTGTTGCAGCATCCGGGAACTTTAGAGGCAGCTTGGTCGTCTCTATGTCGTATGCCAGGACAGTGACATCCTGCAAAAAGCAGCGTCATTTGTTACAGCAAGTGACAGAGCTAAAAGTCTAGCCCTCCCCTCCACTTCACAATGCTATGCTTGAACAGGGCAGCACAACATGCCAAAAGTCCTGCTTTAATGTTATATACAAAATAACAATTCATGTAATGAACTACAAAGAATGATGCGGAAACTGCTAGATAGAGCAACCTCCCATAAATAATCACATAACCAGGAAAGCACTTCCCTCTAGCCACTTGTTCAATTTAAATTGCAACATCAGAGGGCGTTAAGAAAATCGCATTACAAAACAAGTGTTTCTAAAGGGCGATTTCATGAAACGCTTTTCCACTTCCAATAAGCCACATTCCACCATCTTGACAAACAGCGTTTGCCACTCTTCCCATTAGTCTACCTGCAGACAACTAGTTATTGGCATCATTTTTTGTGTTGGTGAAATGCACAAGCATGGTGAGTGGCTCTGTCAACTGCAGAACTTCGTAAGTAAGCCAAGAAGATATTTAAGGCCGCATAAACCAACGCTTACTCCCTTGACGAAAATAATACCTGGAGAAGGGGAACAAGGGGGACAAAGGACAAACATAAATCTCCAAACACAACTAGGTGCTTACTCCCTTCTTTTTCTTTCCTTTTGAAGTCACCTCAGCGGCATCTAGTGCAGACGTTTTGGCCGCTGACAGGGTGATTTCTCAATCGCTGACATGTCTTATGTCCGAATAAAGACTAGTGTGTATAAAACTTGAGTACCGGCCAATGCTCTTTTATGTTCCCGATTACTCTGGCTGGCGCAGTCCATCACAACGCAAAATAACTCGTATGAGCAGGAAAATGCTGCCCCACGTAGAGGGAAACATAGGGCAAAAGTTCATCAACATGGCAGCCGACGAAACTTCAAGCCAGAAGTATGTCCCACTAAACTGTCCCACATCATGTACACTAACGCTTCGAATCAACAGCCCGCAAAAATCAGTTTTTTTATTTATTGCACTGCAATATATTCCAGAGGTACAGCTATGTGGCGGAAGCTTGGAGTGAAAAATGAATGGATGAACTTACCTTGTTCAAAAAACAAAAAAGAAGAATCTGTTTCGGGCAATCTATGGCAGTATTTGCAGACGATATCCTCACTGTGCTCGCCTTGTATTTTCTGCTGACAGATTACGCAGTGTGAGACATGAATATGCAGCACCTTGACCGATCATCTCTGTACCAAACTGGGAAGCCATGAGACTTGTATCCCAGTTTTTCTATTCAATTTCTTTTTTTTTTTTTTATGAATAAAATAACAACATTTTTAGAACTGTACATTAGAGAGACGTGCGCCGGCATAGTGAAACGTTTCGGGAGATTGTTTGCTAAGCTCAGCACTGGCGCGCCCTTAATGCTTCCGACATATGTCGGCGGCAAACAGAACTGAACCATCTGGGAATGCTGGTGCAGATTGCCCGAAACAGGTTTTTCATTTTTGATCAAGCCATTTTTTTAATATTTTTATTCCAAACTTCAACTTCCTAGCCTCTGTGGTAAATCACAGCACAATAAGCCAAGACACCATTTTTTATGAACTGTCTAAAGTGGGTTCGAAGCGTTAGTGTACATGCTGTATATGTATATGCCTGCCAACCCAAAAATACTATCTGTGCTCTGTGCTTTTATTGCAAATGCAAAGCGTTGAAAGTGATTACAACACGCCACGGCATGCATGTTTGAAACCAATCATAATGACTGTATCAGTATGTTGATACTAAGGTGGCCTGCTGTCGTAAAAGTGAAGCAGCCAGCCTTAAATATGTACCGAGAGGAAAGAAACTTACTGGCACTATCAGAATGTCCTCTCGCTTTTTGATATCAGGAGCCTCCACCCCACGACCTCTGACGGCGTACCAGAGCCCCACAAAGATCTTCAGGTCGATGGACACTCTGATGTGGTATGGAACGTCATGCTCCCTGGTTTCGTTTGCAACCCAAGGGAAGTTTTGCAAAGATTAGCAAATGCATCAAAGAAATACAGAGCTTTCAGGTATTGCCAGCTTGAAATCTGATCATGCTGCTGCTGACTTCAAGCTGCGAATGCAAAGGAAGTTCATACCTGATGTCTACAATGTTCTCAGTCTGTTCCATCATCCTCTTCGATGCTGCTGTGGGTTCAGCCCCGTTCCTCGACTGTGGCCTAACAGGGTAAAAGCGAACATATCTCAAAACCTTGAATGCACTTGCACACTTAGATCAGAGCGATATGACTGCATTTGAAGAGACCTCATCCGTATTAAAATAAGGTGGTTCAGAAGTGTTTTATGAACAACAATTGCAGTGCAGTAGCAGCGGTGAATGACAGTGGTGTTGGCTGTGGAATGGGGCAGGTTTTGAGCTTTATTCATGATTCTATCTGGAAATGACAGATGATAAAGGGGACAAGGGACAAACACACACATCTCAATTTCTTTATTCTTTGATAATTGACCTAAGCAGGTTACTGTGGTTTTTTTACTGAATTCAAACAGTTTATAATTATAATTAGAAGTTGTAACTTTAGATATTCCACAAAAAAAGTTGGATGATCTAAACAGAATGGCTGAAATCCAATGCACCAATTGATATTGTTAGTGTTACATATGTCCACTTTTTTTTTTTAATGTGTATTCATGTATATGTTTAAGCTGCCCCCAACAATAACGTAATGAAACAAATAGCTGAACTGAAGACCAGTACCAATTTAGCCTACTTTTAAACTCGTATAATTTTCTAAAATATTTTTATACATAGTTCGTAAAAATAGACGCAGAAAAGCACGAACCAAGGAAACTGAGAGAAAGATGTCCCAGCAACTTTATATGGTCAGGCTCTGAAATAATCAGGCTATTGGCTCACTGCAATTCAGAAGTTGGCCAGTGAAATAAGTGTATACTACACCCCATAAATGAACTGTAACACATGCAGGATTAATGCCCATGTATACTTAAAGGGCAACTCTGCTCAATTCCGAAAAATATAGACTTACATGTGATTCCCTTTTACAAAGCACTACTAAACAGCTCTACGTCTTCGAATTTGCGAAATGTGGAATATTATTTGTGTAATCCTAATTTAAACATCAGCTGATACCGAAACCGAAACTTAGATTGCATCAGGCAACATTGGTCTCATGTCGTCAGAGTCATGGCCACGTCACGTCGAACCACGTGGTCATGAGACGTTCGGGGGGGGGGGGGGGGCGAGGGACAGGACACGCGACGCGGGCAGGTCGCTTCGCATGGCGTGGACGGTGATGGCCCGGGGAAGAGGGGGAAGGGGAGAAGATGAAAGAGGAGAGGGGGAGCGAAGAAACAGACCGATAAGCGCGCAGGGCAGTGCAAACTAGCGCATCCGCGTTACGGTGATCACGTGGATGCTGTTCAGCCAACACCGGGAGGAGAAACTCATGACGTCATCGTTCAATTTCGCTCTGAGAAGTAAAAAACAAACAAAACGTGAGAATGACGTAGTCATGCCTCTGATGTAATGGCTCAACGTTGGCAGCTCCAACTACGTCGCATTGACTGCGCTGATGTTTGCGCCTCACGTCGCACGCTAGAGTTGGCAGATTTCGGCGACTTGGCTCACTTGAACGTTTGCTGGCCAGTTTATTAAATATATAGACGGAATTAGACCGTAATATTTGACATGGGGTCTTCCTATATGATACTGAAGAGGGCTACATAGTTTTGTAAGTATCAAAAATGAAGCGGAGTTGCCCTTTAATACCGAGTGGAAAAATCGTGAGTTCAGCAGCAGTCAACATTTGAACAGCATTGCAGACCTCGTCAGCATGAGCCATGAGCCTCTGCGTAATACTAAAATTTCTGGCCGCATAAAAAGCTGCCGCTATACTATATTTCGCTATAACTTGGCAAGGGGCAAATACTACAGCTCGCGTATGTCATTTAAGAGTGCCAGAACTAAGTGCATGACAGCTCTCTATAGGTGGCATTCACTGGCAGCCACAGCTGAGCTCGCTGTTGCCGAGCATGTGTTCATGGCAAGCTTCCACAACGCTTCTAACACGTATAATGCACACCATCAAGATTGTCTTTTAGGGGGACTATTAATAAGAACTCATCCCGAGTATGCACTATGAGCAGTCCCATCAAATGTGGCATCCGGTGAATACCACCTATAGGAGGAACGTACGCCAACACTGTATGTTGTCACGTGCCTCACTCCAACGGGCCATGATTGGCTCGGTGGAGCTGTAGCTTTACTTGTTTGCAAAGTCATCCTGAAACAAAGAAAATTATCATGCTACATTTGGAAGAAATAGATAGTGGGACAGGTGGAACAGTGCAATAAATGATGTATTATCCTTTCTTTTACTATGGATTCCTTTGGATGAAGCTTGATCTCCACTACTGCCCTCTCATCTCAGACTTACAACTGGTGCAGTTCTGAGACTACCGTAGAATACCACGCATTCCACATTAAGTGCCCATTCCACATTAAGTGCCCATTCCCAAATTTGTAAGATCTAAGGAAATATGCACAGTACATTGAATTGATATGTAAAATTGATGACTGGACAAGCGCCCATCCCCGATTTTTTTGCGATTATCTTTAAATGGACCTTTTGGCAAATATGTGCTGCCACCTAGACATGCGACTGGGTTCGAGACTAAGTGGCTAGAAAACAATGTGCGCGCAAGGCCTCTCCCACCCGTTCGACACCCAAAGCGTCAGCCACATCCTGTTTACCCACTGAGGCACTGTGACCTAGATACGTCTCCCCCAAACTCGCCCTTGTCCCCATTGTGCGTAATCTTCTGCCCAGAAGTCGACACAATGAAACAATCTTCCCTCTCTGCTCGGCCAGAAGGAAGAGAAAGGATACTAGAACCATTTATCCTCGAACCAATGTTTCTACAAAAAAGGTCCGTTTTGAGTGGGCGCTTGCTTGGTATTTTACGGTAAATCTAGGCCCAACGACTCACCCGAGTGCACGTGTACACGAGGTAGTCTGTCGCTCCAGGTTTTTCCGGATGGCTGGAAGCAGTTCCTTTCGAACTTTTATCAGGTCGTTCACAGAAAGGAATAGCAGCTTCAGGTAGGTCCTCTTCAAACCCACTAGGTGGTTAGGCTGTAATTGCCCAAAACAATTTGCAAATCTGGGAGGTACAAAACCTAGGAAATAGTGACACATATATAAACACCATTACTTAACACGGAGTCACAGTATTAACTTACAGACGAGCAACTGCGATGAGGTAAGAACAGAAAGCAAAGCTTGTCTTCAGACAAGCGAATTTGGACCTTGACTCATAAGTAGGGTGTGTATTTTCCAGTTTTAACCGAAAAACACCGATAAACATCCGTCGGTTACGAAAATATAAAATCGGCTAAAACCGAAAAACACCGGTGGTTGGATATTTTTGCCCTGTTTAAAACCGAAAAACACCGGTCGTTGCTAGTTTCCGACCTAGCGCAACTCTTTCCCCATAGAGGTTCGTCAAACGTGTTATCTCGTGGATCCTGCATTCTTCCCGTGTTTATACATGGCTTGCAGGTGGCGTCAGTCCGCCCTCCTTTCTGGGGTTCAAAAGCGTCTAGTGAACGCAGTGGAAGCTAAGCTCTCATACACCTTTCCCTTATTGTGTCTCCCATGGCCCCCTTTTGTGAAAAAAATTAACACAGTGGAGGGTAGGCTCTCACGTGCCTTTTCCTTATTGTGTCTGGCCAAGTGATGTCGGTGCAAGCCATATATTCAGAGGTTGCTGTGGTTCCTGGAAGGCACTGCCAACGTCCGTGTCGCACAGGAGCGTGCGTTTTCATAATTGCGGGTTGCGAACCGCAAGGAACGTGCTCCCATGACGGCAGCACGTTCTTTGCGTGTAGATGCAAGCATGAAAGTATGCTTGCATCTACTATAATAACTGTGTGTGAGAAATAGTTGCTTCCTAGAGAAGAAGTGTATGAACTATGTGAATAAAGCTGGAACTCTCTGTCTGTGATCAATCGCTTTTTTTTCACCGATATTCATCGATTTTAGCCTCGTCGCGAGACGTTTCACCGAAATACACCGTTTTTTTGAAAATAAATAAACACCGAAAAACATCCGCCGATTTTTCTCACAAGTAAACACCGGAAAGTACACACCCTACTCATAAGTGAAGTTGTTACCATAACCACACACGATGCGAAAGCTACTGCAAACTCTTACCAGATCGAGATCTTCTTTTGGAACTTGTTCCACCCTCACGACAGTTCCCTGGTATTTTCGGGTGAGGAAAGAAATAACTTCTTGTTCTGTGCCCGGCTTCGCGGCGACGTAGAAGTAAGGCTCGTATGGCAGCGAAGCTTTGAAGCGGCTTCCATCTTCCTCGATGAAGTAGTAATCGACGGCACTGATCAGGCGTTTATCTTCGTTCAGGATTTCCGTCTGCAAAAATGTATAATCACATTAGAGGGTAGACATTAAAATGTCATTTATTAAACCCGTAGTGAGTGCCAAAATTTGGTTACCGGGTGTATGTTGATAAGCCATCCGATCCTTTCGGTTCCTTCCTGGTGCCGTTTGAATCCGAACTTGGCATCAAGCTCGTCGTTAGAAAGTGACTCTAGAAGGCGCCTTTCCGACGTGTCATCTCTCCTATGAAGAAATCAAGTCATTTCGTGAAACTGGCGAAACTAAGGAGCGAGAGCACGAGACGTTCAGAGAACGGTATGGGAGCTTTGTTCAGCTTACGTTGGGAGTTTGCCGTCGTCACCGCTTTTTCCGGCCTTGTCGAACTTGCTGAACTTCAACCGACCAGTATTCTGCCACACCATGGCTCAAAAACTGTATAATTTTAGGTCATTCTGAACTTTCAGCAGCGTGGCGATTATCCGGCTGTCTCTTTAACAGCTCCCGCCAAATTTACTCCTTAGCTCACATTTCCACCGCTACTTTGTAAAGGCGCTACAAACAAAAACTAAAGCATTTAGTTTCGGTTTCTGATATTTTCTCAATTCAAGATTCTTATTACATTACAAAATTCCGAAGGGTATGTAATATTCACGAACGGTAAAAAATATTTCAATAAAATATTGCCTTCAATGGGAATATAGCTATAGGGCTACAGCGTGGACCCGAACTAAGCATGTAAATGGGCGCGTTACTGATCAAATATGACAGTGTTACAGTTACAGTTACTAAGGGGAAAAAAGTAATCCTGTTAAAGTTACAGTTAAAAAATTGAAATAGGGAATTCAATTTTTACCGTGAATACAAGGCAACCTGATACAAGGATTCGGGTTACTTTCGGACGCCATGACAGGGAGCCGAGAACACGGTTTGGGTTTCGTTTAAAGGGCAAAAACACCGCTATGTTTCGTGTGTTCCGCAATTCAACCGATCTTTTGTTACCTTTTCCACTTCCACTGTTTTTTTAAAGTGCTGCAATGATTTGAAATTGACTGGACAACTTTGCTATGGCGGGTCTTCGCAAAATAAAAGATGCAGCGAGCCGCGGCCGTCGAACACCATAGAGTTATATAATGCATAATAACTCTATGTCGAACACGAACAGTCTCTGTCACGCGAGTGTCAATTTTACGTTGATCGCTTAATTTTTAAATCAAAGATGCACACATCCGACTCTTCCGGACAGCGAAGATACTTAATCGAAAAAATCACACTTGAGTTCTTATGGAAATAAAGATTGATTGAAAAATTAATTAATATTCGCCCAGATATAACTTTTTATTATTATTATTTCAGCCTGAACGCAGGTTTTTATAACACAGACCAACCTGGTATAGCATAAAATATGTATTACATAGAATATATTAGTTTTTTTTTTTTTTTATCTTAAAGCAGAATTATTTGCTGACGTTTATTTTGGTGTGCATGCGAGCTTGTGAACAGACGGTTTACTCCAACAAAAACTTACAAACTGAAACATAAAATAAAGCGTTAACTTTGAGAGTTTGTTCAGCAGAGGACTTCAGAATGGGAGGGATATTCTTCGTGGTAACCGCACAAAAGCTCACCAGACAAAAGCTCACCAGACAAAAGCTCACCGGACAGAAGCTCACCGGACAAAAGCTCACCGGACAAAAGCTCACCCATTTTTCACAAACCCAAAACACAAGTCCACTTTTTTTTTTTTTTACTACCTGGACGAAACACGAGTATGACGTCATGGGTCCAAACAAACCGTTGCTAGGGCCGTTATGGACAAATAGATGTGACTAGGTTTCACTACAAAAACCCGACCGTTCAAAAATCAGGAATAGGATTTAAACTTCTAAAAATCACTAATATAGAAAGCTTGAATGTCATATATGTTTCGACAGAAGTGTGCCGGCGACTGCAACTTCCGGTCCTCAAGATGCCTGCAGCAGACGGCGAATGCGAGAAGTATGCCGTCTGCCACACGCCGGCAGGCCAAGCCGGCGCCGTCGTTTAAATCGTGTGAATAAGGACGATATTCTGATATTGCATTTGTTCTAAATATAATGATTTTCAGTAACTTAAAAGAAAGTGGGGTGCGATGCAAAATGTGGTTTGTCGAAAGTCCGGGCGTCGATCGAGATGATCGTCTGCTAAAAGATCGCATTGGATCCGTGAAAAAGCACTTCAGACGATCGGTCGAGGTCCCAAATTTTGTTTGTGGACTCGCACTATGTGAGGGTGCGTCGTACCTTGCGATAGACATGAAATTCTTTAATAACCTGACAACCTCAATAATAATAATAATAATAAACGAATCCCCTTGACGGTTTGTTTCTCATACTGGCCTGCACTACGCCGGTAATGCACTTCAGGTCGTCGTCGTAAATGATCTGCGTGACGTGGTTTGATTTTACGGCATTTTCACCCCTCTGAACTACGCTGGGTTCTTCACAGAAAAAAAAAAACAAAAACAAAAAAACAAAAAAAAAACGCACATTGCGGAGGCCTCTACGGCCACGGCAATGCACTTGTTTTAGTCGCTGGTTTACCGACGCAATTCAATGAAGACGCCCGCTGCTACAGAGGCCAGCAAATCTATCGTGTCGTCTGCTACCAAAGCAAAGCGAAGTGTAATATTTCAAAAGTGGCTCTCATTGTTGCAATACGACACTAACACGACAAGAACATCTTCATAATTAGATATCAAGAAGTTAGGTTGCTTACAAAAAATTATTTACTTACTTGTAAGCAAAAATCTAGCCTCGTGAGGAGTTTCCGTGCATTAGTCCATAGCAACGGTTTGTTTAGACCCAGACGCCATGTTGTGACGTCATCATTTACGGGGTCAATGGACATCGCACCATTTTTAGGAGAATTGGTTCCCCGTCCCATGCAAAAGTGTCGACAAATAAGCCACAACAGGCGAAGAAGCAACGATTTGGGAAAACAATTTAGGTCACCGAAATTGAGTGGAGCTGATAAGATCAAGCTTGATTGACTCACGGTATGCATGCCGGAGTACCCTTGTTCCACGCCGAAGAAACTTCGTGAATCCAAATTTTTGTGCTTATGTCACGCTAAACGCGCACATAAAAGTTAGGCAGAATGTCTCTTCATTACTAATGCACGGGTTATTGGGGGGTTCAAGTTAATATTTGAAGTGAATGGCTAAGAAAATTATATTGTTTGCTTTATCCTCTTTATAAAGCTGTGCGGGATTTTGGATAGGCTGGCGTTGCTTCCACCACACCTTCTGTTCGAATCTCTAATCAACAAACCATGCACCTGTCAGATTTAATTTATCATAGCATTTTAGTGTCGGACGCATCCCTAGTAGCACACATGGTCCTCCGGATATCCTCAGGATGTCCTGAGGGCTTGACGTCATGGCGCTGCGGCGGCGCTGCGATCGCGCCGGAGCCGAGGAGTGTGGGCAAAAGGGCGCACGTTTCGCATGGGCGTCATAGTATTTCAGCATGCCGCGAAGCTGTGTTGCCGTTAATCTCACCGAAATGTACAAGAAAAGTAGCGGAGTGAGCTTCTACAAGTTCCCGGCAGACTCTGAAAGGCATAGAAGGTGGATAATATCCGTGGATCGAAAATTATGGTCGCCTCGCGCGTTTGTGCGGCAAGCGCTTTCTTGGAGGCAAGTGCGGCTTCCATTTCAATCTCCGTCCCGAGGCTTGCTTATGTACAGGGAAACCGTCCTCTGATCGGGACCACCCGGATTTTGTTCCCACGGTGTTAGCGCACAAAGCACCGGCCAAGCGCTCGTCGGAGGCTCGCTACGCCCGTGCTACCCAGCAGAAGGGGATCGGCGACAGAACGGCAGACCAAAAAAAAAAAAGAAGTAACGAAATACGTTAGCCGTTACTTGCAAATCAAAGGTACGCGTTACTGAGCTACGTTGCCTAAAAATAAAAGGAACGCGTTACCGCTACAGATAAAAAATAACGCACGTTACTTCTACGTTACTTTTTAAATTATGATTTAACACATTTTACGGTTTTGACGATACAGGTATGCATAAGCTCATACATCAAGAAACATTACGTTCATGCAGAAACAGAACATAATTACTTTATTTCTTTTTATGGTTTCACCTAAACACTGACGAGAAAAAACGCAAAGAAAAATATGGCTTGACGCCAAAAAACACAGAAAAACTTGAAGTGTAATTGTAGTAACGAGTAACGTAACTACGTTACTTGAAAGAGTAACGCAAGTACGTTAGTAACGAGTAGGTTACTACGTCACTGAAAAAAGTAACGCGTTCTTGGTAACGCCGTTACTTGTAACGTGTTACCGCCAAGACTGCAGAACGGACAAGGCGTTACTGCTTGTCATGCCTTGTGGTCATGAGAGTAGGAAAAGTAGCATACCTTGACTTGAAGACGCTGTGTGTATTTATTTAATTAATGAATACAGTTTTGTAGACCCACAGTCTGCTGATCCCGCCGGCAGTGCGGAAACCGACTCGAAGTAATAGTAGGCCTCTAGAGACTTGTACGCCTGCTCCGTGTCGGCTGTGGACTGGCTTGGCGAAAAAACTAAATAAACGACGACGTGAGCCGTCGACTTTGGTGACAGTAACTTCACGTCGGAAGTCCAGCAGCCCTTGTTTACGGCGCACGGATCCTCGTAGGAAACGCCGTCCACGCACAGTTTGTTTCGGTACCGCCGCCGTTCATGCTCGGGTAGCGAGCTCAGATAGTCGGGCATAGCATACGACATACGTTGCCAGAAAATACGACGCACAAATAAAGCTAGAAGCGTTCCTACAACGTCAACAACGAACGCACGCCACACAACGCAATGGCGAAAACACGGAGGGATGGGTCGCTTTTGCCCACATAGCTACCGCGCATGCGCGGCCTTCCGGCCGTGTTGGTAAACAGAGCCGCTCCGAGTGTCGGTCTCACTAGGGATGCACTTAAATTGTCCGCACTTTAAGACCAATATGCAATTTTCTGCTGGTGAGCTTTTGTCCGGGTCTGTGAAAAAATGGGTGAGCTTTTGTCCGGGATTTCTTTTCGCATGGAACCGAATCTGGGGTTTGGTTCCAGTTTAATTTCAGACACGTCAATTTTTGAACTTCGAGAGCCAGATTTTTCGTTTCAGCATGCAATAAAGCGTTCGTTCGTGACGCGATTAAAATAAGACGTGACGCAACATGACAGTTCGAACAAATGCGATATGTCTCAAGGAGTGTCGTGTGATCGTAAGAAGTCGGATGCAGAACTAGTTTTCTTACCTTATCGCCTAGGTTCTAGAATCTAAAATTGCCTTTTGACGTCCGCGTCTGCACCCGTGTACACGTAAATATCACCCAAGGGATCGCCGCGGTAGGTCGACGTTGTCTACATTCGTCGCCAAAAACACGCCGCTCGCTTTTTCGCGGGCATGATCGAGCACGAGTGGCAGTGGCACAATTATTCGCATCCACCTTCAAGTACGTCCGACAGGCGCGTAGCGTAGTTTCGCTTTGGCCAGCTCGAACAC